AAATATTGGAAATGGCCAATGGTCCAATCGTTTTTGAAGAGACAAGAGTTGAAATTGTATCCATTCCACGGTTGCCAGTTTGGGGTTATTGACTTGGACGGGAATCCCATGAAAAAGGGTTGGATGATTGCAACAAACATGGAAGAGTTGTCAAGTCTATCGGAATACGTTTGTGATGGTTCCCACACTCATGGTCAAAGCCGGGGTACTGCACTGAAGCTTGCAGAGAACTACACATTCAAGTTGACTGACTTCATCCATGATTGTTTTCGTTCCAGAGCTAACCAGGCACAAACCGCCAAGAACAGGAAAAGGTTAGCTTTGCCCGCCATGAGCCGCCGTTCTGATGATTCAAATTTGTCGATCGCTGACAAGATGAACGTGCGGGCTCTCAAGTCGGCCGGTTTAAAGACCGTGCCCCAACAGAGCAACATGTCGGAGTGGCTTGCTTTTCGGAAGTGCCTTGATGTTCAGGGGGATAGGCACGCAGGGTGGGAGGACATCTTTTCCACGGTCCTCGCTTCGTCAACCATCCTGGCACAGGGCAACAGAACAGAAGACCTTGAGTTGGCCGCAGGATTCATGCAGTGTTTTACTGCGCAGTCCATGTCAACTGACGCCCTGACGAATGTGCCGTGGGCAAAGGAGATCCGCCATCTGTCCGAGTTGGAACATGACTCACTGTGGGATCTGAGCTTGCCTACTGAGTACGTCCCTGGGACATCAAGGCCGGCGGTAGACGTCGTGCCCACCATCTATGTGGTGACTTCTGATTCAACTTTGGCTCTGATCACTGGAAAGGGTAAGACTTTGAAGAAGTACACCTTGAAGGAGGATCTGGGATTGCGAAAGTCAGACATGGTTCTCGAAATCGGTCATGACATGCTCTGGGGTAAGGATTTGCAACAGCTCTGCAAAGCAAATGTTTCCATGATCAAGGAGCTGATGGCGAAATATTCTTCTCATGGATCAGCCATCAGGGTTATTTCGGTAATCGTTTGGTCTGGGAATGAAATTTGTGGGGAATATGGTGTTGAACCCCTTCCCATTTGGGGGCAGAGGGAACCACAGGGCGACTGGAATGCCATCATGGACAGGGTCAAAGGCAACATCGTTTGGTGGAACAATCAGCTCAAGGAGTTGGGAGTGGATCAGGCCGCCCTAATCGGCGAGCCCGACCCGCTCACTTATGGATTGAGTCTCATCTTCACGACGTTTATTGATCGTCTGAAGGAATGGTTCCACAAGGAGATTGCCAGTGACAACGATCGGATTCGGTGGATCAAGAATGACATGCTCCCACCGAGGCTTGAGCTCAGGGACTACTTTCACGCGTTCGAGACCGAGCTCAACCGAAGTGAAATGATCGGATATGTCATGGCAACTCTCCACATGTTGCACATGACGGACATTTTGATCCCTCAGTACAACCTGTCTTTGTACAAGCGCAGGCGCCCTGCAGGTGAAGCTACAATGCGTGATGTCACACCGAAGATGGAGCACCTCCCAGTCAGGTTTGTGCAGGTCCTCAATTCTCTCCGGGAGAAGGTGAACAAGCCTGCACCGAGCGTCTCGACCCCAGAAAGCTTCACAGCAGAGGAGTTGAGAGCTCGCCCGACCGATGCTGGTGTCGCTGAAGACGATGATGAAGAAGGCGACCCATGGGACGCTCTGGATCCTGATGAGCATGAGGGCCCATCAGTTGGCAAGGCCAAGGCCAGCCACGCAGCTCCACCTGACCCCAAGGCAAAAGCTCCAGCGACACAGGAGGATTCAACTCAGGCCACCTCAACTGGTGAGCCCCTGCAGGAAAATGAGATCAAGGGTACCATCATTCCGAAACATGCACTTGGGCACCTTGACAAATATCGTATCACTTTAGACGAAAACATCAATGCAGAAGTAGTTGAACATTGTGTCGTTGATGCCCATCCCTACGAATTGATTGTCAAAACCTGTTGGGAGATGGATGGGGCAAAGGAGCTGAGGTACCCAGATCGCATGGACCGACACAAAACCAAGGTCAATGCAGTGACGCGTGGACAGCCGGGTCAGGACACCTCTGGATTTGATGAAAACATGTGGCTTGATCTTGATGACTTCTTTCGAATGTTCAACCAAATGCTGCCAGCCAAGTTGCCCCGAATGACAGTTGAAGAGCTCATTTCATTGCTCTACTGGGACAACAAGTGCCGTTTTGAGTTCCAGTGCATTGCCGGGTACCAGAAGGCAACCCGTAAAGGGTTAGCCTACTGGCCCATCAGAATCCGCGCAGTGCAGGGGCACACGAAGCGCGCCATGGATGCCGCTTCGGCTGAGGACACGTTCAATGCTGTGGAAATCTATGCTCTGTCTGGAGCAGCAGCGATCCAGAAAATGAACGCCAAAGGTAAAAAGATTACCACTCCTCAGATGTGCCCTGGCGTAGTTTATTACAGGACTAATTACAAAAGGCAATTGGAAGGGCATCATTGAGAATGGCTTCGTTCCTGGAGGAGGAGATCGAAATTCATCAGGCAGAGCACACTCCTATTTTAGCGAAGTGCGTGTCGATGAGAAAGAGTATGTGAGTGGTTTGCGTGCTGAAAGACCCATTGAAATCAGGGTAGCAATGGCTGAAGCTGTCAAAGCTGGCATTGTGTTTTTCAGGACGGCTTCTGACGGCATCTTGACAAGTGACGTCGTACCACCTCAATACATTATCTCTGTCGATGACACTGCCAAGAAGGTGAATTTGTATCGCCGCCATCAGGAGGTCGCACAGTCTGCAGCAAGCAGTGGGGGAGAAGTTGGAGTCCAGGAGCTTGTCGAGACCTTTGAGGCCAAGGCATCAAAACGGACTGGTTCCAAGTCTCCGGCCGCCTCAGCTGGCGCGCCCACTGCAACAGCATTTTTCCCAGGAAAGGTGAAGCCTCCGCCACCAAATGTGGCCCAACTTGCCGGTATGCCTGGATATGCAAGCAGCAGATTGTTGCCCCCTCCTCCGAAGGGTGAAGCTCCAAAGCCTCCTGCAGCAAAGGTTGAAGGCCCAAAGACACCGCCAAAGGCGCCTCCAAAACCATCACCGAAGGAAGGGACTTCTGCACCTCATGCACCAGAAGTTCCAAAAGCTGTGACCTCAGAAGTTGATGCAGCAGCAAAGGATGAACCTGCAAAGAAGAAGGCAGCCCTGACAAGCGTGCCCGCAGCTGTGCCTGCGGCATCATCAGCTGCGGCCTTCTTGGAGCCTGTTCCAAAAGTCGCACCGCCAAAGGCAGTGCAGAAAGATCCAAAAGCTCCAGTTGCAGAGTCACCCAAAAAGACGCCAGCATCAACATCAAAGTCACTGGTGCCAAAGCAGAAGTCTCGCCCTAAAGGCGATGACCAACCTTCGAAGAAAGAGGTGAAGAAGGAGGACAAGAAGCCGGTGCCGGTCAAGATTGAAGTCACGCAATGTTCAAGATGTTTTGCACAGACTTTCAAGGGACAGATTGAATGCGATGTGTGTGGATTGATGCCGAAGGGGTGAACAAGGCCGACCGAACCAAGATTGCAGAACGAAGGAAGGCCGCCCTTCACAAGCTGGGCTTGTACTATGATTTTCGTGGTGAGTACCTGCAGAGCATCACACATGATCAGCTTGAATCTTTGGGTTTGTTGGACGACCAGGCAAGGGGAAGCTCAAGTCCGGAAGCCAGTTTGTTGGCAAGGGCGAAGAGTCGTTTCGACCGTGCCTTGAGCTTAGGCTATGTGTCTGTGGCTGACAGGTTTGCCCAGGACGCCACATTCGCAGAGAGCGTGTTGAACGAGGGGGAGAACGAGTACGATTGTGAAAGGTACGACCTCCTCAAGTCTGCACATTTGCCAAAGCCGGGTCGCACCAAAGCTCAGGTCAAGATGGGTATTTCTGAGCAATCTCAGCTTGAGCACAACGCGATGAGGCTGGTTTACTTGGATTTGGCAAGCCGTCTTGATGTCCCGAAATCATTCAGGTACATTGACCAACCATGGTTCTACATGTACCGAACCGAAATCTACTCCGAAGAAGAGTACATTGACTACCTCGGCCGGAATCCTGGACACAATCTTTTGTTGTCTTGCACTGGTGTTGACAACATTGCTGTTCATGATGCCGAACGTCATTTGAGGTGGATTAAGGGACAAAATGAGGAGCTGTACAAGCAGAACGCAGCAGAGAAGAAGAAACAGTCTGACAGGGCCCGCGAACAGAACGAGGCCAAGCGCAAAGCTGAGCAGACTGGTGCGTACGGCCAGGGTCCCTCCAAGAAAGGCACCGCCAAACCGGTTGCCCGACCATCCACCGTAGAGGTAGCTTCATCATCAACGTCTGCAAAGTCAGTCCCACGATGATCGCCGTTACACTGGAGAATGGCAGAAGTGGCATGGACGCTGGTATGAGAAAGTCATCAGGCATGGCCGAGTTGAGTGGGAAGAGGGATAAGTTGTGACACTACTTGCATTGACGATCGGTTTTTGTATCATAGCCGCCGAGTGTGTTTTCCCTTGGGTTTGCAAAGAGCAGGTTCGGTGAGGCAGGTCTTAAAGACCTCGCCCTGGTAAATGTGGCATCCTCGCCGTAACCGGCTCACCTGAGGGGGGTGTAAAATCACCTCACATAAAACACACTGTAATATAGCATGTACTTGGTAGCTGTTGCGGCTCAGTAAAAAGCGCTGCTGCCGCAGGTGCTTAACGGTTATATTGTTTTGCCCCATAGGTTTATCAGTCTATTTGGGATTATAAGATAACCCCAGCTGAAACCTGAAAATACAGTTCCATGTTGTTCCTGTTTGACTCCATGTAAACTCCCTATCGAAGCCATGGAAGTGTCAGAACAGCTGGGTGTTTCTGACAGGCTAAAATTACCCAAGAGTTAATAAGGTCAATTTGAATTAATTTGAATAAGGAAAGTTGTTTCATGATATATTATATATAATATATTCATGATAATTGGAAAATTGGAAAGCAGGTTGTTGTTGCGAGTTGTTTTTGCCCGAGTCAGGTTGCGGAGGCATTGAAATGTCTGCCGCCGAAACATGCGATGGGCTCAATGAAATGCGGGCGTCATGACTGGCATCAATTTCCTGGCGCGGTGAACATGTCCCGGTGTTCTGTTGTATGACTCTCCCGGACTCCCCATTTGGAGACCATTGTGGGTGTTCAAGATTGAAGACATCAAGACCATGCCCCAATTTTGAAAGATACACACCCCTTCCCTCCTGGTTTCAACTGGATTCTAGCTGGTTTAGCTAGATTTATCTTCATATTTATATTCATGGTAAATAATACTAGTATAGTTTTCGACCCTTCCCAATCTTATTGTTATGTTCCATTTCATCCTCATCAAATCCCTTTCTATATATATATATAATAAGGCCATTTTTTTGGTCGTTTCATCCGCTGGAAGAAACTGCCTCGTCCGTCCAGGTGGCTCGTGTCTTGCACGAGATGCAGGAGCACGGCCTAGGTGTCGGCGGTGGAAACGGCCCCCCGTGGTGATGGGAGCCGGACAGGGCCCCAGTTTCGTAGGGGAAACAGTCGAAAAAAAAAACGCCTGTTAAATTAGGCCTTGGGGATACAAGATATTCATGTAATATTAGTAATATGATGTAATCTTGTTTATCCAAATAGATCCAAATAGAATATATCCGCATGGTTTTAGGGGTTATACAGGGAAACATGGTTCAATGGATTTCAATGGCTTGTCGTTTTGTTTTCAATAATTTCGCTTGGTCCAGCCCAGAAGCTGGTCAAGACAGGGCCTGACAAGGAGAAGTTGTTGCTTTTTCGAGGGACGGGATGCTGCATGATGGGGCCGAAACATATCCTATGAAAATTGGAAGTTCAACTTTTAGCAAGGATTCGCAAACCACAAGACTGATCGTCTCAGCTGTGAGTCAAGTCATGCCTCCCATCAATCATGTGACAGTCACAGTGAAAAAGTATCCTGACGATGTCATTGAGCACCCATACCCAACTGTAGACAAGTTTATTGCATGCAGTCGTCCCAAATATCGTGTCGCGGGTAATACTACTACTGAAGCTAATCCTCTACTTTCATAGTATGACAACACCTGAGGTCGTGCGGTGGCAAGTTTTTCCTGTTAAAGATAGGAACTATTCCGCGACCATGTTGGATTGCCAGAGGGTCATGATCACCGCTAGCAGCACCACCCACCAACACGATCTACTTGTCTCCTTTCTGTCCGGAAAGGCTTGGACGATCCTGTCAGTTACATCAAGGTGTGCTCAGAAGTGGTGGAACGCGCATCCCTAGCCATGTCGGACATGTGTGAAATGGTTTCTCAGGATGTCAAACCTATGGAGACAACGCGATGTAACAATGGGGATACAGTTGGACACGACCAGCAAGAGTTGGAATTGAACATGATTCAGCTGACATAGCCAGCATGGAACCACCAGCCAGATTCTTTTTGACTGAATGTGCATAGGCTGCATAGTCATCAAAATGCCGCGGTCAAAAGTTGGATTCCAGTAATATATATATATATAATACCCGTATTGGTGGATGCTTATGAATCCTTCAATGGGGATGTATGCAAGCATTATAAGTATTCCCAATTAATGGAACGGATGACCATCATAGACCATCTATTGATATGTGATGTTATGTGATGTTCTATGCACCACTATATAAAAAAGGAACTCTGTCAGTGGTACCCACATCCGCGGAAGTGTTTTTGATGGGTCCGCCGGAAAATGGGGGGATACCCAAAAAGTTGCAAAGTCAATGGAATAAAATCATGATAAACCACAGGAACTTGGGTGGTACCATGTGGTACCCTATTTTCAGACAACCCCAGATTTTCGGGTACCAAACTTAACTGTGAAACAACCGTTTCGAAGGCTGCTGCGAGGTCTGGTTCCAGCGTGGGGGGAGCCAAGAAGGTGCCGGCTTTTGGTTTTGGTTTGATAGAGAAGTTCATGGATGTACCTCCAGTTCCCCCTCAGCAAACTAACACAGCTTTGTCAAATGGACCATCTACAATTATAGATATCTATAGATGATGTGCCTTTCAAAAATGGTGATTTTGCCATAGCTGTGTTAGTTTACCATAGGGTATGTGGGAAACTGAGGTGTTTTACATTTTACCATGGTAAAATTATGCTGCAAAAAGAAACTGATCCTTTTTCTTACTGGTGCTTGGCAGGGAATTTTCGGGAATGATCCATAATCACTAGTAATAATCATCCCATTCCCCCAGCAACCCATCCATTCCCTACGTTTAGCACCGGTAAGGAATGTGGGATTTGTTCATTGCCAGGAGTGCTAGTGCAGGTGGCAAATTTCACCGGAGAAACTTGTGAAGTTGCGGAGTAAACCAACATTGGTTACAGAATGTGTAGACCGTCTTTTTCCGGTTTTATAACATATGTATACATATATATATAATATTATATAATTATATATACATATAATGTAAGTGATATGTAAGTGTAGTTGTGTAGATATATTGCATCACTTTATATTCCAATTGCAGAGGTTTTTTTTGTTGTGTAATTATATTCATTAGGCGATCCCATCCAATACTTACCAGTTATCCATGTACGTATCCCTTTGTGGCTTGGTATTGCCTAGATGAGCATCCCAGGCGAAGTGGGTCAGTTGGCTTCTGTTCACCACTTGCGATGATTGAGTCCATCATCGTGAAGCTAATTCAATAAACCAATCATAAATCCATATAAAATCCATATAAATACAACAATCATCGAGATTTATATAACCCCATGAACCCACCCTGCATTCCTGGCCCAACGGGATTTCATCAACGTCCCTTTTGTGGGTCGATTTCCCAGGTCAAAAGGGGTCCCGCGGAGGCTGCCGGTGAGGACGTGGAAAAGGCTGCTGGTGGGGTGTCTGACAATGGATTATGGAATTGGTCGGCTATGGGATCTATTGGGAAAATTTTGTCCGAATCACCGGATTTGGAGAGGTACCATATTCTCAGATAAAGCCAAATCACCTGGTACCTGGTTTTATGGGGAAAATCATTAGATATGAATTAGTTGGATTTTCCATGGGTTGTCCCGTGAAGATCAGAGGCTTCTAATAGATTGATTGTTGAATTCTGGCACAAGCTGGTCTGGGGGTTCTTTTTCTTGCTGGATGTCTACCAACTCAGCTTTGCAGAGTTCTGGTTGGACATATATACTGTAGGTCTAAAGTTTTGAAAGGACAGGAAAGGACACCATCTCAAACATTGGAGAACTTTCATTTCTTTGGATTTACCTTCCTATTCAAACGGATGGAGAAACACAATCTCATAGAAAACTTATACTATCTTAACCGCGGGGGTGAATCAGACAAACGCAATCTAGGAACTGATTCAAGACACACCCGATGGCCAATGAAGAGTAAAAAGTACAGTTGCATCACTAAAATAATATTATAGACGTGTAAAAGTGGTCAATATATATATATATACATATGTATGGCCCATATGGCCATATATATATATATATATATATCAATGCGGCATTCCGTGTTAAAGAGACGAATTTCTGATTGGTCATGTGGCAAGATATGGGTGAATGTTAAGCCATTATTCCTCTGTGTATATTTGCGGTATCTTGTTTGAATATAGGTACCTGAACCAATCTATGATATATTCCATATATATATTATGTGTTAAATTGTGTGAATATATGTATGTATATATATATGTATTACTATATATATATATGTATGTATATATATATATGTATACGTATTAACTAATATGTTTTTTTTAAGGTTTACCCAGTGAATGTTGGTCTCAGATATCATTGGGCCGCCAGGATGACATGATATCCACGCTGACCTCGCGAGTGAAGTGGTCGGATCCACAGGGAAAAATCATGGGAAAACGTCCAGAAATCCGAAATCCACAGGGAAACAAATCATGTTGGGAAATGGGAAATTCAGGGTAGATGGGTGTAGATGGTTCTTTGAAAAAACATCCTCAAACCAGGTTGGGTTGCGAAGCCGATTCTGGAAGAATTTGAAAGGAGCTCCATAAGAGGCTGGTAAGGACACGGTATCAACAAATTTCCTTGATCCAATTGTCCTTTTCGTTTCGGTTTTTCGAGATCTTAATTGATTTTCCCCTATCTGGATATGGAACAAAGTATCAGAGCTCAAAAAACACAGCCAACAAAATAGGTGGCCACCCAGAACCGCCACAACCATGGGAATCTGAAGCAGAGCCGGCTGAAGAACGTCCTTGGTATGTCCCCATCCCCAGAGCAAGTGGTTACAGGGTCCAGTCTTACAGGTCATTCAAATTTAATCAGGTTAAAACACCATTGATCAGAGTTAAATCACACTTTGTGCTGGTGAAATCATGTGAATTCTCCTTCACTTCAAACGTCGCGAATTTTTGAAGTTCATCGATCACATGACCCATGCCTATCGCCTATCGCCTCGTGCCAGGTTAAACGAGTTTGGTGGCCTCGCCAAAAAGATCAGCATCGACGAAGTTGCCCGGAGCCCCAGGATCGGATCCCCCAAATCAGTCGACCAGGACTTCGTAAAGAATTGAAAGCCATGGATAGCCATGGTGGCTTGGGGATCCTCCAAGAAAATCCAAGAAACCTATTTTTCTATGAGTAAAAACTCAGGCTTCCCAGGATTTCCTCAATGTTTCGGATTCGTCCGAACTCACCTGGGGCATGCAGACAAAAAACCGCTCCTGTGGGCCGGAGCTAGAAAAACCTGATCTGTGTATCTGTTTGTCGTTGGTCTGCAAAACAAGCACACATGCAAATATGACTGTTTTATAATATATATGATAATATTATGTATATATATATATTATATATGATACTATCAATTTCATCATATTTAATCACACTGAAGATGTCCTACATCATAAATGCTTTGATGGCGGGAACTTCCATTAAATTCATCGGGTCAGGCTGGAATTTTGATTTGCGAAAACCAGGCCCATTTCTTGATGTGAAGCTTGGTGCGCCTACTTACAGATTGGATAGGCCCCCAATGATATGTGAATATGTACATTGCATAACTTGAGATGGCATAACATATAGAACATAATATTTTATTGTTTAATACATTACATTACATTACAATGCATTTAAATTACATTACACACAACATAAGATCTAGAATCGAACATCACATTTCACTACATTGCATTATAAGATATTATAAGATATAATATATGTATATATATGTATCATTATAGATACACATTAGATACACATGTCATACGTCGTCTGAATCGCTTAACGATCGCCTGGCCTCAGATTGGAGCCCTATACTGCCTGGGTCTCCCGCAGTCCATGGCCATCCTCCGCAGCCTTCAGGAGCACCACTTCGAAACGAGGTATACATATATAATCATATATATATATACATATATGTATGTACATGTACAGTATAGTGTCCCATTATTATGATTCCTGCTCACATAGTCTATTGTCAAAAAAATATGTCTGAAAAAGGTTCAAAAATAGTTTAGCGTGGCTGGAAATTCCGGATCAATGCAGGCGAATAGCTTGAACAAATATCTATACAATTCTATACATAAGTTGGGATTGTCGCCATGTTTGACTACCGGAATGGTGATACTTGGAGGGTCATGAATTCCGATTCGGGGGATGATCCAGTAAAATCTGCTTCAACACTCAGCTGGACCCCAATGATCTAATTAGAACTTACACTGGATGTCGGGTTTGGACATTCTCCATACTTCTTGATAAACACCATAATCTTGTGATTTTTGCATATTTATACAATATATTCATTGTTGAAATTTATAAACACATGAGTAGGTTTTTTCCCGATGATAAATCATCCACAATAGAGGTTTATTCTTGGGTGTAGCTATCATTGGGATGAGTTTTGAAGGACCCCCAGTCATGGTTGGTGACTGGAAAGGAGCGGGGCGCATCCGTGGTGGATCCAAATCACTACATCAATCAGGCGATCCATGCGGCAAAAAAAGTAACGTGTGTGGGTATGGTTTAGCCGTTTAGCCATTCAGGCATTTGATGTGCTAAAAAAACTTTTATAACATTTGATAACCAAGAAATATGCACATAAATGGGATAATATAAGTTATATAGCACATATAACATCACCATCAGATTATATCATTATAAATAACCATTTGATGACGATAAACTGGGATAATCAGAGATTTCCTCTGGATGATGAGTACCCTCTGGCGATTGTTCGTTTTCAACATGGAAAATCCTCAGTCTGAGAGTTCATGCGTAAATTATCGAACTTCAGGGATCATTTCCATCGCGAAAAATATGTTACCCTCTGGTAAACTAACAGTTTGCTATCGAAATTGGCCATACAAATAGTGGATTTACCCATTAAAATTGTGATTTTCCATAGTTATGTTAGTTTACTAGAGGTTAAATTACCAGAGGTTTCGTAGAAAGATGCTGCATATGACCAATAAAACAAGCATGGTGAGGAAGAAGGAGAAACAGTATATATAATCATATATATATAAGAATATATATATATAATCATATATATATAATCATATTTATAATCACATATACAATGTATATATATACATAATATATAGATATATACATAATATATAGATATATACATTGTACATATAATATAATATATAATATAATATAATTAATAGTATATATAATATATACAATATATGTCAGGGTGTTATAGGTTGAATGGCTTGTTTGTTCCTTAAACACTTGCTAAATTTTCTTTGTTCACCTTCATTTGTTTATTTTATTTCATTCAATGAGACAACAGTTCCTGGTTCTGCTGCGATAATTTTCATTCTCTTTCCGTGCCCTTCAACTTCATACGGAATGACTACGCGAAGGCGGGTGCTGGCTATGCGAAAGGCGTTGAAAATTTCAAAGACGTCTCACACATTCTTAATTAATTTCTCCTCAGCCGATTACCTCGCTACCTTTGTTCATATTTGTTTTTTAACAATTTCAACGGCTATGGTTCTGTGCACAGACTTCTGCAGTCTGCACGGGAAACAAATATATTATGTATGTCTATATTTATCAGATGATAATGGCCATTATGATATCATATGATGTTATTATATATGTATGGTCATATATTTATGTTATATAAATGCTCATCCATGTTACATCACTGATCCAATGACCCAGTAATCCACTGATGCAGGCAGTTCAACGCGCCAACAGCAACATGGCTGGGCATCCCGGAGAGTCTTCACGGCACTTCGGAAAAATGGATACTTCAAGACTTCATAGTTCTCTAAGACTCTAAGATATTGGAATAGTTTTTTTTCTTAAATTTGTTTTTGATATTTTTTGAAATTCATGGATACTCTTATTATCTCTTATTTATATATATATATGTACTTATAATTAGTAGCAGTAGCATGTCATGAAACAAAGTCTCTAAAGGTATGCACCACTGGTCATTCACCGAGGCCAAGGAAGAAAAGGTTCGGAAATCGGACGGTTGGGGGTTGGGCCTTCCAAAAAGATCCAAACCGGGGATGTTTCTTCGAAAAAGTTCTGTAAATCACATGTTGAAGTCCTTATAGTTAATAAATGTTAATAAGATGTTCTACCTATAAATTTGCTGATATATCATACTGTTTTACGTTTAAACGATGTTAACGGAATCAACATAGCTTTTTAGAGAAGTCATTCTTTAGACGCCATTAATTGAATATGTCATAATATATATATATTATGTATATATCCATTTGGTTCTATTGTGTTTTCCCATGTTTGGGAGATTTCGGAATTATCCCAAAAAGGTGTCATATCATTTCATGTCTAGTTTAGGACTTAAAGTGTTAATCATTAAACTGATTCCACCCGTCTCGAATCCTGACTCCCATGACTGCTATGATGATGTGGGATCCCAAATCAGAAGGACGCCGGACCAATACTAAACCTATTGGCTGGCGAACCAGGGTGTATCCGTTGTATCTTGGAGGAATGGATCATGAAATACCTCCAGTTTTTGGGAAGAATTGGTTTGCTGGAACCCATCTATAAGTAGATGATTTTCCCAGCTATTTTTGTCTCCAAATTTAGTTTGGTCATTTTCCAACGACCCAAAAAACGTTTGATTACCAGAGGATCCCATATAAGAATAACTGGTATAAAATAAGTCCCCTACATTGAGCTATCCATGGCTATCCCATATAGTAGGTAAACATTCACCCCACGTTTGTTTCTTTCCGGCATCAAGATGAATGACATTCCGGCAGCTGTGGAGGAAGATGATCAAGATGAGGACCAGGAGCCAGCTGCTGACCCTGAGGTCAGGGACCCAGCAGTCGGGGGCTGCGTTTGGAAATTCCCCGACTAAGCAGGCGAAGCGTGAAAAAAAGGGATGTTTTTTTCCACCTCAGCTGGATAGGTTTCACTCAAAAACATGTTCTTTTCAGGGTCTATGTTAAATTTTGGGGGAGGGTAATCTATTCCAGAGGAATATTATCCACAGAACATGTCATTATGACTATATCATACTATCAACTCTTGCTGCATCGGTGAGTTTTGACTGTGATGGTTAAGTCGCTGTAAATTACTCTGAAATATGTTGCATGTATGTATCCGACATGACTTGATATGTGAGGCATACGTGTGGCATTTCATCACCTCTACCCTACCATAGCATACATATGTATATAACTCTATATACATGCATATATGTATATATGTATATATGTTTATATGTTTATATGTATATATGTATATCTGTATATATGTATATATGTATATATGTATATATGCATATATGTATACATGTTAATATGTATACATGTATATATGTATATATCTATATATGTATATATGTATATATCTATATCTGTATATATGTATATGTGTATGTGTGTATATATGTATATGTGTATGTATGTAATGTAATGTAATGTAATGTAATGTAATGTAATGTAATGTATGTATGTATGTAATTAATGTATGTATGTAATGTAATGTAATGTAATGTAATGTAATGTAATGTAATGTATGTATGTATGTACGTACGTAATGTAATGTAATGTAATGTAATGCAATGCAATGCAATGCAATGCAATGCAATGCAATGTAATGTAATGTATGTATGTATATACGTATGTATGTAATTAATGTATGTATGTAATTAATGTATGTATGCATGTACGTACGTACGTACATACATACATACATACATGCATACATACATACCATGACACATATATTGACACATATATTGACACATATACTGACACACTAATATTGTAACTGTATGTGTATGTGTATCTATACCTGTGTATGTATACATAGCATACCTGCCGTAGCATTCCACTACAAAGCACAATCACTACCAGTACCATTGATATCACCATTTACATACAGTACGTTCATTCATGCATGCATTTATATAGGTTTATATACGCCTGAAATTCAAGATCTGAGAATCCAACCCTACAAAACAAGCAGACACGCATACTATTGTTCAGGAGTAAATTCATGGAAATCCCAGCCGGTCTGGTAGAAATTTTGCCATGAATAGATAAGATTATCATGTAACAGAACCCTTAAGATAGATGATTTCTCAGCCATATATGCCTTAACACCAGGATAGATAAGATTTGCCTTATAAACACCAAGATTTCCCAGCCATCTTGTGCACGAAGTCCCAGGCAGAAGATGAGCCAGCCGAGCAGGCGCGCTGTGATGTCGCGCTTCAAACTACCTACCGTGGATGGTCGCGAAATTTTGCACCACGTTGGATGGTTGAAACATATTGAAACCCTATAGATAATGGGGTAAACCGCCCATCAACTGGTGCAGGATTTCGCAACCATCCAAAGTATGGTTACTAAGATAGTCGCAATTCCAAGCAATTCTCAAGATATGTTCTGTCCACAAAATGATCCAACTGCCACTATTTCAGGTGATGTGGTTGACAGATACATGCAAGATGTGTTCTGGATTCATTTTCACAGGGGTCTCAGATTTAGGTGTCTTCATTTCCATTCTTGTCGTATGCTTTGATCCAACTTTTGTCAAGTATTATTATACAGTATTATTGAATATCTTTCGATTATTTTTTTTCGTTGCTGAATTTCAATTCATGAATTTCCTAATTTTGGTGGCTAGATCCCCACTTTTCCTACTTGGATCCTAATGTTTACCCGTTAAGGCTTTGTTTGGCTTTGTTTCATTGTCACCCTCATGCGTGCGGCTTGGGCGGCTTGGCGGCTTGGGCGGCTTATGCACGCATAGACCCGCAAGCAATTTCCCCGCTTGTGCCACCAGCGGGCCAGTGCGGCGGAAATAAGAAGTGGGATCCCAGCAGGGACCTTAGTAGAAATAACGGGGATCTCCTTCTGATCAAGCAACAAATTAGACAACCAGGTCGGCCATGTAATATTTTGGCCCTAGCATCGCAAGGCAGCCTAAGACGGTGCCTAAAACTAGAATCGCCCTTTTACAAAGCGGCAACGGTTGAGAGACGTGCTTCAGGCGGGAGCCAATAGTCCGAATCGTCAGCGTGGGATTCAACACCGATACATGGATCAAGTGCGCCAATGTTAAAGGTATGCCACAAAAGAGGCAGGTTTGATCCTTTGTTACATATCTACGCATCGCGGTAAAAACAAGTTCACCAGACAGCCTGCAGAGGTACCAAATCCGGGTATACAACCATTCACGTGGGTTCCATGCTGCATCTTTAGAGTGCCTAAGACTTGCCTTTCGAGCGAGCCAGCAATTGGGGATCCTGCTCATGAAGCCAGTCCAAGTCGTACTGCAATGGTTTGGGAAAAACATGTGTCTTGCTCCAGATTTGCACCTTAGCTTTGCGGGGAAGAGAAGCATCCACTTGGCCTAGAATCGAAAGAACATCAATAATCAATAAGAATATTGAAGAATACCTGTAGCGCAAGTGAATCATCCAACCATGTGGCTCCAGCTACGTGGCTAGCTCCTTGACAGATCATATATGTGTTGAAGCAGTAGCAGTAGTAGCAGTAGTAAGCGCGCCCAGGCTGAGAGGATCCGTTTTTTGCAACCGATCTTTTTTTCGCTCCAATCCCCAGTTTTTTGCTCGTTCAAGCCCTACTCTTGTACCGGTGACCCAGCGACCCAGCTGCCTCAGGGTGGTTCGCCGGAGGAGGTGCTTTTTGGGCGTCAAAAATAGGGATTTGACCCTGAATTTTGGTGGTATAACATTAATGTTATTGGTATAACCATTGATAAGCAACTTGATTCAACATAGCTTTGGAAAATGGTTCATCAATAGTACCCTCTGGTTATGACTAACATAGCCATGGTATAGATGGCCCATAGAAATAGATGGTTTACCTATTAATAGCAGGGTGGATCTTTCCATGGCTATGTTAGTCATAACCAGAGGGTATTTTGTAGATGAATTATCTTGTAAACATGATGGGCTTTTCCATAGCTATGTGACGATTGCCAGAGGGTAATCGGGATAGTGGGGATATTTTTTGGAAATCCATGGGTTCTTGTTTGGAAATGATTTGCACATGGTGGAAATTCCACAAATATCCATAATGTCAGTTTACTGGGTAGTAGTTCAGATTGAACAGTTGGGATTTTGATGAATGATACATTATCTCAATAGATAGGTGATCAATTAAGTCACTATGGATAATCCATGAATTCCATAGATCGTCAATAACACGCAGGACAATCAACCATCTATATTTGACAATCGGGTCTAATATGAGTACCCTATCTACAAGTCTGTACTAGTCTATCTTCGCAGCCAGCCCCAAAAGATAGAAAAGTGGACCCGGAAATATGTTATTAAATATGATCTATGATTGATCTGATGGAATAATAGATCATAATCGATCATATTTAATAACATATTAATAGCTGTTGACAGTCAAGGTGTTTGTTGGGGCCTCGGCGAAGCAAAAAATCCGGGCGAAAACCCCGAATTCGCTCGTTGACGATGCCACCGAGCTCCAGGAAGAAACCATTGACCGAACCAATGAGGAGCCGATTGTTGACAGCATCAACTAATTCAAACTGGGTGGTTTACAGGATTTGTGAGAAATCATGAGCCATCCACCTTCAGATTTAAATTAATAGTTATACATCTAACCTCGGGACCGGCATTGAAATGGGTTTAGCCATCTAGGGCCTAGATGGCTCGTGCGGCAACAATCTTGTTGGTTGTCAAGGTGTTTAACACACGCTTGGAAAATATGGTGTTTACAATATTTTTTGTGATGCGTGTATAATATGTTGTTTAGTATTGTTTGCCTGAATCGACAAGTAAACCAGTTTCCAAGAAAAACAACTACAAGAGTGTGATTGTCGTGATGAGATACTTCATACTTCAAGAAATATCGACATTCCTTCCATTTTCTTCCCTTTCCATGCGCTGAGCAGACGTTTCATCAGTAGATTTGAGGGTAAAACCTCCCTCATGAGCCTCGGGCCATTGGGCCGTGGGGACTGATCAGGTTGGATTTTTGCGGTACTGTTTTTAAAGAAAAGCTCTGTCAAAGGGCGAAGTTTCGTGTTTCTGGGTGAAACTGATACAACCAGAAACAGAATAAAAATGAATAAAACATGTTTTTTTTCGAATATAATGACCCCTCGCAGCCCTTTTTTGACCCAGGACTGGTTTGACTGGGCTGCGGCGGAAGAACCGAAGTCCAAGCGACGAAGCTCGTTGGATAAACTCGGTGGATTGGATGGCCTGCCACTGCACGATTTACAGGATCTCCCACCAAAGGTTTTATACGACATTATTTCATATATAATTATATAATTATATATTATAATTATATATATACTATAACTCTTTGTTATTAGGAGATTAGCAAACCACCAAGCAGAGCTAAGCCAAACGAAGATATCAAAGCATGCAAAAAGGTGTATTTCATCCACTAATTGTAGACCCTACCGAAAAAACGAGAAGTTATCTGATAAATTGTAATCTAGGACTCTCAAAGAAACACATCCACTATTTTCAACCCGGGTTCTGGTTGATGGGATGTTCATCATCAGGATAGGGATTGGTCGCCATTGGTCCATTCATTGCGTCAGAGTCCATTCATCTTGCCAACCATACGGAAAAAAAATGATACCCTCTGGTAAACTGTCACATAACTATGGAAAATCACCATTTTTGATGGGAAAATCCACTATTTCTATGTCCATTTTCAATAGCTATTTTGACATAACCAGAGGGTATGTACTACATGAGTGTCGTAATGGGATGATAAACCAATGGAGTTCCTGCATAAATCGTGTCAATGGGAAGGTGACAACAATTCCCAGAGTTTTCCCCATTAAAACGACAAGAAAAATTGGGAGATGTTTGGAGTGTTTCCACCGTTTCTGGAGAAAGTCTCATATAATTTTCAGGTATTCTGGTTCCTTTTATCCTTCAATGTTTAGCCACACTTGGGGGGGTGCATTTCCAGTTATAAGTGGATATTTGTGCATATGGGTCTGCAAATATGTACATGATTTTACATGTATGTACATCTGTACATAACTATAGCTATAGGGGGCTTTATCCCAACTTATGGTGACTACGACCATGGTCATACCATGTTATAGCTCAAGTACTCACATCTCCATTTATCCCAGATTATCCCATTCAATTTGTCCAGCGACGGTTGAAGCTGGGGTTTCTCAACATGGCTTTGTACAGGTGTGCCAAAGAGACCTGCAGAAGTGGCCGCCACAAGGTGTTTTTTTCAGCATCCAGTTGGCTGATTCTCGATAGGCTCATTTGACTTCAAGATGATCAAGCATAGATAAATAATGTTGGATATATCTGAATGCAGTAGGTTTCGGATAGGTTTTCAATGCTGAGAAGGTGATTATGATATAATATGTGGACAAGATTTTTTGTGTCTTCAACTTTCGTCCATGTCACCCAAGCATCCCGACCCCGTGTCAGCCTCGCACCACCGGTGGAAGCGGCAGCAAAAGTGAGACGAGTCGGGGTGCCCGGTGGTTGCGCGCCATGGGTGACTCAAGCACTACAATTAGCGTAGATACCAAATACATATGGATCATATGCCGATAATCATTATTACTATGGATCATATGGATTATATATATACAGTATATGCCAAATACATATGGATCATATGGATCATATGCCATTTTGAAAGAGAATCATTATTACTATTCCCCAAAACATCACCGAGTGATGTAGTTGAATAGTGTTCAATACGCCAGAATGATGGAGCATGGAGCTAGGTTTAAGTGACAAACACATATTCCGTCCATGGGCAGTAAAAGCTTTAGTGGACTTGCGCTCCTGCAAACTATGGTTTAGTGGAAAAGTCCCATGATCAGCATCTATGAACTCATATGAAGAGGGAAGATTCCATACCCAGGTAGTAACGGTTTCATGTTTCTTCGGGAATCCATGGGCAAATCTTGGTTGACTTCGATGATTGCGAATAGACATGTGAGGATCACCCATGACTTTTGGATGCTTTTGGTATAGATTGGGACCACTTCATCTTGGGAGAGCCTTGTTTGTTTGGTGGGGGTGTATACCCCCAAGATGCCCATGTCCTGCAGCTAGGTGGTGGGTGGCCTTACAGGCTATCAGCGATTGGTGTTGGGGGCCCAATGGCACGGCGGATGGTGGTGACCTGGTTCTACTTGTTGTTTCAAGGGCCTATTTCAACCAAGACGCGATGTACTCTGCATGTTTAAACACTGCCAACTTTTGAGCTCACTAATTCAAGTTGTTGTTTTTTCTGTGGATATAGTAAATTCTTCTTGTTTTTTTTGTGCCCTTAACTATCAAGTCGCTGGTGATTTTCCATGTCAATCCTGGTTTCCATCGCTTCCGAGACCCTCGCGTGCCACGGAAAAAGCCTTGAACGCCCAGCGACCACCAAGAGGCACTGCGGTTCCGCCTAGCAGAACTTCGTTGAGTGTTGATGAACAGGATACCCTGCTGTAAATTAACCATGAAGATTATTAAGGTAAACCAATCCTATATGGAATATCCTCAATATCAATGGGGTAATATTGGGTAACGGGACGATTACTGGGGTATGACTCTTCAGTAACCAAAATAGAAAACGGTAAAGCAATGTGAGTTGAGTACTTGATCGTGGCTCCACAAGGAGACCCATTAGTTACCATTAGTTAGGTTTGCCCTAAGCCATTATAAGTGATTGGGAGCACCCCTGTCCTCCTTTTTTTAGCAACATAGACATGGGGATCCACAAGCATACTAAATGTTCCATGTTATCAATGTAGGCAGTCATGTCTTCAACAAACGAATCATTCGTCAGCAAATCATGCGGAACAGTGATGAATTGTGCATCGAATATTTCTGAATTATGAATAGTTGCTGAAAGAAATTCTTGACACCGGGTGGTTTTATCTCAGAAGATTTGAACAATTGGATTTAACCATGTGTAGGTGTGGACCGCCCCAATGTTTAAGCCACAGTCGTTGACCTGGTTGATTTCTGCGCTGTTTTTTGGGGTCCATAAAGAGAAACCAGGCCGATGCAACCCGACACCCATCCGATATTAGACATATTTGAAAAGTTGTTTATAGAATTTTATAGATTGTATAGCTGATTGTTTTAATGTTTTTCTGTTTCATCACTAAAAATGTTCTTGCAAATTCAGCCGTGGTTCAATGGTAGACTTCACTCCGCGAAGGGGTGAAGTCTGAGCCCGCGGGCGGAGAGGAGGACGCTGAGGCGAGGCGGACAAAGTAACATAGATGGCTATGAATCAATACCTATTATATGGAACGTTGGTAACCAAAAATGATGGATAATGGATATATTAATTATAATTAATGATATGGGTATGGATCAATACCTATTAATACCATTTTTAGAGGGATGAACATCCATAAATCCCAGCTATTTTGATGTGAACTACAGGGGTACTATTGGTTTTGACCCACTGCCAGATGTGGAAAAAACCTGTTGGGAAAGCTGTTCGGAAAATGGATCCATGCCATGATCCAATGATCATCAATGATCCACCTAGATGTGGGTTTTCTTTACATCTTCGTCTGGGTTCCATCGCCTTGTTAGATTCCCAGAGGGGTCAGACAGACGGTGCAGTTCTAGTGAACCAGTCGTGGATTTACGACATGTTACAACGGCTATAAGGGTTATAAATGGCCCATAGAAATAGATGGTTTACCCATTAAAAATATTTAAACATGGTGATTTTCTATAGCTATGTTAAATTACCAGAGGGTATATCATGTTATATCCCAGCTTCTGGGGGTGATGATTATGGTTTTATCATGTTTTATCCGTTAAAAACAACTCGACTGATAACCCCAACGAAAAACCCCAGTGGATGTGAGTGGATGTTTTCATGGTACGTTCACACTGGATTGATGGAACTAGGAAAACCATCCCCCAAAAAGGAATAATTAGATAGGATATGCCAAAATGAGCTTAGGATTTGGTTTTGTTTATGGTTTAGGGTTGAATATGAACCTAAGTTGAATATAACATATGACCTAAGGATTTGAACTCTAGGTTTAGGGTTGAACATGGACCCAGTCAGCGGATGGATTTGTCATGATTTTTAAGCCATACGTGGAGGAATAGACTGTGCACTGCCAACCCATTATTGGAAACAACCTCACAACGACTCGCTGCAACGACTGGCCATGAATATGTAAGTGCAATATATTGTACATATATAATATATAATTTAATCATATATTAATATACACATATGTAAGTGCATATATATAATATATATATGTATTGCGTAGGATGTCTGAAGGTTTCTGATGTTTTTGTTCCGCCATGTAACTATTGCCGAAAAAACTCCCCGCAGGTCAAAGCCGATGCCGGGCCATCTCACTACAGCTCCGGTCCAGTTGCTCTACCCATGAGCCCTGAGGCAGCGGGACGTGGAGGTGGTGATGGTGCGGATGGTTGGTTTGGCTGGATACTAATTATATAATGAAGGGTTGGGTGTCATTACTGTAATATATGATATATATATATGATATATATATATATTGATATATGGATTCATTATAAGGATTGGATCTCGCTTTTTTATAAACATCTTTGTTGGGGAAGAGATAGTTTCGGGTTTATCTCAAAATGTTGTGGCGTTGTATCAAAAGTTGCAAGCCCATTCCAGTCTATCATCATTTGACTTAGATGGACATGCATACATTGATGCATCGCCCAGTTGGAGAGAAGCCCATGTATGTTCTGGAATATTTACAGACAAAAAATGCAACAAAAACTGTGTATGTATTAGGTTCGAGAATAGAGTGAGAGACTTTTTTTTTCGTGAGAGCAAGGCATTTGTAGCGGTCATTGGAGGCTATGAAGTGAATACAAGTGTCGTACAACACATGAAAATACCGCCTGCAGGGAGCAATTTGCTGGTTTTCCTGGTGAATGGATGATCAGTCGTGATAGCTCCATTCATCTCCATTCCTGTCTGATGTTGCGATAAAGCGCGGTACATTAGAGAATAATGTGTTCATTGCTGCACAGTACTGAAAGGTTCATTACAGTACTGGTTGGAGCACATAACTCTTTCTCTCTGTTCATGGTAGTGAAACATCCAAAGTTAGTGTGCCCAGGACCCATCCCAATACTGGTTAGGTTATAAACAGTTGAAACTTCAGCCCCGCATCCCAAATATTACTTGCACGGCACCCCAGTTATTCCATTTGTTGATGCCCATACTTGATCGGGCTAATCGTGATGTGTTTCTTCTGTGTGCTCAAATTCCATTGTAATCAGGGTATGGATCAATACCTAGTAATACCATTTTTAGGGGGATGAACATCCATTTACATTCCATTTACCAGCTATTTTGATGTTCACCAGGGGTACCAGGTTTTGACACACTGCCATCATATGCTGCTTAAATCCGCTCTTCATGGGTGGTTCGCTGCGGATTTTTCCAACGTGTCTTGTGGATTTCACCACCATTTGCGGACGGCACAAGAGCAGCCGATGTAAAAATATCCCCTCTTTATGGTTGGTTTAATGCTATCTTCATTTTTCATGGGTCATTAAATGTCCCCATTGAACATCACCCAACCATCTACTATAAGGTGATGTCCAATATTCCCAAAATGGGACAGTTACCAACCCCTGTTTTTCAGCAGGTTCAACGCTCCATTTGTTGGGACTTGTGCTAGTTAATTTGTTTTTGATCCACTTTCCGCCTGCCATTTACTGATGCTTTCTGCAATAAGAGATCACTTCCATACCCACTCTAGCATTGGGGGATACTTAAAGCAATACCATAGTTGTTGTTCCGAGTATTTTTGAGCCACTATGTCCCTCTACAATTCCAAAGCTCCATCCCAAAGTCTTGAAAATTGCAGTCCGAAACTCGCCGCTTCTGATCTATCACGGGCAGGAGAAGATGATGCAGGCTGGCAGATCAGTGGGCGGTCAGCTAAGATCACCGTTTTTCAGCATTGGGTGATTCAAAAGATGCTCGGCATCCTGGGCGACTTTGCTCCTGTAAGCCATTGCTGATTGTTGCTGATTGGATGACCAGCTAAAAGATCTGCAAGGGCGGTTTGGAACATGGCGATATGATTTTCCATTTCATATTAATATATGGAATGTCATCCGAAACCCATTGACTTTCACTCCATCATTTTTCAAGATGCTTAGTCAACCACCAACCAGCTTGGTTATCATCATTATTAACATTTATTAACCATTATTAACCATTATTAGCACTGATTAACCACTATTAACAATGGTTATTGGTGTCCAAGCTCGGCAAGCCAGGATTCCATGGATTCCATGGTGTGTTTCCTTTCGACAGTTTTCGGCAGGGCCGTCGAGGTCGTAAATCGGCCACTCGTCACGGTCAACGTTGATAACGTAAGAAGCCCCCAGTTGAAGAACTACGAATTACTGGTAGTTGATCAATGATTTATATGATTTCGTTTCTAAATTCAATGTTTCTGGTTGGTGGTTTCATTTCTTTTTAAATGTTCCATCATATATTTGGGGAATGTCATCATCCCAACTGACGAACTCCTATTTTTCAGCGGGGTAGGTCAACCACCAACATATATACTATTAAAAAAAACATCTATAAATGGTCCATTTTCCATGATTATGTTAAATAACCAGAGGGTACCCTCTGGTAAACTAACATAACTATGGAAAATCACCATGTTTAATGGGAAAATCCACTATAAATGATCATTTTCAATAGCTATGTTAGTTTACCAGAGGGTAAATGTTTCATCCAGTGCTACCCGTTGTGCTATCCAGTGACTTTCGTTGGTGACCTTTGCAGGTCAGGAACTACGCGCGGCGTCCCAGGGGGAACTTAACGATCAAACTCAACTGATGGTTTTCAGCGTAAGGTGGTAAACCAAATAAAAAACCATCCCCATCAGAAATGGGTTGTCATATATATATATATAATCATATAATATATATGTTACTTTCGAGGTAACTGAGGCTAATTCTAAGGTAAGTGGACCCAGTAGATATCCATATATTATATAATATGTTCCACTAGGTTCCCCCCCTCCGTTGCAGCGGCTTCTGCTGCTACTGCGGCTGCTGCCGCCACCACCCTTCTTCTGCCGCCACGTGAAGGCCAGCCTGTGGTCGGAGGTGGCCGTGGTGGCTGATGAATAAAGTATCGGATTCTCATGATATAATTATAGTTATTATGTATATATTTTAGTTATAGTATATAATTATGTAATCAAAATCAAACATCAGATCATCATACTAAGTATCTGAATAATTATGAGGGGCTGTATCAAAGTTCACGTATCAAAATCCAATCCCATGCACAAAGCCGTTTCAGATCCAATCGAAATGGTTCAAAACTTGGCGCAGTTGTTGGCACAGCGCAATGCTAGAGCATCTGCATTGGCAGCCTCGCAGTCAGTGCAGCTGCCTAGTTCAAGTTCAGTGAATGCAGCTGGCAGTGCGTCAGCAGCAGCGAGCAGTGGGCCGTCAGCAGCAGCGAGCAGTGGGCATAGGACAGCAAGTGCGTCAGCATCAGCGGGTGGTGCAAAGGACGCCGCTGCGTCATCATCCCCGAAGCCCACGAACAACAAGTTGTATGCAATCTACGGGAAGCCTCATGTAGCCACTCCCAAAAAAAAAGGGGCACCGAAAGCTAGAGGGAAAGCAAAAGCCAAACCAAACTCTGAACCCAAGACCAAGAAGCAGCCCCAGCCCACAGAGGACCCCATAGAGTCAGAGGATTCCCCGCTCATAGCCACAGAGGACCCCATAGAGGAGTCCCCGCTCATGGAGGAGCCCCCGCTCATGGAGGAGCCCCCGCTCAAAGAGCCCAAAAAGAGACCAGCTATGAAAAGGCCTGCCTCGTCAAGAGGGAAGAAAGTTTTGAAAAGGCCTGCCCAACCCAATGTAAAAGACACAAAGATGGAGCAGGCTGAGGAAGAAGATCATCTCAATTCAGAAGAGTTAGAAACGGATGACAATTCAATGCAACTAGACTTCAAGATCAAAAGGGTTGAGGGTTCTTTTGTGCTTGTTTTTTTCTTTGTTGTTCTTCTTGTATGAAGCGGGTTGGGTTCCATGGATCTAAGGGACTCGTTTCCACTTCCGGAGACATTGCAAGACTTGGAGACTCTTGCCTCAAGAACATGATTATAGAATTTGTTGTTTCCACAATAACCCAACGGAAATTCAAGTAAAAAAAACATGTTTTCTATCACCTTGAAATCCCAAAATGGGAAATACCATGAATTAAAGGAACTGGGCCACTACTACTTTGAAGCGTTGTGCGCAATACTTTGGGGAAGAGCATGTGAAGCAGCAGCTTGCGCGCGAACAACGCATTTGCACCTTGTTTTCGGGTGTGGAATGCCCGCGGAAAGCATGGGAGAGCATCAGTCAGGCAGCGTGGGATCTTTGGGCAGTTGAGACTGGGGTGCGGTTCGTATGTGCTGTCTCCCAGCAAAGCTGAGTAATTGTTGTAGTTTTTGGTTTAGTTTGATTTTCTGTGGTTCATTTTGCCAGCCCACAAACTGAAAATATGTTTTGTGTTTATATAGCCTTTCCGCAATAACCAGGTTGAGAACAACAAACAGTGTCAGAAGGTGATCCTCTCCCTCTACCCGGATTGTTGTTTGTTTGGAAACATTTTTGATCTCATCAAGAATGGGGACAAGGTTCCACAGAAAAAGCTTCTGGATCCCAAGAAGATTAAATTTCGAGCCCGCGCTCACTGCCTAGCTCATGGAAAAGAATGTGACTTGCCAGACTTCAATGATCTTGCAGTTACTTTGGGGGCCCCATGCGTCCTCTTCAGCAAGCATCTTGCTGTTGAGTAGCAATTGTATTTGGTTGTTTTTGTCTTGATGTCGCTTTATTTTCAATTCAAGCAAGGGATGCAAATCATATCAAATTTCCATCATATCAAACCAGCGGGGCTATCCCAATGCGAGGTTGGGTTCACGCAAGGGTTTCAAAAACATTGCTGAAGCTCAATGTCACGCGGTGGCCACTGCAATCATGAACGCGGCTGATGCAGCAGTGCATGAGAATGTCAAGGGCTATGATGGTACCCACCTAGAGAAGAACTGCACTCATTGTATCGACATGGCTGAGCAACTTTTCTTTGAATAAACCCGAGGTATGTTTTAATTTGTGTGTGCCCCCCAACCTCTTTATCTAGCAGCCAGCCCGTTTTGTCCACGCCTGGTTGTGCAGCCCAGGCTTTGCCCTCAACAGTTTGGCAGCCCCAGCTCCAGGCCTCGTGAGTACAGGCTCACGTGGAAACCAAGCAAACGGGAATGGCAGGCAGACTCTTGGGCACAGATCTCTCATAATTATGTTTCTCAATGTTTCATCTTAGGTATATTTCACTCATCATTCATCTTAGTATGTTTCTCGATCTTGAATTTTTGTTTCTCCCAACACTCCTGGGGGCTTAGGATCAGAACTTCCAAGTCTTGACAGAACAAATCCTAGCACCGGCGAAGACAAATTCAACCATGGGACCTCAATGCTTCGCACTGGAAAAGGATCCCCCGAAGGACCTCTTCGAGAATGGATTGCCACTGTATTTTGGTCTCATTATCAACTTGTCATATAAACCTTTTGGTTTCCATAATCATTAAGTGGTATCTTGGTTTCATTGAAATAAAACGTCAAAACGATTATTGATATGACTTGTGACTTAATAATCATTGATATCACATCCGTTATCAAATTTCAACTGCTACATATTTTTTTATGTCTTGATTGAACAACGTTAACGACCCAACATCCACCATCCACCTGCTACACGAGGTCGATGAAGGAAAGTTTGAAGCGCTATCGCAAGTCCTTTCCAGAGAAGGACATGTATGATCTTAGTCAGTCCATTGCACGTGCCCGGACTGATTTGAAGAATGGGGACCTTTTGTGCCTTGCAACAAGTTCGACTTTTTTATGGTCTGAAACTTTGGGACGTTGCATGTCAGGCAAAGAGAAACTCAAGACCTTGCTTTACCCAATTGAAAATCATGAAGATGTGTTCAATGAGATCCCAGAATCAGCTCTCACCAAGTTTTCTGGGAATGGAATGTTCCTGCCTAACATCGGATGGGCACTTCTGTGCTCTACGCTTTGCGCACTGCCAATTGAGCAGTGAAAACTCTCGGTGATCAAAGGATATCAAAGGTGCGTGGCAAAACAAGTACTGTGTGAGTTTGAAATGGGGCCTAAACAATCCTGCAAAGGCAATCCGAACCAAGCATCTTACTAAAACATACCCTTTAGTAAACATCATTCACAATTTGGTGAGAAATACATGGTTCAATATCAAGACCAGCAAATTTCTTGGAGTCACATGTCCCACATGTGTATGAGAAGCAACCGCGAGGCATTTACAAGTTGTATGTCCCAAGACACACTTCATAGAAACACATTGCACAGCAACACTAACTAATAACTAATTAACTAACACACTGACGCACACAGAATGAAAACATAATCACAACATAATATTATAATATGGACGCATAGGCCTAGGGCATCTACATAGTACACAAGCCACCATGTTCAAAAATATTCTTAAACATTAGAATCATTTGTCATCAGCACTTGCTAAGTCACAACAGAAGCAATATGGTGTCTAAAGATGGATTGTATGCTATGAACTAATATCATAAACAATACCCAAACCCGGTCTAATACCATTGCTCCTCTTTGCAGGCAGCCTGCCGCAGTGGGTGGCGCCTGACAGAGCCGGGGTGCTTGGATCGTGAAGCACCAGGATTGTGGCAACTAACGCAGGGATTTTGATTGGTTCCCGAAGCCATTTGGCACATAGTCACAGACCGCTCCAAGTGTTGAATAAATCAGTGAGCAACAACATCAGACCATATCAAACTTCATCCGCGAGAAACATCACCATCTTTTTGAGAGTTGGAAATCAAATGTTAACTTTCAAGTCTTTACTTTATGCGCATGGATCCTCATGAGACTCTTTGCTCCGGAGGGGCCGGAGCGGAGCTGTCCAATTCCAAAAAAGGCTGCTAAGAGACTTTTCCAAGCAGAACCTGAGGAACCAGGCCAGCCTGGTTTCCATCCAACTTTCCAAATTCCAGTGTTCCAAATGTTCAAAGACTGTTGTTTTGCATGCTCTCTATTTCCCCAATCCAAGACATTCCGTAAATCAAGGGATATCTTCATTGTTTTTTCTTGATTGAATGGTTTGACATACTGTTTGACCCTGAGGCAAACCTAAGGGAAGAAAACCAAAAAAGCCTGCTGTTTTTCAACGAGAGCCTGAAGAAGGTCATTGCCCTCACAGATCCAATCATGTAGACAAACGCTTAGGAATGATTCTTAGCCATGAACCTGAAGAACAGTCAGATTCAGATACCTCTACAGGTTCAGAACCGCCGGGGCCCTCTGTTTTCTGTTTGGGGTGGCACGAGTTGACCCGTACTTGCAAAGCTAACCTGACACGCGATGCTTCTCAAGCAGGGAGGCAAGTCCAACAAAAGAGGCCCTATGACAACAAGCAGCGCGCAGAGAAGGCTGCTTACGTGCGGAAAGGGGGGCAGTTCAAGAAGAATGGTGTTTCTGAGAAACGGATTCTGCAGATACTCTCCAAGGACATCTGTTTGTGCAACCCAGTGCAAAATTAGCCAACCATTTTCTTTACATCCTGTTAATGTAGAGATTGGGGATATATTGGCACAAAATAGTGTATTATTATGTCAAATGTAATACGCAAGTTTTTGTGGTTGTACATCCCACCCCAATCTGGTAAAGGAGATGCCATTTCCATTTTGTAATGGGAAACATCAGGTGCTCGGAAGCATTGCTTCACCCAGTACACCGCCAAGGAGATCAGCGCATTCTTGGCAGAATTCTGGTCCCTCCGCAAACAGGATCAAGATAGCCTTGTCCCATTGGTTGCATTTCAGATTTTTTCAAACAAAATATTGAAGATAGGGAACCTATGGCAACCTGCAGTAGTTGGACTGGTATGTTGTCAACCCCTGGTATGACAAACCCGGATCCTTTTTACTGGTATGTTGTCAACCCCTGGTATGACAAACCCGGATCCTTTTTATATATTATATTATTCATATTGACCCTGTCAGTTGAGCACCTCTTTGGATGGAAAGGGCGCCGTGGAGAGCCTGGTGTTCATGGGGAAGACAATTGGGTTCAAATGCCTTGCTTCAATTCTTGGGATTGGCAAGTCACGACTGAAGAGAGGTTTCGACAGCAGTCCTGATTTACGTTTTGGTAAGCCCAAGAATGAGTCACACAAAGACACCATGAGCATCGATGCCTTTTTGGCCCTACAATATGAGAATGTGGCGGAAACCCTCCCAGACAGGCGTGCTATTCGATGTTGAACATCTCTTTGTTGAAACATGTTGAAACATTTTGTCCTAGAGAATAAATGTGGAAATGTGGATTCACCTATTATCCCTTCTATGGGGAAACCTCAAATCCCTTCAGGTTCGTGCGGAGGGGAAGAGCTGCAAAAAAGGATGATGCTGATTTCGATATAGTAAGTGATGTAGATGATGCAGAACTGGTGACATGGCTTGAGAAACCTGGTTTGGGAACAGCACTGCAGCTAATCCAGCAGCCGGGTGACGACAAGAAAATGGCAAAATACCTACCCCCGGGGAGCATTTCAGACCTGTTCCATCATTATCAGGCGGCACGCACATTGATTGGAGCAAAGAGTGTGTCGTTCCTGGATTTGAATTAACATTGGATTTTTTTGGGTTATTTGGAACCAACTTTTCCGGTCTTGAATTAAGTTCAAAACACCCCGGCAAACCCCACCCCATGGCCTTGCTGAGGTACTCGACTTTCCTGCGCGTCTTCAAGGCACGCTGGTCAGACGTGCTGAAATTTAGAGAGAAGAACTTGTGTCTGGCAAACAATAAGCCTTACATGTTTATTTGGCAACTTAAGTTACAGTGGGTGTGTCTTATTGACTCTAAGTTTAGTTTTTTGTTTCCATTGAATCATATTGAATCCACACCCTAGGTTTTCGAGATGCGAGTTCTGCTTCCACCAATCCCAACAAATTTCAGACCGGTCAGCTTCATTGGAAGAGAAACTTCATGCTGTCAAGGTGTACAGGGACCATTTATACAGCCAGTATTGCGATAGGTCCATACAATGGAGTCTGGAGGAGGCATCACGAGATCCATCCTCCGGGGTGTTAAGCATCCTGTTGGATGGTATGGACCAAGCAAAGTTCAGACTCCCAAAGCACCCTGGACATCGGGCAGTGTCGTCAATGACCCTAGGCTAAATTTTGCCCTTTGTCCCCAGATTCTGGGTTCAACTACTGAGTGTTTGGGGGCATTTTAATATGTTAGAATGATCGATTCATACTCAATCATACCGAATCATACCCAATCAAAAGCAAGTTATTATTATGTGACCCAATTTTTGCCTTGGACCGCCAAGGGCAAATGTCATAAGACCATCTCTCAAAATTCATGGTGCTTGGGCAGTGGGTTCCTCGGGCTGAAAGTCAATGTTTTATATGTTTGTGGGGCAAAACTACGCAAGTGAACATCCCAAAAAACCTGTCCAGTTCATTGTGGGGGTCTCCGACCTTCAAACCATCATTTCAATATTTTCTAAGAGTGAGAATGGGCTTTTCCCAACTTTAGGGGTCCAATGACCCTGCACTTGTACTTGGCCAGGATGTAGTAAAAGTTTACATGCTACCAGGCTGGACATTGAATCTATATGTGATGGATGAAACCTTGAAGCACGATGCCAGCTGCCTCTGCGAATGTGTGTCCCTTACACTGGAAAGGGTTGCCCAGATCGCCAGGAAAAGAGGAGTAGCTTTCCCTCATACTATAATTTTGATGTCGGACAATTGTGTCCGTGAATGTAAAAATCAGTACTTCATGTTGTACATCACAAACATCCTGGCCAAGTACAAATGCAGAGTCATTGGACTGTTAAATTTGCGCAAAGCGCACTCACACTCAGCCATCGACCAGCTGTGGGGCTTAATTGCCCGTCGAATCAGTTGCTGCGATACCCTCTACAGCCCTACCAGTGTCATCAGCACCATCCTCCAGGAGTTGCACAGGCCAAGCCTCCGAAGCTGGATAGGGATGAATTCCGAGATCCACTGTGAGAAGCTCAACGCAGTTCACGCCTGGAAGGGTCACTTCCAGACACCCCAGCAGGTCGGATTTGCAGGAGGTTTGCTAGAGGATGACACAGCAAATCACTGTTTTCTGATGATGCTGCGCCGAGGCATGGAGTTAAAGGGACATTTATAAGGATGATGGTGTTTCAAACATGTTTATTATACTTTGTCTAAAGATATGTAAAGAAAATAATATATAGTAACAGTAATAATATAATATATAAATATGGAAAATGATCTGAACTGTGTTTGTCCTTAAACAGTTTTGAAGACACCCCGTGATTGGATTTGAGTTCCTTTCAGAAACCCTGTAGACCTTCCAGAACAATTGGCTACCAACCTTGATTCGGGATCTTTGCGGGCACCAGCAAACCCATGCGATGTTTGCATGTTGGTGAAGCAGTACATCTCTTCCAAAAGCTTGGCACAAAGACCCCTCCGGGTGATGACGCCGGCCCGTGCTTCGAGGGTGGGGATGATTCCGGCCCACAAGTACCCTGCAAATAGTCCATTGTAGTTTTTACCCTCGAAATATTTGATTTTGGGATGGTGTTCATATTGGGATTGTACCCAGACTTAGATGGTTTCATTTAGCACCCAAACAATTCACCAAAACTAAGGCACCCAAACAATTTCAGCGCCAACTTTCGAGATCAATGTATCAAAGTAGCTGAGGCTGTTAGAAAAAGCTATGGCCCTGAATACCGGGAAAGCGTTGAGTACTTGATTGCTCTGGCCAGAAATGATTTGTATTTGACAGCAAGTCTTCCAAATTTACCATGGCATCAAAGGCCTGGTGCTGAACCAGGAGTTGGGGACCCTGTTAACAGGTTGCACCCCAGCGTCCTATCTGCTTTGGCGCCTGCTATGCCCTTGCGGGCTGTCTTTGGCGGGAACCGTAGAGTTTGACCTGGGAGAGATTTGCCAGTTTGGGTCATGCAACTCTTCAATGCAAAGTACTACAAGTTAACCAGGATGGTGTAATATGGGAAATGGCTATTTATCTTCACAGACAAAGTCAAGGTGATATAATGTGGGAATGTTACCATCCTGCAAACCAGTGTGATGCAATATGGGAAAGCTATGGCCGGTGCGTCCCAATATGATACAATTACCCTATGGAACACATGTTCTTACCCTACCAACCTTTACAATGCAATGGGGAAATGATGAACCAATCATACATGCCCTAAAATATGGGAATGTCGGATGTAATCAAATTATTGCATTAAAGCCAGTTATTAGTTTCAATGTGGCTTTGGTGACCCAGATGTCTACTGACATAATCCGATGGGTTGTTTGGCGTCCCGGTCCTAGGGTGTCTTAGTCTTGTTCAACAAGACTGAGTGTTTCGGGATCTAAAAGAGATCCACGGCAGAAAAATCCAACCAAGTGCGGGTGGGTACCTCTTGGATTGTTGTTTGCAGCGGAGCAGGGGCAAAAAAAAAATGATTATGGTAACCACCTCGTTTTAACATCCAATTGTCTTCTGCTAATGGACTAATCATCATTAAAGCATTGTTATGTTCTGCTAATTTTCCATTTGGGTTGGCCCCCATGTGAGAAAATACTGTATTTTCCTGACAAGTGGAAAACTGCCATGATGTTCCATGACCAGTCCGTACTTGCCATCAAAATGGATTGTGCAATAAACATCGTACTATGGATTCATGGAGGGTATTTACCACCAACTACTGGTTGACTGTATCCGCATCTTATTACTAAATAAAATCATCCACACAGAACTGTATGTGGGAATAACTCTTCTGCTCAGCCCAAGGCCAGAGATTCTTCCTTGGGTGGAAGGCCATCCCGGGATGGCTGGGGTGTGTGGGTTTGGGTTACACATCATCTTGAAGGAGTCTACCACCTCACTGATTGTATGCAAAGGGTTTTTCTCCTCGGCTTTTAAAGGCACAACGACGCTTCTAAAGTGCAAAGCTTAAGTCAGAAATCAAATCTTCTCTCAGCCGCATTGGCCACTCATTGATCCCCACAAGATGGTTTTAATATGTTTTAATATCCCATTAATATCCCATTAATATCCCATTAAATCACTATAAAATCCCATTAATGATCCTTTGGCCGACCGCCAGGTGTGCCGCAATCTTCCAACAAGGACAGAAGCGTGGCGATTGGGTACATGATGAAAAGATCAGAATAGCCCCCAAAACAAATAAAGCCAAATAAACATCTTGGAGGAGAAATTCATTGAGGCCCCTCATAATATCTAACCCATCCAAAACCACAATTCAAACAATTTGGAAGCTGGGTTTTCTTTGGGGATATGTTTCAACAATACCACTTATTAAATGGATTTACTTTAGGTTTTTGGCAAAGCTTTTTGTTGGGCCTGGAAGTTTGGGTTCCCCAAAATCGATGTACTTGAGAACACCGGTTCCTTAAAATCGATGTACTTGAGAACCCCGGTTCCTTAAAATCGATGTACTTGAGAATCCCGGTTCCCCAAAATCGATGTACCTGGCATTCCCGGTTCCCCAAAATCGATGTACTTGAGAATCCTGGTTCCCCAAAATCGATGTACTTGAGAATCCTGGTTCCCCAAAATCGATGTACTTGAGAATCCTGGTTCCCCAAAATCGATGTACCTGGCATTCCCGGTTCCCCAAAATCGATGTACTTGAGAATCCTGGTTCCCCAAAATCGATGTACTTGAGAACCCCGGTTCCTTAAAATCGATGTACTTGAGAATCCCGGTTCCCCAAAATCGATGTACCTGGCATTCCTGGTTCAACCATTTCATCCAAATCGATGGACTGGCTAGTCAAAAACTGGTGAAATCTCAAAAGTCGATGGACTCTTTGAGCTAGAGACCATTGAAAATCAAGCACATGTTCTGTTCAGGGACCATTCCCGTCCATTGAAAATCATGTTGAACATCAACATAAGGATCAATGTACCGGACGGGGGAGAGTCCATTGAAAACCCTAGTCTATGGCACCCGGGCATTGATTTTGATGTTGAGCCCCAACATAAGAATCAATGTCCAGGCTGGAAAACATAGGGTTTTCAATGGACTCTGGGGGGTAGAGTCCATTGAAAATTATGTTGGGCCCCCAAATCAAAATCAATGGACTTGAATGGTATCAACATCAATTCCGAAGAACTTTTCCATCTCGAGAGGGTAGTGGAAGCCTAAAACCATGGCTTCAGTCATCGAAAACCCATTCCTAAAGATTGCCAAGCAGCTCACCACACCGGTGAAGAAAAAGGAAGAAGGGGCCAAGGACGAGGACTTGACGCCAACTCCTGTGACGGCCAAAAAAACATGTACCACCTTCGAGAAATGGTTGAAGAAACAGGATGGTGACGTTTCCTTGCTGAGGGACACTTTGACATGAAAACAGATCTGGTGTGGTCTGATAATTTCAGCCATGATTACAGTAGGTTTATTCTATACCAAAAAAATCTAACAACTTGAGATGGATTTTTTTCCCACTAAAAAACAATGATGATCATCAAGAATATCCTTTCACAAAAACATGTTCAACAACTCTTTCATTTTCTTGGCCATCAATTGGAAACATGTTTCTTCTGGTTTCCAATCTGGGAAGGGGTAAATATCGGAAGTGATTCAATATACAAACACTCATCATCAGTACCACCATCAAGTTTTCCTGCAATCCAATACTGAGGACATGCATACGTACATGTGTAGCTTTGAAGAGTCGGAATCCAGCGCCCACCCGTGTGATGCAGTGCCCCACGTCTTGGATTGCGCCAATGATGAGTCAAAGGCATTGCGCACAAAGGAGATGGCGGGCTGGTTTCGCGAGTATGTGGAGAAACGGGGGAAACCGGTTCTTTTCAAGGCTTGCAGCGAGTTTGTCAAGGGCTTAATCGTTTGTTTGAAAACATAATATTCAGTTTGTCATCATTGTATTCATCATATATTTATAACATTTATCGGGTTATGTTACCCAGGCCTTGGATCCCAGCATGGCCGATGACACCGTCAAGCTGCCCATTACTGCCCTCAAGTCCCTTTCCCAATAAGCATCTATTTTGAGTAGTGTAATAAATTGTTTGGGATGCCAACCACCAAAGAATTAACAATTATTTTTCCATACCCTCTTGTCAGCGCAAGGTTTGCCATGCCACCAGATGGCATGCCGTGCTTGCGTGATTGGACTACTTGTTGGGAATCTATGATCACTGGCGGCATTGATCTGGGTAAAGAGCCTATCACAGTCAATGCCCTTGGGCTGAACATTGGACCCCAAAGTTTAAAGTAACATATTTTTTTGCTTCTTGGCCATGTACCCCCCCCCCCTCCAAGCCCAGTCCATCCATGTCCTTGGCCACGTACAGGTTGATTTCAGCGGAGTTCCTGCAGGCTGCTTGTCTCCAAGTGGTTCACCCACAAACTAAGTAATGGGGCATGTTGAATAATTAATATACTTCCACTAAACCCATCACTAATATATGATTAAGTCGAGTTGGATGATCCTCCACTAACTCCCAAGGCTTGCAACTGGTTTTTGTCGGAATCACCATTCAATAGCAGATAGACTATAACAAAAAAACATATGTTCTGCCCAACCACCTCAGGTACGAAGATGACCCTGACAGAAAGCAGTATCACCGTGGTCAAAGGATTCACGAAGGCATCGGTGATTGCCTTTGTCTTATTGGCATTGACTGAAATGGACATCACCCGGGAATGGTCCTCTCTCCAACCGTTCATTCATTTTTTGGACCGATCATGGTTGTTACCCATGAACGTGACCTGGCCTAATTTCACCTACCATCTTTAACTTTTGTTCCATTATGTTTTTGTGATTGAATGATGGGTTCAATGGACTCAATGGTTTTGTTTTTCTAGTTTAGTTTAGGGATCCATTTCTTGGGGCCGTTTTTCATCTAAGATTCTGATCAACAAGTCCACCGTGGAGTGTGTCTACACCAATTTACAGTTGTCATTCAGAGGTGCTGAAAGGCAACCCCCACACGTTCTTTCGCTGGCACTCATGTTTTCTAGAGTGATGCAAGAATGTGCAGAAAATGGATCACACCCAGCAAGTTGGGGGACAGAAGAACGATTGAAGGCAGTTGTCAATGCCTTTAATTCGAAGGATGGGGTTTTGGCCAAATGGGCCGTGGATGAGGAACGCGAGAAAGCGATCCTGAACGTTTTGGTGGGGACAACAGCCACCACCCGCCATCTGATTTCCACACATTTGTCGTTTAACAAGTGGAAAGAAAGCAGTTTCACCTCTGATCTTTTGAAGAGTTCACGGTGGTTGCTTGGGGCTGTGCCCAAGCATTGCAAGCCACCATTCAGAAGGCTCTTGGCGGTGACCCCTTCTGGGCAGGAGAACTTCCTACGCAATCATGTGGCCAAGTTTGCGCATGATACACGCAAAGTCCGTGCATCAACCAAACCCAAGTTTCGCCCAAGTGTTCAGGAGTGGGACCGGGTTGTCAACTACACGCAAATCATGGAGGCAGTGAAAGCAGAGGTCACCGATTACTTCAAGGACGACGAGAAAAAGGCAGCTGAGGTGAATGCACGCGTTCACGAAGCCTTCATGTCAAGGATGGGTTGATGGTTTTGTGGGGGAATTTGTACATTTTGTGGGAACAAGTTTAACAAGTTGTGGATCCTTTAACTTCTTGATCTATATCAACTTTTGACAAGTTGTAGATTTCCTTTGTTCAAGGGAACATTCTGCACACCTCACCATACCCCCCCGGTAAGTTTGGGGACCATTCTCCAAGAACCTAATAACCTGGAACCTCCAACTCCAGGGACTACATGGCTGAAATCCTTGCATGTGTTGAAAGCTCCCTTCCCAATTGGAGTGTGCGACACTTGAGCCTGTGGAATGAGATGATTGCCCCGGAACTTGTGGAAGAGATCAACCAGGTGGACCTAGAATCTGTGGAGGAGGCCACAGCCATTGCCCTCTACCAAGAAGTACGTTCCAAAGTGTCGTAGCTTTCAAGCATGTTGGTCCTATCGAAATGTTTTTAAATTTACCATTTGACATTTTTTTGTTCTATGGAGGGTTCTCCTCCTCCTTTAGTGTTTCTGTTTGAGGCTTGATGAAGTTGCTTGGGCACGGTACCGTCACCAGTTGACGAAGAAAGCTGCACGAGACCATGTGGTTCAAGTTCAGCACGCGAAGTCACAGAACACAATTGGTTTGGGGATCCTTAGCTATTATTTTAGCAAGGTTATCTTCCGGATACGCCTTAGCTTACTTACTCTTCTGAAATAAACATATTATTTGGGGATACTGAGATACTCAAAGTTTGAAGATTTGTATACTGGGTCAAGCATAGGATTGTGGAGAAGTACATGGATACGCATTGCAACCTGAACTTCATGAAGGACATCAGCACGATGCCTAACATTGACGCGTGGATGAAGTCAGCGGCAGCTGAATTGAAGGTTGGGGCTTCTGGCAAAACTGGGCCGGGCAGTACGTAGTACTGTAAACTTAAAGGTATCGGCATAGGTTTATGATATCGTTTATGGTATGGTTAGCCAGATTTCCAAAAAGCCTCTGCATGGATACCAGGGACTCGTGAAAACAATGTAATGTGCAACATACTCTGGTCATTTGTGGAATCAGCTTTTGAAGGTTCCCATTACTCCTTTTTATCCCTATTCAAAAGGATGCCATGATATTGTTGTCACTTTTCAGGGTGCAAAATTGTTTCTTCAAGGGAGCCCCAAGATAGAAATCATTAAGCTCACAGAAATCATCAACTTTGAATCCATTGCCACATAACTCCCAGGTCAAACAAGACCAGCTGTTTGTGGTGGTGATCACTGACTTCACGAAGCATGGAACCCTCACTACAACCGCGCTCAATCGGCACGTTAGCTTGATGTCAAAGTGCTTGGCCAAGAACCCAAAGAGCTGCTTCACCAGCACACATGTTTAAAAAAATCCCGGAATTGTTTTAAGTTCTCCCTCTCTCTCTCTCTCTCTCTGTTCTTGAGTGGATTTTGTTTTCTATTCCATTTTTGTTTTGGGAACCCAGGCTCTGCGGGATTGCTCATCGCTCCACTGTTGGCAGGGACTGCTGGCGGAGGCTCATTGAGGTCTGACTGGAGGCTAGGGTCCTAAAGCCTAAAATCCAAAGCCATTAGTATGGGTTTGATGTTTGCTTGGTTCACATGATTATAGTACTGTTGTTTTTTCAACATGAATTTCTGACAAAGGAATTTTGAAAAAATCATCCAACATAATTTTGCGATGCTCTTTTTTGAAAACTCATTTTTGAAGCTGGCACTTTACCAGTACCCAAGAGTCAACGAGACAATTTTCAATTTTCAATACTGAAGTGGTTGCTTTCTGGGCGAAGGCTGATCGAGAACAAGTTGGAAGAGTACAAGCTGGGGGTGAGAGACATCCGAATTCCAGTTGACATGAGCGGGATCCACCGAAACAGCGAGCGTCCTGCATACTATTCCGGATGGGTTGCTGTGCCGGACGTGTACCTGCCAGCAAAGGGAACGGCCTACAGGGCAAACAAACACGATGACCAGTCGATCAAGGCCGCAGATGTGAGTGAGATTTGTGGATCAGATCTCTGGCGCCTGCAAGGCATTCCCTTTGACCAGATCCCTTCAGCATTGCCGGAGCAAGACTTCAAGGTCCCCTCCGCGAAGGCTCATTTGGGTTGCCAAGATGGACGCAAAAATCTCACGGACGTTCAGGAGACGGCCCAATGGGTTGCTGGAGAAAGTGTGGCAACCAGCATGTTGAAGTCATTGCTGGGCCACTGGTTTGAATTTTGAACAATTAGCATCAATTGTTTTTTTCCCTGCAAGTTAAAAGATGCAATTTGTGGTTGCTCATTTTTTGTGGCATTGTTTCTTGGTTGCTGTTATCGTTTCTTTGTTTCAGGTGACAATCTCAAGAGAGCGGCGGTGCTGCACACAACAACCTATTGTGGAAGTGTTGAGCTTGCCTGCATCAAGTTGAAGGTGCCGGTGCTGTCAGTGAGCGAGAATCCTGTGAATCATGGCTTCACTCTGCTTACGGTTTCCCAATCCCTTCTGGAGGAGAAAGTGTTTCAAATCTTTGTGGTAGGTGTTTTAAGCTCTGAGGGATATGTTTTAATCGTTTTGCTGTAGGTGTTTCAAAAGTGATGTGAGAGGGGTTTCTTCCTCAACCTGCAGGAGTGGAAGCTAGGCATCGGTGGCATTGGCAAGTGTTTGCCAAAGTATCAGAAGGATGCTGTGGACAACATGCCCATTGAAGCCACGCAACCTGAACTTTTGCTTTGTGAGATCCAGGACTCCAAACTCCAGATTCCTCTGACAATCCGTCAGCAGTACTTGAATGATCCGATTCGATGTCCGGAATGGAGAGCAGTGTTGAAGGAGTTTGACAGGAAATGGACCACGGAGGTCAATCCAACTGATCTTGAAGCTGGAGAACGAGATCAACCAGGTTCCGACGAAACCTTTTCATGGCAGACGGTTTACCCTGATGAGCCGTGCACGAAGTCCGAGATGGAAACCAAGTATGGCACATCAGCTACAAGTTTTGCAATCAATGATCACCTCGCTGGGCACATTGTGGAAGGGCCTCGCCTCTTTGTGGTGTCTTCCGGGGAAGGTGAGTTTGGGACGGAGCAGCCTGTGATTTGTTTTGGAGCTGGAGTGTGGTTGTTGGAGAACAAAGCTGAGCAATTCCTTCAGGATTGGGAGTTTGTTTCCAATATTTTTGCAACTGAAGAAAAAACATGGTAGTTGTTTCGAAACCTGACATCCTTAAAGTGTTTTTCGCATTGTATGGTTTCAGTTTGTTGATCACCTGAGACTGGCAGGAGAATCCAGACAAGGGCTACAAGTTCGAGATTTCAAGCGACTCTGCTACGGTGGTGCTGGTGGTTTCTCAGTTTTTGTTCAATTTCATTACATTTTGTTTGGTGTTTTTTTGGGAAAAAAACAATCAGTCAAATTTTGGGCTGCTGATAGTTGGCTTGATCCCTGTTCAGGACAGTGATGGAAATGACACTGCTCCTTGCACAATCAGGGCAGCCATTCACTCTGTGGAGCAAGCCGGCACGGTGGACTTTGAGCTGGCTGGGCATTCATGCAACAGGCCGCCAGAAGTTTGCCAAGGATCGGAAGAGGAAGACAGGCCCGTGTTTCAAGGGGTCCGTGTTGTCAACAGGGGGTCCGTGTTTTTGGGGTAGAACAAAAAAATAAGAGTATCAAAACTTTTGGTTGGTATATTTTTTGAATACTGTCCTATAGGAAAATAAAATAATGTAGACAAATACCGGGTTTCATTAAACATTTTTTTTGTGTCACATGGTTTCACTCTGGCAGGTTCGAGATTGCTGTGAAGGACGCAATGGTTTGGAAGCCATCCGCAGTTCAACTCCGAAATGTCAAGTCCAAGAACTGTGCCTCTTATTTTGATGCCAAACAGATCCGAGAGTCCGAGGCTGTTCAGCAGGCTAGGTCTGGATAAACTATGTTTGCCTTTTGCCAATCCACCAACCCCAGCTCAAAGTGGGGTTTCATGTCAAAGTGTTTTATTCCTTCGCATTGCCCGTCAAAATGTTAGACTATCTATTCTCCATCTACTGTCTTCATAATATTTTTCATAGGGAGACAACTTTGCATACAACTTTATATCTCATTCAATGGGGAGACAAATATAATATCTTATTCACTTCTTTCAAACAGTAAACATTAAATCAAGACCCTGCAGGTTTGGCGTCTCCGTATGTACACCACGGAGAAGATCTTAGGTGCGGCAAAACCCCTGCTGTTTCTGAAGGCTAAGCTTGCACTTGGCAATGGCCAGTGCAAAAGAATCTTGTAGATGGTGGCTTCTCAGCACTGGAATTGAAATTATTGTTGTAAAAACGGGTATATCTAATCGATCCTATGGAGAGATCTTCCATCAACCAGCTTCCCATGGCCAAGAACATCAAGAAGAGCATCGAAGACAAGGAGCGCAAGGACAAGATCGAGGCCCACAAGACCAAGAAGACCAACAAGACCATCGACGACAACGAGCGCAAGGACAAGATCAAGGCCCACAAGACCAACAAGACCATCGACGACAAGCAGCGCAAGGACAAGATCGAGGCCCACAAGTCCGAGAAGACCATCGACGACAAGCAGCGCAAGGACAAGATCGAGGCCCACAAGTCCGAGAAGACCATCGACGACAAGCAGCGCAAGGACAAGATCAAGGCCCACAAGACCGAGAAGACCATCGACGACAAGCAGCGCAAGGACAAGATCGAGGCCCACAAGACCGAGAAGACCATGGACGGCGAGGAGCACAAGAACAAGATCGAGGCCCACAAGACCGAGAAGACCGACGACACCATGGATTGCAACCTGCCTGACACGCTGTCGCCCGGAAGCCCTTGGGAGAGGGATACCGCTGAGGACAAGAAACGGTGGAAAGAAATTTCCAAGGAACTTCAAGGCAAACCTTTGGGTCCAACTCCACGCCTTTGGGACAACGACATTGGGGACAAGGAGAAGCCTGAAATGCCTGACTCACAGGAGACCCTGCGCCTGGATGATTTCGCAGAAGAAGGAACCACCAACACACAGGAGCCCATACCACCAAAAGCTCCTGCAGTGAAGGGCAGAGCCAAATCCAAGGCCTGTGCAAAGGCTAAGGCCAAACGCAATGCCTCTGCCAAGGCCAAACTCCTGAGAAGGAAACAGACTCCAGAGGAAAAGAAACGGGTCCACAGGATTGCCAGTGACAGATGGCATGAGAAATGGCTTAGCAAGGGGGTGCCAAGATCAGAGGCATCAAACGGCAGCAGCAAGACTGAGGGCAAAGTCAAGAAATCCGAGAAGCAGGTGGACAAGACGAAGAATGACGCGGCGAGCAAGGCCAGCAAGGCTGAGATCAAGGACCAAGAAGTGCAGGACACCGAGATGAGCAAGGGCACCAAGCGCAGAAAGGACAGCAGTACCTCAGCTCCTCCTCAGCCAGCAGCCAAGAAGACGAAGAACAGCGAGACCGGCGAGTCCACCATCCCAAAGGAGACACTGTCATTCCGACACACCTATATATATTTGATATTATATGATGGGAAATGTTATACATTCTGTGATCCTATGTCATCTTCCCGGATGATTCAAAACCAACTGAGTGGATGTTGTATGATGAGTGGATACATTTCCCCCATTTAAATCTATTTGGTGAGGCTGTTTCCTGAGTGATACCTTTACCAAACATGTTGCTTCACGAGCGCTGTACTATATGAACATCTTTCCCATTCAAATCTAACTTGTGATAATTTCTTGTGGGTTAGGTCATGACTGCCATTTAACTATTTGGATATTTTTGTCCATTCAAATCTAATTTGTGCTGCCATGTCATGATTACTAAATGGATATCTGTCCCATGGGTGATGCTAGGTCATGATTATCGTTTGGATATCTTTACAACACCCAAGTGATAACAAATAATGTTACGGGATCTGTGCCACTGCAATCTTTACCAATCAGGAGATCATGGATGCCTTTGGCAAGGACCGAATGCCTGCCCTTCCTACCAATGATCTTCGCAAGACCAAGGCTGCCTATGTTCAGGAGGCTTTGAAAACCATGAATGAGGCCACTGATGGCAGTGAGTTGCTTAGCTCTGGTGATAAGTACAAGAAAGCCTTGGAGATGTGGATGGAATCTGCCACAAGGGCAGCCCTTATGTCCGGGAAATCTCCCAAGTTTGCTTTGGTTACTGGCTAGATATGGCTAGATGACAACTGTTAAGACCACTCTAGCGGTTCGAGGGCTTAGGGGAAACAAGCCCAAACAGCGCGGTGGATCGGATGAAAATAACCAGTGCCTCTCAATCTGGGTTTGATCTTCTTTATAATGATGAATGATGGATGATTATGCTGATGCTGAGGATGATGATGATGATGGATGATCATGACCCACGAAGCCGCCCTGCCGGTCCTCTTTCTCCAGGAGCTTCTGGTGGTGGTGGCGGCGGCTGCCGCCAGCAGCGAGCTGGGGGTTGATAAGGGTTTAGGGGTGATAGAGGGATTTGTTTTTTGGGGTCTAACTACCTTGAAATTAGACCCAAATACCTTGAATGAAACATATATATATAAACTATATATATAAACTATATATATAAACTATATATAAACTATATATATAAACTATATATATAAACTATATATAAACTATATATAAACTATATTTGAAATATAAACTATTATATACAAACTAAATATAAACGATATATAAACTATATATATATATAAACTATATATATATATAAACTATATATATATAAACTATATATATATAAACTATACACATATATATATACACATGACAAAATATGTGATAATATACCGTTACATGGCTGCGCTGCCCAGGTGGAGCGACGCGGACAGCTCCGTGGTGCTGCAGATGTCCGAGGCACAGCTGCTGCAAAAGCTGTGCCCGCAGCGGGAGAGCAGCCCCAGTTTTCGACGCTGGGAAGCAGAGAAAAATATGGGGTAAAAATGGGTAGAACATAGGAAAAAATCTGGAAAAACCTATGGTTTTCCTTAGGAAACCCCCACTATATATTGAAAGATCATGGAAGATCATGGAAGATCTAGAATCCATGAGGAAATGGAAAACCAAGCATTGCCAGATGGCCATCTGGCTCGTGGGGTTCAGACCTGTGAAAAGTCGAAAACAATAGAAGTGCTGTTTCATCCCAACTGGGTTTGTTTGAAAATAGGGGACCTCAAAATTCCATGGTCTATCATCATTTCCCCCTTCAAATGAATTGAAGGTAATTCGTTCATTTTGGATAGGCCTGCATGATTCATTCCGTGGATCGTTATTTGTCATGGCATTGCTAAATTCGTAGATATTTTTGAACATACCCAGGTACCCTCCTAACATTCAAAACATCATCCAAAAAGATGTGAAAAACCCAGCATTAATACATGATTAGTAGATGATTTTCCTAGGGAAACCCTGGGTTTTCATGGGTTTTTCGGATCTTTCCGCCCCAGGTGCTTCTGCGCCCTATTGGCCGCAGATCATTTCGCAGCAGATGGGCCCGTGGCCGCTTAAAGGCCCAGGAATTCAACGTTTGGGGGTTATTAGTCCAGGGTTGACACTATTTAAATGTATATTTGTATATATTTGTTATTTTTCTTTTTATTGTTACTGTATACATTGTTAATTTGTTAGCAGTATTGTTCTTACTAGTGATTGACATTATTGATATGGGGTGGACCATCTCCAATAAATGAGGTCAAAATCCGGAAAAAAAACAATGAACTTCAGTACACTTCATCCCATTCCAATAACTCCTTTACCCCCATAATCTGTGGATATCTGTGACATTGGAATTTTGCCCTCCAACCAGGCCCTGGCACTGTTCTCTTTGAGCCCAATCGCCTCTTGGATGTGGCGAAGGAGCTGCGGAACGGCACAGGACCCGTCACCAGGCTGCTTTTGCAGACCATTTTTGGGGCGATTGGGTGTTTGTGAAGAAACACCTTCCCATACAACGTACAGATGTCTCGATGCATTTTTACATCCGTACATGATAGACGTGTTTTTTTTGTGAGGCTTCCCTCTCCTGCAATCATATATAATTATATATATATATTATTATGATATCATATCAGTTTCTATGGGCTGAGAGGCTAACTTGAGTCATAAACCCTCAGGAGTTAACCCTTGGGTCCCATACAGGGCTTGACTCCGGTGGTGACCCCCGAGGTGGTGATTCCCGGTGGCGCGCAAGAATTGCAGCTGCCCACGAGCGATGTGGTGGATCTGCTGTGACCCGGCCGGTGGTTTTTTTGCCGCGCGGTTCCACCGGTGGAACCTAGGTGGTGTCTGAAAATGATGTGGCAGTGTGTCAAAACCTTGTACCCCTGTAGTTCACATCAAAATAGCTGGTAAATGGATGTTCATCCCACTAAAAATGGTATTAATAGGTATTGATCCATACCCATGTTTGTATACTGTATACCGATATAGCAATGATCATGGCATGTCATGGCAAATATCCCTAAAATACTCTATAGTCAGTGTATATCGTATACCGTATAGCCCTAAAATATCATAAAATAGCAAAGTGAATGGCACATAAATAATGATCAACCAGGATTTTTACCATGATTAGCTGTTTCCCCTCGGGCCCATGGGGTTTTCAACACACATCGAGTCAGTATAGCTATCTCCAAGATTTCCCATCAACCAATGCTGACGATAGGTGAATCATCGACCATAGCTGGCTGTCAAATTGCTGGCTAAACGCCCACCATCTTTGGGTTGGGTTAAATCCATATGTTTGGATGGTTAATCCTATAAATTACCACAATACCACAAGATCCTCTTCATGTTCCTGTGGGCTTACCTAAGGTTCCCCTGCCTAATGGGTTCCTCCTTGGCAGACGTCTTCGGCGAAGACTCGCAGGGCCAGCTGACCTACCAGGAGTAGCACCAAAGCCATCTCTCCTAGCCAGGGCTCTGTGAAAGGATGGTGCTCAAAGCAGTGCTTCAACTATTAACACTTCTCATTATCGTTATCATTATTGATTAGTCATGATTATTCATTATCAGTGGTTATTATTCACTATATCATAAATTCTATCATTCATCATCATTAGTTTTCAGTAATTGTCATGAACCCTCATTAATTATATCATTAACTACCGTATCACGACCTATCATTGATTATATCATGAATATTCATGAATTATATCAATAATAATTGATAGGATTTGTATATCATAGTATATCCATTTATATCAATTATATCATAGATACGACCTACTGCATCCTCAATCCTCTAGTGTTTCTGCACCACATAGGAGCTGCTTGAGAGCTGCCCCGGTCTGGGCGACGTCGGAGCAGCAGATCTCAGCCGCGTTGAGCGGCTGACGGATGGCAGAGTGGTGACCTTTGAACAGAAGCCATTCAACATGGAATGCATGTGCCTTGCCTCGGCCCTTGGCCTTGAGGATATGTTTATTGTGGTTTATGGTGATATGTCGCTGGTTTTCTGGTGGTTTTCTGTTAAATTTCATGGTGATTGAGGATTTTGTGGGAGAGTGATATTTCTTTTCAGAGGCTGAGATGTGTTTGACAGGTGGTGATGATCGTATGTGTTTATTCTTTGAATCATTTCCATCATCACATCACATCATATATATATAATATAGTTCACTGAATGTGGCTATATCACATCTATATTAACTAAATTTGGCTATGTTTGGTAGTAAAAATATTCTACCACAACGTCTTACCATTGTTTTCCGATGCATCAGCAGGTCCCGCCGATGGTCGCGCGGCGCGGTGATTCGAAAGCTTGGGAAGAACGGGGTCGCTGAGACCGCGGGGTGCAAGGCCGGTGACATCATCGTGCCTTGGATCGCGATGGCTGCAGCGAACGGCTGGTGTTGGTGATGGGCCGCATTGATATGTTGCGAAGGTTTGAAACATAGCAGCATCTATATTATGTATATATGTACACACAATGATATATATATATATAGATACTATCCGTGAATTCTACAATTTATGAGAGAACAGTAGTGGCTTCGCAAGATCTATAAGGAATGTCAACATGCGTGAGGAATTGTTTTTGCTTCAACAGAAACTCTGAAACATCTACGTCTATTCAATGGTCATCAGGATGTGTATTCAATGGCTGGTCATCAGGCCAAGATGTTCAGATTGGTACATGGACAGTACCTTATTCGTCTCACCTAAGTTACCTATTATGGTCTCTGTTGTCAGATATACCAGGTTATACCATCTGGCTATGGACGAATACCTTTAGATACAATTTCTTAGGGGATGAACATTCATTTACCAGCAATTTTGATGTTCACTAGGTGCCAGGGTTTTGACCCATCCCCATCTACCCATCTACCTGTATGATCTACACCTCATCTTCGCTGGCGATGGTCCGTTCCTGGCAGGTGACCATCAACGGCGAGGCGGTGCTGAACGCCACCCTGGCGGACGTGGAGGAGCGGTTGGAGCAACTTCCAGCGCAGTTGGAGGTGGGGCAACCAGTCCTGCAGGAGCCCTTGTACCTCCGGGAGGCCGGGAAGTCGGGGCGTGGGAAAGGGGGCCTATAGATGATGTTGGATGGCAGAACGTAATAGAATGTAATAGAATCTATAGGTCTTCCAAAGGTCTGAGGATGCAAGTTCCACAATATCGCAACATGCATCTTCTACAAAGAAGATGCCATTGGAGGCAAATCCCTCAGTTTCAGTCAAATTGACATACCTTGTATTGTTGTTTATCTCCCCAGAGGTCCCATTATATTCCCGTCATGATTGCTGAACATCCCCATGTTCAGACAAACCTTTGGATTCCCTTATACAATCAATGTTCATTAAATGAAATCTTCAGACAAAGCTATGGATTCCAGGTATATATTCATCGAAATTGTATGTTTGATTGCAAAAAACATGTAGAAATCTCATGGCTGGTCCCGTTGCATATTCATTCCACACATTTATTGCTAAAGTCTCAGCTAATGGACATTCTTAATTTTACATCCCAATGTTAAAATAGTCTACTGTATATTCTTTTATTCATGGTTATTCCATCATCAATCCATATTTTTGATGGTTAAATATATCCCCATGTATAATGATTTATAAACACCGAACCCTTATATATTTTGGGTAAATAACTATCAGTCAATTGTTTAATCCATTGAGAAACAACATGTCCATCCCCACTATGATTGATAGTCAGGATACCCATATATTTTGGATCCATCCCACCAAATCCGTCCATTTCAAAAAGAACATACTGATTAACCCATCTCAGAAAAAAACAACTCATAGATTCACAGTCTAATTGTGATTAACCCATGAAAATAGTAAAAAGACATCAAAATCATTGGGTTCACATGGGTTAATCATCGAAGCCATCCCCAAAATGTCCATTTTTTGGGCAAGGCCACCACCGACCTCCTGACCAGCCTGGCAGATGTGGAGGCAACGGAGGCAGTAGAAGAGCTGTTGCCCAGGGTCTCCCAGTGGCCAGGCCATATTTCAGCCTGAAAAATCGGGACTTAACCAGGTTTTTCCAGCTGGTGTAAATCAGAAAGGGATTTTTATATGTTTAGAAAACTGAGGATTTAACCTTAAGAAACATTGGGTTATGTAATTGAATGTAACCAAGAACTTAATAATGGATAGATGATGAATGATGATGATTAATATGTGTTTGTCTGGATAGATGATGTTTCAAGCAACAAAAATTGGGGTTTAAGAAACAACAATGAGCATGGTGGATACTGTACCCCAAAAACAACCATTTGAATTGGGAAAGCTATGATTTAACCAAGGAATGGGTAGCATATTTTCAGAGAACGCCGTCTCTTTCGGCCCAGGTTAATGGAGGGTCAGGCGTCAATGAGTGATAAACTTCCACAGGCGTGGTCCAATGGGTGGTCCAGTGGTATTTTTTTGGCATTTTAACGCAGTGTTTGTACATCTTGGTAGTGTATGGTAGTGTTTTTGATTATGATTAGTTAAAGATATTTTGCTTGAAAGTGTCAGAAGGTGGGGCCTTTTCATGTCATTGAGCAGCTGATCTTCTCTCAGATGGGTGGCCTTTTGGGGACATTAGGGACATTAGGGACATAGGGGATTCGTCTACAAAAAGCCTCTTAAAGAATTGCAACAGATTTCTGACATTCAGAGGGTCAGCATGAAACAAGACCGGAGCTTGACACCCTCGGAAGACATCGGAGGTGTTTGCCGGCGACGGCGGTTCTGCATCTCATGTGCACGTGGACTGCCTGGGCGGTCGCACCCAAAATCCCAAACTCACTTTGGCGCATGGCATGATGTTCTATATTTGTTGGTTGATGAAAAGAGATCGGTAGACCATGGAAAACCACGATTTGGGGGTTTCCTGAAATGGTGGTACCCCTAAATCATCCATTTGAATAGGATTGTCCATTACAAACCTACCATTTTTGGGGTATCCCCATTTATGGACAATCACCATTTGTTTCATAAATGGTAAACCCATGGCCACCCTCTGGGCATGTCAGTCGCAGGATTCCACACCCATGGTGCAGATGTGCCACGTGGTGCACGGTGTGAAGGCCATGTTGGGTTCGTCATGGTTCGTCTGAAATGGGGTATATCCTCCGGGAATCAAACTTGGCAATGGGACATCTATAAATCGAGGTTTCGAAATGGGAGATTTTCCAGCTAGCTATGTGTGGCTGATGACACAGGAGGGTACCCCAAAATGGTGATGTACAATAAATAGGGATTGAAACCATGTGGATTTGGGGAAATGACTTCGGGACAGAACAGGCCTTTCTTGAAGTGTCAACGCCACATGCCAAGGAAACATTGGGGATGTAGAGTTGCTTTGGTGAGGAATGATAGTTTTCTGATGTTTTCTGCAAGAACCATGGATTTCTACTTGTCTGCATGGTTCAGTCTTCAAGGTGTGAACTTGACCCATCCTCAGATCTTTGGCGTTGACAGCAGCGCTGGGGCGTCGGGTGACTTGAAACCCTGGGTCACACGACACCTGGCAGCAGGGTGATCAGACGTGATCAGTGAGTGAATGGATGGTCAGTTGACTTCCAGGCCAGTGGTGGTTTTGAGATGTTTAGAGTATAATGACAACACCGGATTAATAACCCCCCCCCTATAGGTCAACAAGGTCAACAAGGTCAACAAGGTCAACAAGGTCAACAAGGTCCAGTCAGGGAATCAAAAAAAAACACCCCCCCGAAAGAAGGTTCCTTTCATTCATCCATGAACGACCTCCTAAATCTAAGTCATAAGTCATAAGAAATCAACTTCCAATGGGAAACCATCAGATTCCTAAGTCATAAGAAATCAACTCAAAAAGGGTTGAAACATCAGTGGGGCCAGTGGGGGTTTACTAATTGGGGGGGGGGAGCGTCGTTTTATTTGTGTGTTTGGGGGGGGGAGACACCACTCAAGTGGGGTAGCCTTTCTGAGCTCCCAAAAGCAGCATTTTTTAATTGGATGTTAATTAGAAATCGATCATTTGGGGGACTATTTTTTTTTTTCATTGTTGGCGTCTTGAAAACGCCAAGTGAACAAAAACACCCTTGGGAGGTGATGAGGAAACATCAGGCAATGCAATGTTGATGTAGCTGTTGGAAATTGGAACCCGAATTAAAAAGTAAAAAGGGAGTAATAGCAAATTAGTCGCACCAAAAATTTGGGGATCCCGGAGGGGCTTCTCTAATTGGGGGGTTGGAAACCATTATTAGGGGGGGAAACAGCTCCTACTCGACTTTAGTATTGCCCCAAAATCGGAGGAGAGCATGGGCTTCGCTAATTAGCGGGTTTTGTTAATCCTGACTCGTCATTATTATTTAAAAAAACAAATTGATGTTCAAATATGTTCAGAAGAAGTTGACTCCCTGTTTTGGCTGGTCATTCCATGCTAAGAGTAGAATTGCAAACAATCCCATTGAAACCGGAAGACTGGACCCGCGTGGCCCATTCCAACAGCCCTCAGGATGGGGTTCTCCAGCTTCAACCGAAGCGGAGGCGTGGATGTCGATTTTCTCGCTTCTGCCGACTTGATAAAAATGGAACATCTGCAGAATTCAACGGTTCTTGAATTCACATGAATTCACTTGAGTCAGTTCCCATTAAAATAGATGGTTTCCCCAGAATTGTTCCATGGTTTTCCCAGGGGTTTCCCATGGATTTTGCCTTGAACCAGTTCTGCTTGGAAAAACGTTCTTTCAGGTGGCGCTACCTGTTGACGTGGACTTGGATCAGGCCCAAAAGTGCCAAGGGGAAGCACTGAAGCATTGACCTACCGGCACTAGATGGTCATAATAGGTTTGAAATGGTTCTAATAAAGTACAAATGATTCTACTAGATTCAAGTTCCAACTGATTTTGATAATATATATTATATATATATTATATACATATATTTGATCATTTGTTATCTTATTTTCATGCTATGGTTCTCCAATATTTCTTGTACCAGGAATATGCTGCCTGGTTGGCCAGCCGCGAGACCAGCATTGCCATGTGCCGTGCGGGAGATGTGATGCTCTTCTGGGGAGGCGCTTGGTTCGGTGCGATCTGAAGGGCTGAGAACCAGATCATGGCGGTGACCGGGGGTGAGTCATGGTCATGGTCTCTAAATATGTATATTATATATTATATATATATTATTATATACATGTGTATAATCCAATGTTGTGTATCTTGATTAATTACTGTGTCATTGGATATCTATCGTTATCTATATTTATCAAATTATGTTTGATATTATGATATGATATTTATGTCATTAGTTGTCTCACCCACGAGGATCTCCGAGTCCCTTATTTTCACTTGTGTCACCTGTCAGGCAACCCACACTTTGGCTCGAATGGCATGGGCGCGGGTCCCTGTGTGGCACTCTTCCATGGCTTTGAGCTACGCCAGAACGAATAGAAAAGGAGTGCTCTTAGCGGAGCTCAGGGGAGTGGGGAATCCTGATGACGAATTTCAGAGAAGTCGAAATTTCTTAGGCCAAAACCTTGCTTGGTGATTCTAGGTGCCGTCTAAGATTTAACTGTTGAAGTGAGGATCTCTGCGGAAGACTTGAAAAATCTCCGGCCAGGTTAAGCCATCCGTCAGAATCCCAGCGGTGGACTGTTGGTTTTTGGGGTGATGATGAGATAGTAATCCATTAAAAGCGTTTGAAACCGATCGATATCAGGTAAGTTATATAAGATAATGTGAGTGAATATGACTCTAATGTGTATAGATATATGATATGTTATTTCAGATGTGTTACTGTCCCATTAAAACAAGAAGGTTATACAGGTATACACAAAATGGAGGAATATACGGTCCCCCCCAACATTGACCCATTGACCCTGACATTCCACAACATAAATCTGCGATTCTCAGGGTCAAACTGTTGGCGGGATGCTAACTGGGGTACATCAACCAGCGAACATCCATACTTGGTGGCTCATCCCACTTAGTAAGTGGGTTATAACCCCAATTATAAGTGGATTAACCCTACTTATCCCATTTATAACTGGGGTTATATCTCACTTACTAAGTGGGATGAGCAACATCCATAGCCCAAGGTGGAGAAAGGCGCTGTGGAGGGCTTCAAGCGCTGTAGCATCTACGCCATGGACTGGACAGGCGCTGAGTAGTTCCGGTGCTGGGAAAGCATGGCAAAAGCCATCAATCCAGCTTCTGGGTGAAATATCTCCTATAATTTCTAGGTGGATCGAACTAGCGCTATGAATTCGAGGTATTTTTGTTGGATTGGATAAACATGGATAAACTACATGACTTTATTAAACATTTCTTGGATAGATAATGTACCTGATGCAAGCCATCCCTGTCAGGTGACAAGCTGCTGGTGGCTGCCAAGGATGGACGCATCCTTAGAAATCAAATTCCAATCAGGTTTCCAAGGCCTAGAGGACATGCGGTCACACAAATTGGCTTGGATCAAGATAGTCCACAATGCGGTCTTGTTACCAGGATTCAAATGAATGCAAAAAACCTTTAAACGAGCCAAGCCGAACGGGCAACCTAGTTTGGAAGTAGAGATCTCAGGGCATAAGTTCGAAAAGGTTTCTTTGACAAAATGGATAGTGACAGCGGAAACGCTGTAATTACAAGAGTTGCAAATCCTGTTCCGGGAATAGGAATCCACGAATGCACCCAACTTTTCACAACCAATTCAACCAAAAAGAAGGACCAAGGGGTGGATCGCATCAAAGGGTGGGTAGTGTGGCTCTAGCCTCTAGAATACTCTCTGAAATCAACTCGGGTACATGAGAAGCGGATGTTTAACGTCAACTTCTACTAGGATCTACTAGGTAGTTTCGGGATTTTCATGAACGACAAGGACGAAATTTTCGGTCTTGGACATCTGAGGATAATTACTCAGTAACCCCCAAAAAAGATAGAAATACTTCGAAATGAAATTCTTCAGTATTTTATAAAGTCAATAGGATTTTACGTTCCTACCTTTTTGGCTGTTGCTATACTGCTATACCAGCCATGATCTGTGCCCAGGTCCTGGCATTCGATTGCAAGATGTGGAGAGAGGCCCATGGTTTGTGCCCATGTTTGATACAAAGGGTCCCCATAGGTCAGTCGGTTTCAAGAAGTAGCAATTCTGAAACATCCTGAAATGGTTTATAAAAGGGACCGTTGCTTTCCAGTTGCTTTGTTTCAGCTTGCTCTGTGCATTTGAGTCTGATTGAGTCTTGTGAGTGTTCCATGGTGCATCTACCCCCAAAAAATGGATTGTTTATAATGGAAAATCATATCACAATGGATGATTTGGGGGTAGCTCCATGGAAACCTCCCCACCTTCTATCGATGGAAGTGGCTAGGAGTGGAAGAGAGAACTTGGTCCGGGGAGCCCGGCGCCACAGGTGTAAATGCTACTGATTGTGGTCATCGTTATCATTACCACCACCACCACCATCACCGCCAGCAGCAGCAGCATCATCATCATCACCACCACCATCATCATCATCATCAATTTCCTCTTAAATTCCTAGTATATAGCACTGCCACTACAAGATGAATGCCGATTGCATCGCCTGAAAGTTACTGATCTCCTAGGTGGATGAGCATCCGCACGGACCCCAACAATCCCTTCGTGGCCGCCGCGGTGGCGTGGAATGGCAAGCTGCATACTCAGCACAGCGCAGCACAGCGCAAGCGGCTCGCTTTGATCCCTCAACTATCATGGAATGCCAATGAAGACATACTGAATACCCTCTGGTAAACTAACATAGCTATGGAAAATCACCATTTTTAATGGGAGAATCCACTATTAATGGCCATTTTCAATAGCTATGTTAAATTACCAGAGGGTACATACTGAATACTGCCTTGATATCTTTGGAAAGTCTGAAGACCAAGTTTTCAGCACATTTTCGCTCAACATTTTTTAATGGCACAATCTTCAAATAGGAAGGTTACGGGCACCATGCTAAGGTTCAAACTCTTCGATACCAGACAAGCAAGTTGGGCAGCTCAATGATGGGATTGAACCAACAATTTCTGCAGCTGAAATCTGAAAACTGGGCAGATGTGAGCTGTCAGAGATTTCCCAGCACAGTATAGTAAAGTAATGTAAAGTATAGTAAAGAAATGTGTAGCATATATATATAATTATAGATATATATATACATCTAGTTTGGTGATGTTTGACATTCGATATTTCCTGATGCACTTCTCCATCTTCTCCCTGGTTTCATCGGATTCTTAAGAAACTTGTGCAGAAGTTTATCCCGGATCTGCGCCGACTGCCACCAGGTCAGTCTGTGTTCGATGTTGACTTGAAGAAGACATCGCCATCGATGAGGGACCGTGGGAGATTATGCCTTATGGGTAAAGGGCCACAGGTCAAAGCAGCATAAACCTATAGTGTATGACACCAATGACAAATTTGTATTGCTTGCTGGTTTGAGATGTTTGGAATACCTGAAGTACAAAGAGCAAGTACTATACCCTCTGGTAAACTAACATACATAGCTATCGAAAATGGCCATTTATAGTGGATTTTCCCATTAAAAATGGTCATTTTCAACAGCTATGTTAAATTACCAGAGGGTAATTACTATCTCATGATTCATCTTTTTTGCGCAATGGCTCCTCCCAACAAATTGCAATCCTTGATTTGGATGGTGCTATTGGCCATTTTCCTTGACCAAACTTGTGGGGCTTCGCCGCTTGGAGGACTTCCTGTACCTCTGTTGGTCGCCAGATTCGAAGAATATCGCCCTCAGCAACCGCCAGAAACTTGGTGACCTGACATATAAAAGGGGATGGGCCAGCGAAATCCTGCACCAATTGATAAGGTGGTTTATCCCAACATATAATATATATATATATATTATATATATATATTAAGTTATACAACTTGTTATAGGTTTTTCAACATGTTTCAACCAGTATTTTGCAAATCTTCGGATGACTCCGATTCGCATGGCCGAGGCAATGACCAGATCTACCTCTTAGGGCTGAAGAAGGGAGAGAGCAACTGCCTTCGCTTAGGCGAAGCCATGGTTGTTTCTCGAAAGTGGTGACCCCTGGGACATATTTTTAGGAACACCTATGTGGATGGATAGAAGGTTTTGTACTGCGGAATTCATGACATCAATATAAATTCATTGGGGCATTGATGAACATGGCTCCATTGATAAAATTCATTGGCTTATCTTCTTGATTCCACGGCAAGCTCTCGAACAGGCCCGCATATGATGCTGTTGAGCTGTCTTGGTGACGTTTCCAACTCTGGAAGGTTCCTCCAAGAACATGAACATGGAGGTGCAGCTGGCAGGATTTTCACAGATTTTCCATGGTTTCTTAATTCGGACATCGGATCCAGTGGTGGGGTTCCCCCAAGTTGCCAGAGGATGGTGATGGTGAATATCCACAACTCCCAGCACTTTTTGGTCCAGGTGAACCAGATGGTTTACAGCCCCAGCGGCGACAGCCTTTGGGTGGCCACAGGTGGCAACCCAGGCGAGAAGTGGTCAAGCTGGACCGAGATTGGTGGGAGGTTGATGAGCAGTGGATTAAAGCAGGAATGCTGATCACATTCTGTGCACAGTTCTGTGTTCAGCCTGCTAGCCATGTTTCCATCTCTTTGCCAAGCCACCGGAGGGAAGTTGCACATCTTTCCCTCCGACAGCTTGCAGAAGCCGGAGCGAAGTGCCCCTCAGCTCATGGTGGATGGATCTTGGGAGGATGAAGATCCACATCGCTCCCTAATGATTGCTATGTTGATCTATGTATTCTATGTTAACAAACCCCATTGGCAAGTACAATATCTTACCCTCTGGTAAACTAACATAGCTATTGAAAATGGCCATTTATAGTGGATTTACCCATTAATAATGGTGATTTTCTATAGCTACGTTAGTTTACCAGAGGGTAAGATATTTAACCATTAATATTACCAACCCCATTAACAAACCAATGGCTTTCTGAATCAGGTTTGAGGTCAACGTTGGGTTTTTGGGTGGGACAGTCAGCGAACACGTGTTCGCCGAGGTTACGGCCCACAATTGGGTGACCTGGCAGCACTGAAAAAAATCTGTGGTCGCAGACTGGTCTCCGGGGCTCAAAGGTCACAAAGCTCGCCACTTTTTGTTGAAAATTGACTAAAGATAATTATATGGAAGTTCTGAGGTTTTGAAGTGATTGGATGGATTGTTATGGTATATTATATGCTTCTTGGATGATTTTCATTTCATGACTTAACGTCCCGGGGCGCCATCTGAGACTGCCATCTCTTTGGCCTGCGACCCGACAGGAGCCAGTGGAGACTTGGGATGGGGTAAACCTCCAATGGGTTTTACATGGTTTTACTCTTGAGAACAAACAGAACTTAAACAAACCACCGCAGATGGTGACTTTTGTGAGATTCAGGACTGGCAAGTTGCAGTGAATTTAGACCCAGGGGCTGCCAGTGGCAACAGCTCCCAAGTCGCACCGTTGGAGCCAGGGAGATACATCTGCAGCGGCGGGGCCGACGGCCTCATTACCGTTTGGGCTGCTTGGCACCGACTCAGCCAAGCTGTGGTGGATCCATTCTGCATCCGAATCCATGGATCCAGCAATTTCGGGGGTGCTATGGGTCAACATATGTCAACATATGTCAACATATGTCTCAAGCCATATAGATATAAGCCATATATCAAGATATATCAAGCCCCAATCATCCCCAAGAAAAATGGACCATCAAGCGGAGCATTTTTTGTGAGACATTGTGCCACCTAGGATCCCCATCAGTTGCAGTGCATGAGATGTTTCCTGCACCCAGGGCAGGCCGATGATCCGCGTTGTAGGGCGTTAATTTTTTCCCCAGGGACATATACGAAATTTTATGAAAAATGATGATAAACCGGATTTGGGATGATTTGGGTATGTTTCAATTTGGTATTGTGTGTTTTTTTTTGGCTTGGCTTGATTTTCACATCCAATTTAGAGAAGGAATTGGTGGATCGGCCCATGTGCGGAAGCAGGGCCCAAGATCTGGATGTTCCTGAAACTGATCCCTGACATCTTGAGACATATTTGTCATCATTTTTCCCTTGTGAGACCTTCAGATTGTATCTTTTCTGAAGAAAAGTAGATCAAGAAATCTACTGTGATCTCCAAGGCCCAACGTTTGGCAAATTGCTCCCCTGCGCCAGGTCATTGACAAATTGGACTTCAACTACCAGGGCACGTTGATCGCTTGGGGGACCGGAGCAGGACCGACCTGCCACCCCTGGCGGACCGCCCAAATTTTGGGGCGGAAAGGCGGAAAGCAACGGCCAGATCCAGGAATACATAGGAAATCATAGGCTTAAAACCATCTTCAGAATCCAGTTTTTCGAGTTTCATGTTTGGTGATGTTTAGCCAAAAATCGTTGCCCCATGGCCCACCAATGTTGGACAACTTTGGCTTTGGTAGGTGAAAGGAGCCTCAATTTAATGGGGTCCAACACCGCGATCCCGCCATGAGCCAAGGGCAGTGGCACTTTGTCCTCTTTTTTGCTGCGCTTTTCCATGTTTCACTGTTTCACTACAAGAATCGTGTTTTTTTCTCAGGTGCAAAGAACCAACTCAAAGACTGGCCCGGTGTTGCTGAGGTACCACCAAGATTTGACCCCGGCCACCGTGACGCATTTGAGGCGGGAAAGTTGATGTCCATGTGAGGTCAACTTGCTGTTGCTTCCGGCAAGGTGGCATGGAAGCAAAAATGTTCTCATCTCAGAATCCGAGATGGGCCTTGACCGCCCACACCTGACCAAGCCTCATAAATTGGTTCATTCTGGTTCATGGTTGATTTAGTTGATAAGTTGATATTCTATGATATTTTCGTTTACAAGGATACCCATGACTTACATGGCTTGTAGGCAAATTCGCTCCCCAAACTTCGATTACAGAAGCAACAGATGACCCTGAAAATGGTGGCCCATGAATCATGATATTCCCTATATTTCCTTATAAAGTATGTCTTTATCACATGACATAGTTAATTGATGTTAATTGTATTCTGGAGCCATCTCCCGACTCCCGATCATCCATTTGACCATCTCCTAAGGTCCTTGCCTACAGCTTGAATGCCAGTCAAATGTCTGAAGAGTCCGCAACTGAGTTTCCATCTCCTAAGGCTTAACTTGTCGGAGCCGGAAAGATCGTGAAGTAACCTTAAACCACGTGGTTTGGTGATAATTAACTCACTATTTAATGTTACTTAATCTCCTTCAGCCTGAGATGTTTGGTAAACCCAATGAGTCACATCTCGGGGATGTCATTGGGGGTAGCCCCTGTTTTCAGAGTCGTCATTAGACCATGAAAAAATGGACACCCATGGTGACCTGGGAATCGTTCAATTTTATCTGGTTGGTGGTTTGGCATGTTTTTTCATTTTTCACGAAAGCCCTCTGGTAACCTAACATAACTATTGAAAAAGGCCATTTATAGTGGATTTTCTCATCAAAAATGGTGATTTTCCATAGTTACGTTAGTTTACCAGAGGGTATTGGGAATGTCATCATCCCAACTGACTATATAATATGTTTCAGAGGGCTGGCGAAAAATCACCAACCAGTTGTGAACCACCCAAAAAAAGTGCATGGTTCGATGGCATTAGGTGAATCCCCAACTTTCCCATCCGACCCATCAATCCTTTGGGCCAAGTCGACCACATCGTGACCGCCGTGGCTACAACAAGGATACCCCCATCATCCAGCTGTTAAAGGTGCGAATGTAGGGATTCATGAGAACGAATGGTTTGAGCCAGGTGTTTTTTGTTCAGGTATATACTAACATAGATGTGGAAAATTACCCATTTATATATAGATGATTTACCTATAAGGTTGGCGTCTGATTAGTGTGAGGGCCCCCCCCCAAACAATTTTAGTCTACTGAATAATTGACAGTTTTTTTTTTTGCGCCCCCCCTTCAACAATTTTTTTGAATATTTATGTTTAATTGATTTCAATTTACTTTCAATTGAAATCAATTTACTTTCAATTGATTTCAAATTACTTTCAATTGATTTCAATTTACTTTCAATTGAAATCAATTGATTTTCAATTGATTTCAATTTACTTTCAATTGATTTCAATTTACTTTCAATTGATTTCAATTTACTTTCAATTGATTTCAATTTACTTTCAATTGATTTCAATTTAATTACTTCCAATTGATTTCAATAAGGTCTAATTATTTGGAAAACCTTGCATTTTAAAGCTTTAACACAAATATATACAAATATTGCTTTCTAAAGAAAATGGACCAGCTTTACTCAAAGAAAGGTGGAGAAAGGGTTTTTACTTTTTTTCAACCCCAAAAGTTGTTTGGCACAATAGAGTACCACCCAAACATTCATATTATTGAGTACCTGGGCCACTCATGAGGTACCACCTTGAAAAATTGTTTGGGTGCTGTTTTTTAATAAGGGTTTAATAAGGCATCTAATTATTTGGAAACCTTGCATTTTAAAGCTTTAACACAAATATGGCTTTCTAAAGTAAATGGACCAGCTTTACTCAAAGAAAGGTGGAGAAAGGGTTTTTGATTTTTTTCGACCCCAAAAGTTGTTGGGCAAAATAGAGTACCACCCAAACATTCATATTACTGAGTAACTGAGCCACTCATGAGGTACCCCCTTGAAAAATTATCTGGATGTTGTTTTCTAATAAGGGTTTAATAAGGCATTTAATTATTTGGAAACCTTGCGTTTGAAAGCTTTAATATAAAAAAAAATGAAAAAACTGAAAAACATGTTTAATTAATTTTTAAATAGGACAAATTAAAAAAAAAAGTGAATCAAAAAAAAATCTTTAAAAAAAAACACTTGCCACAATAGAGGCCCCGCCCCAAACATCATGGAACTGAATAAGGAGGAAAACACATGCCACAATAGGGTACCATGCTACTAATCGGGTGCCAACATTATTATTAAAAAAACACCATCCTGATTTTCCACATCTATGTTAGTTTACCCCAGTGTGAACTGACATTGCTTGGATTTTGAGGGTCCACGAGTTTGATGATGAAAAATTGGGATGAAATGGCAGCCTCCATGAAGAAATCAAAGATGTGGAAGTTTACGGCAATGGCTAGCTCTGGTAGCTTTTGGAGAAGAGCTTGCGAGTCTGCGTCTCTGAGATAGGATAGAACACCAGGTTACACCAACAGATCCAAGCCCAGCTGTGTTAATATGATATTTGATGAGATTTGCATATCTTCTGAATTTAGATTGATTTCCGAAAATTCAAAACCTTAGAAAAAGAGCAAAGCATGTAAAAAAAAAAACAACTGCACCCGAAATTTGCCCACATCATCCCACCTCATTTTTGGCGATCTCCGGTTTCCTCGCAGCTCCCTGACGATCTTTGACGCCGCGGAAGAACGGACGATCGCCGGTTAAAAAATCTCAGCCTCCTGGGTTTGGTGGGAAAACCCTTCAGATAATGATCATGGGCCCACTTTGGGAGAACACTTTGGGAGTTTCCAAACAAATGTGTAAAACTGATGCAGTTGGGAGTCTTGCAGTTGGGGGTTCTAGGTACCACTGGATCCCTAATAATTACCCTAATAATCCCTAATATATAATATGTATTATATAATAAATAATATATAATATATGATATATTATATATTATATATTATATATTATATTATTACTATTATTAATATATAATATATAACATATAATATATTATATTATAATATAATAATATACAATATTTAATATATAGTATAAAATATATATTATATATATTATATAATATATAATAACATATACGGAAGTATAATATACATATATCATATATATATATATATTAGTAGATTAAGTCTGTGACTTGCCCTCTATGGGCCAGAGAACTATCCATGAGGCGGCCATGTGCCGCATCGTTTGAGACGTCGATGTTTCTGGGAAGAATGTCCGATGTGGTTCACGACTGTAGCCCTTGGATTTAAAGATATTTTAAGGCAAACTCTCATCTTACTGGTGCTTAGTAGGGAATGGATGGGTTGCCGGGGGTTGCTGGGATGATTATTAAAAGTGATTATGGATCATTCCCTCATTCCCTGCTAAGCACCAATAAGTCATGGAGCAGCTGGTCATAGGAAGACTCATCTCCCCTCTGGATGCTTCTCCCAACCATGCCCCAACTGTGAATATGGCAGCACACTACTGATAGAGATATTCACAAGTTGCCACACAAAAGATGATGGCGCAGATCAAATAACCCCATCCATATCATATTCCAAGTAGCCAAACACAGCCAACTAACCAGCTCAGACCCAAAAAAGCACTGCTCTGCTTCCAGTGTGTCGTTCCCATTGGTGCCATGGCAGCGGTCAAAAGCATCAGCAAGAAGACGGAGTTCGACAGCTGTTTGAAGCTGGAAAAGTTGCCTGCCCAAAATATGTGGGAGTTGCTGACCATCCAAAGGTGGGGAGAAGGCTTGTGATCCATCCCAAGTTGTGGCGCCTCCAAAATTCTGATTCTGTACATTTGCCATTCTCAAGACTGGGCAAAGGGGAAAATGCAACGTCAACAATCATGAAAGGGCTAGGATTTTGATGGATTTTGTGGCTCTGAGCCTCAGAGGATGTTCACCACTCTGGGAAAATGACTTCCGAGTTGCTGCAAGTGGCCCGGCAAAAGGCTTCAATAGAGCCTCACATTTTAGTAGTTATGCACAGAACGTGGAGATACATGGTGGGTACTCCCAACGTTTCCCATCTGTTTTTTGTTGCCATAGATGGCTTTAGATTACTTCAGTACTTTAATCTGTTACCAATGTGGGGATATTATGGGGTATTTGCTATAGCCAAAGGATGCGAAGCGTGTATTTTTTGGGGCAGCCTTGGGTCGACGAAGATTTTAAGCGTCAGGCTGGTGGTGTTCTACTTCTCAGCCAGCTGGTGTCAGCCATGCCATTTGATGGCACCGAAATATGCGGAGTTGGCCAATTTACCAGTGTCTGGGCTCTGTGTCTCCGAATGTGTTTTTCGGGGTGTTCACCAACAGAAATCGAAAGGAAAAGCCGATGGGCGGGGGTGACATGCTACTTACATCTACTTACTATTGTCATACCTGAGACTGCTTCATCTCCCAATTTTCAAGAATTTAGTTGATATATAACTGAGATGCGACATCGCCAAAAGTAACGACTTTGAACAGTTGCAGTCGAATCTTATCCATTTGTGCATATGTGTGCTGAAAGCAAAAAGATTTGTTTGACTTTCAAGTTCTGGCCTGGCATACTGTGCTGTGGATCAGCATGTTGGGATGCCATGACGTGTCCCCAGCAAACCTTGGGCGCTCAACATGCCAAGAGTCACAAGTCAAGAACCTGATTATCACAGGATATCACAGGTTTTGCCTGGGAATGTGAAATTTTGGGATTCTCAATTTTTGATCCCTACTTGGTGGCTCATCCCACTTAGTAAGTGAGATATAACCCCACTTATAAATGGGATGTTTGTAGGGTTAATCCACTTATAATTGGGGTTATAACCCACTTACGATTCGTGGGATGAGCCACCATCCCTAGCCACTGGCCTCGACTTCTAAGGAATTTGTGAATATCGACTTCGTCACCGTGGACATCGATGAAGCCGAGGAGCGAATTTGACGACGATTTTTTCACCTCAAACGACCGGATTTTTGGGATTTCGGGGTCCTGAATTTTTTGGGATTAGGATTACCCTCTGGTAATTTAACATAGCTATGGAAAATCACCATTCTTAATGGGAAAATCCACTATAAATAGCCATTTTCCATTGCTATGTTAGTTCACCAGAGGGTAGAGGTTGGAGTTTGGAGGGTAGTGTGAGTGCGTGGAGAGTGGAGTGTAGAGAGTGGATTAGTTTCCGGATCTTCAAGACAAAATTTGATTGCAAGAGTGAAACTGCTTGCCATAACCTGGTGTCCAGCATTCGTCCCAAGCACTCCAAGTCTCAATATGTAACATTACATCACATTTTTCTTAAGATTGAGCGCGCGTTGGCAGAAATTTTCACCGCGGCCACTCAAGTGGCTGCTTCGATTCCTCGTGCCACACTGCTCATCCACTCTTAAGATAATCATTCTTTGACAAGTGTGCATTCTTTTGGATTTCCCCAGGAAAGTGGAGGACATTCGCCGAAAGACCCCCTGTGGGCGTTTGAAAAACCGTTGCAGGAGATTGCCGATGCGGCTGGCATCGATGCAGTTGCTTGGTTGGGATGGCGGGGATCTTGAATATTTCACCAACAGACATGAGGGATTTTGTCACATATTATAATATCATATTATGGTAATTATAGTGACTAAGCTAGTACTGTAGGTGGTTTGAAATCGCATTAGACTTTCATCACTGTTTGAAGATGCCCAGATGATGAACAAATTTGGGGTGCATGACATTAAACCAAGAAACTGAAAGAAGAATAATGAAGATTGGATTTGACCTCATAGCTTTCAAAAAAGACTGCCCTCAGGCTATGTTGCACTCCTGAAATTCACCTGAGTATGAATTTTCATACTAGTCTCAACCAGGAATGCGGTAGAACATGGTGTAACCCAGGATATTCCAGAATGGTTTTGGACATTTTAGTGGTGCACATGATGATAAACCATGATAAACCGCTATAGATTTTGGATGGTTTTTGCTGCCCGTCTTTTGAATTCTTTTGAGGTACCCACCTTCCAAATCTTCCGCGGCGACGCGCAGGCAGAGATGACTAAGGGTTGTTCCTCAACATTCAATACCATCTCAAAACTATTTAGAAACATCTATAGGCTAGTCTATAGGTATTAATCATAGAAAAACATATATATCTGTAGATATTGGGAGATTTTCCTTTGTTCCCCTTCCAAGTCCATCCAGGATCTAACAACTTCCAGAGCGCCATTTTGTGACCTCAGACCTGTCCAACTCTAGGATCTAGCGATGCGCCAGGTGGGTGAGGAACTCGTGGGAGCGGATGAAGTGAAACTGAAAGATCGATTGAAGGAAGCGATTCGGCAGAATGCTGCTGCATGAGTCACGTGGTGATTCGGACGCTTCGTGTGGAAAGTGACGGCATGTTTAGGTCTAGGGGAGTCTAGGGTCCCATGGGGAATGTGAGGTCAAATTGGGGGCTATATATGGTAATAATTCCTATATACATGTATAATTGTATAATATGTATAATAATATACTACATATTAGTATATTTATATTATCGAAGGAAGTTTAGAAGTCAAACTTCCGACAATATGGACAGATGGGAAAAGCAGAGGTGGGAAAAGTCAGAGAAAGAGAAAGAGCCAGAAGAAAGAAATGCAGCTGCGCGAAAAGGTAGGAAAGCCGCAATTCACTGCAATGATTTGTGGCTCCAGAGGGTCGAAAAGTAGGCTCGCTGAAGCGGCGGGTGCGGAGCCATGGATGAGAGATGAAAAGTTGCACGCGGTTGTGGTGCGAAGCACATTTCCAAGTCAAAATGTACAAAACACCTCAGTGTCGGAGCACGGAAGTTGAGATGTCGAAAAAGTGCACGCCATTGTGGCGCGAAGCACGCTTCCAAGTCAGAATGCACAAAGCACACCATGCTCGGACAACTTTTGGAACTTGAGATGTCGAAAAAATGCACGCCGTTGTGGCGCGAAGCACATCTCGAATTCAAAAGTGCCAAAGAACTGACGGGCTGGGAGCACTTTTGGAAGCTGTTATGTCGAAAAAGCGCACGCTGTTGTGGCGCGAAGCAGATTTCGAGGTCAAAATGTTATATACAAACACTACATTTTCCGACCACTTTTTGACGTTCAGATGTCGTTTCGCGTGGCAGGCGCAAGGGATTGGGCACCCCTTGTCAAAAGTGAGCAAAACGTGAGAGTTTTCTAGCATTTCAAAAATGATGGCAGGTGTGGGACATTTGAAGAGGATCTGGCAGGATGCATTTTCCGTGGCAGGCGCAGTACAAGAGACATGTTCATCAGAGCTGTTAGGAGGTCCGGGCGCTGATTTCCTGAGAGAGGTTGCGTTTTGAAGCATCAAATCTTTAGGTTTTGCTGAGATGATTTTGCGTGACAAGTGCAGCACTTCGTTTGAGCTGGCTTCACTTTTTCGTGGCAGGCGCAAAACTTTAGAGACATGGACTGGGATAATCGCAAAACGCATTGGTACGAGGCCGTCAGCTCTGCACTCAACCTTCCATTTTTGAAGGACGTCTCGCAGAACTGCTTTGTTTTTGTTGTTGTCAAGTTCAAATTGAGGAAGTCTTGCAGAATTTCGTCGTTTTGGATTGTCAAGTTCAAAAATTGAGGAAGTCTTGCAGAATTGCTGCATTTTCAAGCTTACAGATAGATAGACAGACAGGCAGACAAACAGAAAGATAGAAAGATAGAAAGAAAGAAGGATAGATAGATAGATAGATAGACAAATGCAACTACCACTGCACTAAACTACACTACTGCTACAACTACAAATAAAAATATACTACGCTACATTACACTATATACACTACAACTACACATACAGTTACAACTACAACCACACTACATTACACAACTCTACGCTACACTGATTACATTACATTACAGCTACAACTGCAGCTACAACTGCAACTACAGACTACAACTACCACTACATTACACTACATTACGCTACACTACAGTCAAGGGTCAAAGTTGTAGCGATTCTTTGCTTTTGAGTCCATACCATTGGGCGAAGCTTTTCAGGGGGTCGTAGCGATTGTGGCTGGGCCTATGAGATTTGCAGTGATTTGTTGAATCGTTTTAGATGCTTTAGTGGGTCAAATCCATGTATTTCCGTTGGGTTCTTGGATGACCATACAAGTGCTCGGTTTAAGTCGTATCAGTTTCTTAAAGTCGTATCGGGAGGCCGTGCGCCTGGACAAAGTTCAAGTTTCGCATCATCACAACTTTTAGTAATTGAACGGTTTCATTGTTTTAGGGCCGTGCGCATGGAAAAAGTTCAATTTTTAGTATCGCGTTGATTTTTAAAGCTTATATATATTTGTTCATTCTTTCAAGGGGGCAAACGCTGCTTGCTTGCTGGCTTGCTTGCTTCTTGCCTGCTGCTTGCCTGCTGCTTGCTGCTGCTTGCTGCTGCTTGCTGCTGCTGCTTGCTTGCCTGGGTGGATAGGACAACAAACTTTCTGAGAGCTGCCCATGACCTCGTATTACGTATTATTTGCTGAGGTTGTTCCAGCATATTTAACATGTAGCTTACATGGGGGAAACGTCCCTTTGGTCATTCCTCTACATGCCTCTTTCGATGGATTGCTGTGACCCTGCTGTGACCCGGTCGTGGCGACTTTTCCGCAAGTGGTTTGTCCACATTCAAGAAAATTGCTCTGACTTCAGCCCTCGACTGTACATTACACTACACTACACTACACTAATTACATTGCACTACAACTACTACAACTACACTACCTTACACTACACTACATTAGACTACACTACACTATACCACACCACACTACACAACACTATGCGACATTAGACCGCACTACACTACACTAATTACATCACACCACGACTACAACTGCAACTGCACTTGCGACTACACTAATTAATTACACCACATTACAACTACAGCTCCGCTACACTACAAGTACAGCTACACCTGCGCTACACCGCATTACATCCAGCAGTTGTGGTAAGGTGACCACTGCAACCATTGCAACCATTTCAAAAAACACAACTCCAACCACCTGTCGGTCCATCAGTGGATTTGCTCTGCCATCCGTGATTCACAACAACCAAGTAGGAGAGGTTTTCTATTTTCGACATTTCCGCCACCGCCTTGCGCGGCACTCCTGGCAAGTTATACCCATGATAAGAAATCCCTAATATCCCTAATCATGGCGCACAGGCTGTACACAGTTGCATGTGGGGCATCCATTATGTAGTAAGCGTGCGGATTTGATCTATCCTCCCGAAGTTTAAACTTTGCACCTTGCAAAGCCTTGCCGTCGACATTTCTTGTCACGTGACTCCGATCTCTTTCACGGTCGCTGTACATTTGACTCTCTTGGTTGGTGGTTTGAAAATCCGGTGCCATTTTCCATCAAACAACTGGATTTGCTTACCCTCCGGTAATCAAACACAGCAACGGAAGATCCACTAATTATATCACTATATCCACTATTTATTGATTAATTATCCCGATAAAATCGTTTTTTGTATGGGATTTCCCCTTGCCACGTTTGATTGCCAGAAGGATTCCAGAAGGTATTTTTAACATGGATTCTCTTATTGGGTTGTGCAACCACCAAGCAGCTTATGGATGCATTGACTGTCCCCAGAGTGGATGGTGTAGGTCTCCACCGGGCGACAGTGCTTGGCCTGCAAGGACAGTGCCATGGAAGTTCACGTCATGGATTGGGTCCAATTGGGACATTTTGGAGCATGGCAGTCGGATCGCATTTTTTGTAGAAACCGCTGTTTGATCATTGATTTGCAAAAAATATCAACATTTGAAGTTTGCAATGGTGGAACGTTTTATTGCTGCTGGTGGGCCAGATGGACAATTTATGACAATTTGATACAATTTGTCATGCAAGACGTCTATGTTTCACGCGACAGATGCAGATGCCGCGCCTCTGTTAAAATTAATAAACCATGGCCGTTCTACTGGAAATGATCCTCAAAGAAATCGCAACTGGAAAATCATTATTGCCCCCGTGTGCCAAGAACGTCCACGCATTTTTTCGATTTGTCCAGGAATTCTGGCTCGATATACCATCCAGATTATGTAGAGTAAAGACTTCACCCTTGGGCCATGCAGTTTTACCGATCAAAAATGAAAATGTGTTGGCCCCATCAGAAAACATGGGCGGGAATTGTCCAGCACCATTGGCCCTTGACATTCTTCCGATTGGCAGATGGGGGTATCATCCTCACTGTAATCAATTTGAGGGCGCTTCGACCTGGACGATCATGACCCATCTAGCATCATCGGGCATTTTTGATTTATGCGCCACAAGACCACTCCGGCATACACCGGCCATACACATCAATCATCATCAATCCACACCAGGTGGGAACGCCTTGCTTGGGTGTACATCCGAATGAAGCATGATGATGGCAGACTTGATCCTGGACTTGAGAGTTCACACTTTGACAATGGAAGGGAGTACGTAGCCCGGCAAGGTGCGCAAGGATCAAGAGCACCTGGATTTCAAACACATGTTTTTCCCTTGACAGCATGATGATCCGCACTCCACTTTTATGTTTTCAGGATGATGGGTGGCGGAACAAGTAGGCAACCATGTCAACCATGATGACTTTTGCTCGCTCTGAGCCTGGCTACTGCTGGATCTTGGCTCAAAGGGTCATCCAAGTCACTTTTCTGCGCAGTCCCAGCTCTTCCAGTGCATTTAGATCATGGTGCTCATTCCAAAGAAGACGCTTGGGCTCAGCCTCCAGGATTTTTTCTTAGGAGAAACATCTCACTCCTCTGTCCCACTATAACAAGGATAGGTAGTTGGCCCGGACAGATCTGGACAGCCTGTTGAGAGTCTATCCGTTGATTTTTATCGTGCAAGGACCCGCCGTCAAATCTTGGAGCATCTCTTCAAGGAAGGTGTCATGGTGGTGAAGAAGGACTACCAGGCAGGGTTCCATCGCGATTTCATCACGATATCATCATATTTTCAGCGTTGGCCTCCTGTCGAGTAGATCATGATGATCAGGTCGTTGAGTGATGCGTGCAGAGGGAAGCGAAGGGGTTTTGAACGATTCCAAATGTTGTCCGAGCAACAGGCGTGCAAGCACAATGAGCTGGAGGACATCCCAAACTTGCACGTGATGATGGTCTTGAGGTCCCTTGCTTCCCGCCACTACTTGCAAGAAATCTACAGCTGGCGTTGGCACTACTACACCCTGACCAACGAGGGCATCGAATACCTCCGTGAAGTGCTTCACCTTCCCGCGCAGGTCTTCCCACAGACCCTGACCAAGCAGCGTCCTACCCGACCTGCCTTGGCTGGTGGTGAGTCCGAGGGCGGCGGTGGCAAGGGCAAGGGCAAGGGCAAGGGAGCCTGGGACCAGGACCGGGGGGATTCTCAGTCTCAACAAAACATGCCAAAATGTTCCAATCAGTTGCATAGGTGCATTGCAATGTCTGGTCACTCGTTACTCATTGTGGAACAATCAATCAGTTGAGTGCTACTGCTGAGGGCTACACAAATTTGACTCTGATAGCAAACCTGGCAGGAAGAGAGCTAAACGACCATCAATGATGGCATTTGCAGGAGAGTTGGGAGTTTAGAAGACAAGACGTTCAGCCGGATGCGCAGTGAGTGAAAAGATGGGAGACTGATGCGAAAGGTCAGCCACAGCAGGTATTGATCCCAGTTAGCCCCAGAAGCCAACATGTTTCTTTCGCTAGTTACACTAGTTTGAGCCTATTTCGGATTATTCTTGCAAAGTGGTTCAGGTTTCACCGTGTGAATCTCTAGATCTGTTGAGCATAGTTGATTTGTAGGTTCAGTTGCATTGATTTAGGGCCATTGAGGCGACTATTTCTGGTTGGTGGTTTGGAACATTTTTTATTTTCCCATATATTGGGAATTATCATCCCAACTGACTTTCATATTTTTCAGAGGGGTGGCTCAACCACCAACCAGTACATGTCTTTGCGTGGCTTTTCGCTTTTCTTCAAACCTTGACTGCACAGTGTCCCTCGCTGTTGGGCTCATCTGCAGCTGTTCCTCAACTCGATCCTGCGGAGTCTCGGCAAAGTCTTCCCCAGCGTAGGGGTGGAGATAGTGGTTGGGTAATGAGTCAATCAGCCAATAGAATATACCTGGAGATTCCAAATCCTGAAAAGCCAAAAAAAAACCAGGGGTTCTCGGATGTTCTCGGTGTTGGCCTGCTTTTTCTCTGAACCCAATGCATCTTGACATCAAACACCTCAAAGTCCTAAAGCTTTTGGTTTCGAAAAACACTTGAATGTCCAAGGTATTTTTTCTCAGGGTCTGAGGGTTGAGGTGAGCAATCTGAAGCCGCCTACTAAAACGATGGAAACTACCAAAAAAAAACATTTCCGCAATAATACCGCAAAAAAAAACGCAGATCCCAAAAAGACGGAAAGCGGACCTGTTCAGATTTTGGCTTGGCGATAGCCACGCTTGGTAATGTAACGCTGTGAAATGAGACAAATAATGCACCGTCTCTTGAAATCACTGGAAAGCCGAAACTCCTGACATTTTCCAGAAGAATGAATCTACATGTAGAATCAGGTAGATATAATAATAGAACAGCATTTTAGCGCATGCCCAGAGCATCTTTCCGTGGTAAGTCACAACATTGCGCTGAGGAAAAGGGCTAGGCAAGACCTGCCGCTTGGCAACAGATGAGCAGTGAACACTTTACCCTGAAAATCCCTGAACATCAGGTATAACTCCGTAAACCTCCGTATGACTCCATATATCCCTTCAAATGTTCACCAAAATTCTAAATGGCAGTTTCATTACATTTGATGTATATATTTACACATAGAATATGATGAGTAAGCATCAGATTTGGGGGTACTCTACTTTAAGACAAATATGTTTTTAACATTTGTTTAACCTTTTTTAACATAGACATTTATGCAGATGTAACTGTAATCAACAGGGTTTTTCTAATTGTATTTCGAGCCGATAAGGATGATTCACATAAGATTTAAAAGCCTCCTTTCATACAATGTGGGACCCCCAGGTCCCAATGGTATAAGTTGGTTTGTAAACCCCAGCAACTATGATAAGTATCATGAATTGATATGAATTGTATTGAATTGTATAGAATTGTCGATTGGAAGGTATACAGACTTACCTTTCAGTCCCTAGACCTTGATGAAATTGGGTGGAGATCAGTCCACAGTCGTCACAAGGAGACAATGGTGTTGATTCCAAAGAAGACCCGGCGTCAAATCTTGGAGCATCTCTTCAAGGAAGGTGTCATGGTGGTGAAGAAGGACTACCAGGCAGGGTTCCATCGCGATTTCATCACGATATCATCATATTTTCAGCGTTGGCCTCCTGTCGAGTAGATCATGATGATCAGGTCGTTGAGTGATGCGTGCAGAGGGAAGCGAAGGGGTTTTGAACGATTCCAAATGTTGTCCGAGCAACAGGCCTGCAAGCACAATGAGCTGGAGGACATCCCAAACCTGCACGTGATGATGGTCTTGAGGTCCCTTGCTTCCCGCCACTACTTGCAAGAAATCTACAGCTGGCGTTGGCACTACTACACCCTGACCAACGAGGGCATCGAATACCTCCGTGAAGTGCTTCACCTTCCCGCGCAGGTCTTCCCACAGACCCTGACCAAGCAGCGTCCTACCCGACCTGCCTTGGCTGGTGGTGAGTCCGAGGGCGGCGGTGGCAAGGGCAAGGGCAAGGGCAAGGGAGCCTGGAACCAGGACCGAGAAAGTCATGGTATTGGATTGCTTGATCAAACTGCAGACCCAATGGAACAATGAAATATACGGAACCATGCATTTTCAGAGCCAAGAATTTTGACCGGCACCAGAAAAAAAGGATATACAAAAACAGGACTTGAGATTAAAAGCATAGTGCTGAGAATTGCGAAGACAATTCTGATCATTAGGAGTTCCAATGTTTAGTCCTTCGATTCGTAGTGCAATCTTTCTGGGGACCCCAGCATTCCACAACTCTCCACACATGTGTATGGCTCATAATCATTGGCTAACATGGACCGTTTTGAAGCCAAAAAAATCCTGAGGTATTTGAGGCATTGATATTGATAGTTAACCAATGATCATTAGCTGGATCGTATTTCTATCCTATCACTATTATATCCAACCCATGTTTAAAGTATTTTAAAGTAATAGTAATAGAATCCCACAAATAGTATTTTAATATATATATATATAATATTACAATAAAATAATCCAACGTAAGAATGATCTAATCCAATCATGATGATCAGTTCATGTCCATTTCGTGCCACTATACCAAGCCACTGGGGCAAATGGGTACCTGTCAGGAGGAGAGCTGAGCGTGTCGACGCCGCGGATTGAGATCGGAACAGCGGGGTGCGGGGTTCAAAAAGTGGGTAGACCTTTGGGCAGGTGTCATGGTTCAAGGGGGGGTTCCTAATGGCTGGTACCCCAGCTGGATGGTTTATGTCATTGAAATTCATTGAAACATCCGAAAATATCCGAAAATCACTGAAAAAATGAGAACTGGGGGTACCCATGGGTACCCCTCATTTTAGGAAAGCCCCAATTTGGTCTTCAAGACCATGGGATGATATGGGATGGTTCTCACTCGATTTTTTCAGATGTTTTCAGCATGGACGCAGGTCCGGGGGAAAAGTTTGAAGGTAGCAAGCAACCCAAGCGTTTATCATGTTGTAATATATTTTATCTAATGTCCGTATTATATAATTTGTATGATTTGTTGGGAAGCAAAGCTAAGTTTGCTCCTTCGTGGTGACATTCCAGCAGTCGTCAACAGTCGCCAAGATCCTTCCTAGTGCCGCGGCACTAGGAGCCAAGATCCTGGCATCAAAGGTGTTTTCTGCGGACCGAACCATTAAGCCAGCACGGCAGGCCTCCAGAATCTACAGGCTTCGTTCATGTTTGTTTTTTGATGTTTTTTTGCATGTCTTTTGGGATTCCCAGCATTTCACAAGCCAGCTATAGGCGTTGCCTATCAGAGTTGATTGAAGCTGAGCCAGATGAAAACCATCCACACCACAGAAGAGGACTCCACCGGTTGTGGCACTGAAAGCACCATGCTCTCGTCATGGCCCGTGGTGGGGTGCGAGACGTGCCGGGAAAGCGCCGACGTGTGGCGAGGCCTCTGTGGAAAGGGGAAAAGGTGGGACAAGGATGGACAAGGCCTTGATTTTTGAATTGGAAACGGATGATCAAGGATGGAAAAGGAACTTTTTGATGATTGATTATTGACAATAAATTATTGATGATTGGATCCCATTTATTTTGCTGTTTGAGTGGTATTTTTCTTTCTGTCGTCAATTCTTGTCTTAACATGTCCTGGTCGTCGTTTTCCATTAGTTGAGTTATTTAGTTGAGTTATTTTTGTTCAGGCGAAAGAGCCTCATGCGTATCCACCATGTACTACTGGCGCAACATCCCAATGTTCGGGTCTGATACCTCAATAAATCCATGTAGTGCAATGTAGGGTGGGTGATCGATAGTTGGCAAAAGTGATGCTGGATTTTCCAACTTGTGAATTAGAAATCCGGTGCAACTGCATTTGATCGTATTTGTGCTTCACCTACTCCTGGACTATCCTAGACTTGGCTGGCATTATAAAACCATGGATTAAAAAACATAGAAACACCTACAAAACATTAATAACTTGTATAAACCATGGATATACAGCCACTATTCCACTACAAATCATAGAAACGCCATGGAAAAATCGACGTCAAGTCGCCAAGCCATCCGGTTAGGATAGGATACCTTGGCTCCCGAGCCACCAAGCAGAGCCAAGAGGAGAGATTTCTGGATGTTTTGGTGATCATGGTGATCTAGAAACAACGTTAACGGAAGATTTCGCCATCAGAGTCGTTATATAATGGGTATAGGGGTGTATAATATATATATATAGGTGAATCAGGTTTGGAAGGCTTGGGTTTTCACAAATCATTTATCAAGTTCTCATCCTCTTGATATTTTGGCTCAGGTGCCTTGATCCAAAATAGCAAGATTTTTCTTGTTTCCCCACCCAGAACCCACCCTGGTCTCGGGGGTGGCCTTGTTGCCTTCCCTCGAACCTTGAAGGCTCCGTAGGAGCTGGGGTTCGCGCGTGTAACGCACTGATCAGCGCCGTCTTGGGGGACCTCTGGAATCAAAGGGCTTTTGGGGTATCCCAGTAGCTACTCGTAGTTACGAGGCGCGGTCCAGTTTAGACATCCCCTAGTGGGTCTAGGAGCGGGATTTGTCTGGATGGACCCATCCCTCCGGAGTGCAGGGATGCATAGGCCAGAGTTCTGGCTGCGCTGATCAGGCTGCGATGATGCAGCTACCCAAGGCAATAACCTGTAGGGCCACTGTAGGGAACAGGTTCATTGGACTAGCCAGTTGGCTGAAGAGTGTGGAGCGTGAGAGAGAAAAAGAAGTGATAATCTGGTTGGTGAGGTTGGTGGTTTCAAATATGGTTTATTGTTCAACTGTGTTCAACCATCCTTGGGATGCCGATCCCCAAATCCCCAATGAATCATGATGTTCAGGGACGTTGAAAGCATCAATCAGTTATGACTCGTGTGGAAAACTGTGGAACCCAGCCGTTAAAGAGCTCTCAGGGGCGATCTTGAATATTGAAGGAAAGATTTGCAGGAAACCACTGATTCGATGCTTTAAAACTCGTGTTTCTTGTAACGTCCCTGAAATCAACCCAGTTATTTAGTTTGTGTGATGGCTGCTTCCCTCATCCCGGAGGATGAAGTGGATGCCAATACCAGCAGCTGGGTGACTGAGGCTGGCATGGCGACCACATCATTTTTACTGGCAATGTGTGTTTGGAACATATGGGTTTGCCAGAAAGTATAGAGGACGCCCCACAAAATCTGGTGGTTTATCATCATTTTCCCTGTGACAGCCATGAACTAGATGATGTAAGACGTAAGACATGAATACAGGATACACTGAAAACCTACCATGAATTTCCATTTTCAGACAAACCCATGTTTTTCTCCACAAACTTTGAGGTGTGAGTTTCACCAGTCTCAGCCCTGATGTATTTTTCGGCCAGCTGCACTTTTGGGGACAGGCTGTAGCCCATGCACGTGCACTGTTGGGCGACAGGCTAGGGTCCTGCAGCTCCTGATGAAATCCGGGGGGGGGATGTCCTTTTCCTACTGGTTGGTTGATTGAAGGGTTTTCCCTCATTCAACAAGAAATAGATAGACAATAATAACCATAGAATAACCATAGAATACCATATATAACATATAACAACCATGGATGTCAATGGATTTTCCCTTAAATCAAAACATTTTTCCGGATGAGTACCGCACAGTCCCGCACTGGATGTCGAGGACACCTCCACAAGGAGTGCCTGAGGCAGGAACTCAGGGGTGCTACATTGAGTTTGGTTTGAAATTAACCAATGGGCTAACTATTATAGATAGTTAGTTCGCTATATACAAAGATATAAATGGGCTAAGATACTAGTTGTCACTTAAAAAAATTCATCCCATCATTGTAGAGATCGCCAGTGGGGTGACCACTGTTTTTCCAAAGTGACCCTTGGCTATAGGTCAAAAGGAATCCGCCATGTGGCTAGTGGATTATCGAACATCTCCATCAAGCCAATGTTGTTTGATGTTCATTCGCAGTTGACACATGGTTGACTTACTGTTTGTACTAGTAAAATTGGGTGAAGAAAAGCTCTACCTTCGAATAGCCTTTGAAATCATAGATTTGGCTGGGAAAATGAGAGGGACATCCGGAACATCACTTTGAAATCGAGTAGTTTTTTGGGCTTTCAACACAACCTTCAACATTTGCTCATGAAATGGTCAGGCTTCTGTTATCACTGGAATGATTCGAGGGAGGGGCAAAAAAAAAATTGGTGGCTAGGGGGAACATGATATCTGTCTATATCTGGATTCAAAATGTTGCAAAGGGGTTTAGGAATCGAGTCTATCCCCCAACTGGTGGTTGGTGGTTGATCAACCCTTAAATCCAGGCCATATGGTGGTCACCTGACCAGTGGTTGAATCCTAAGACGGTTGATGAAACCTTCATGTTGAATGGTAAATCCCCATGGTAATTCCCTGAAATTCTGCAACAGTCACCCATTAATGTTACATCACTATCATTCACTATCATGCTATCCCCTTGATGTGGCCATTTATGGTATCAAGCATCGAGTTGGTGATAGATCCCAGCATATCCCTGTCATTATCCCATTATATCCCGTGATTATGTGTTAAATCCCATTATACCTCAGGATTTACTGCCAAATCCAGCATCATTGATGATTACTGAGTACTGTACATCATATTAGATCCCTCTTAATGTTCCACCGATATCCCATTAATATGGCCCTTTAAGGGAGAAAACGACAATTTTCTGACCAAAGAACTCTGTGTTTTTCCCTAGGCTGCCGCGCTGTTGACCTCGATTCTACTGTGCCTGCCTGAGCTATGGGAGGAATTGGCTCAGGACGGACTGTGAGTTTGAACGGAAGAAGATGTGGGAATGATCTACCTGACCCGTGGTACTCGTAAATTACCATATAGCTATGGAAAATGGCAATGACTTGATAGTTGATTTAGCTATTAAGATGGTGATTTTCCACAGCAAACTGTTAGTTTACCAGGCCGGGTACCCTCCGGTAATCAATGTGGCTAGCTGGGAAATCTTCACTATTGGAGGTTTACAGCTGGGAACGTCTTTTTTTTGGGGATTGTCAATGGCATATTTGAGAACCAGAATAGTATCAGACAAATGATGATTAATCTATCTCTGGAGATGATCGTCTACATTAGACTTATTAGATCATATTAGATCAATCTATTTCCTGCAGATACAACCTGCTTCATATTGTGTGTTTTTGCTGTGTAGATGACGCGCAATTTAGAGACCCTTACAGTATCATGCTGGGTATATGGAAGTTGAGATTAGAGACCGGCGATAGACGACTGACGTGTATTCGGGTGGACTTGATTCCTGCTCCCATGCTTTCTGAAAAGCCCTCCCGCCCCCAAAAGCGAAAGAATAAGAGGCGGTTTCAGGTCGTGAACCAGGATGCTAGCCTGCCACCAACCAAGCCCATCGTTTACTGTTTAAAAGATGTCCACAAAATGGTGCCTTGCGCATCTCCCAGAAGTGAGCGTTTCTCGTTTTGTGTTTTATCTAGTAGCTAGAATAACTAGTAGTGGGCAAGGCACTCGTTCAACTGCTTTGGTGGGCGCTTCATCAACCTGATCTCAGTTTTTCTACGTCTTCGTATGTCTTTGTTCGTTCATATATGACATGATACGACTCACTCCATGCTCTGTGTCCAAGTGATGTGCATCATTTGGAACTACGGTCCCTTCGCATCCCTTCGCTCTAACAAGCAAAAATGTATCGAGGTGGTCGACCGATAATAAAACGATCACGAAAACGATAGTCAATTGTGCAAATATATGGCCATGTGATCGGCTGTTGAGTTTGAAATATTCCAACATACATCATGAATGCATCATGAATACATCATGGGTACATCGTGAAGACAGTGAATACATCTTGAACTACAATTCATCAGCTTAGCCCCACACTTGAAATAACATTAAAAGGAAAACAATGTTTCACCATTTTGGAAGTTTAAAAATCCACGTTTTAGACAACCCCATTTGCGTATTCCACATTCTTCATGTGTTTGGTCATTGACTACTTGACACCGTAATTCCATGCTCCAGGATACTCTGCTGGCCTTTGGCAACGTGATAGCAGGGGGAGATGCTTCTGGTTGTGCCAGGACTGAGTGACCATTCTGCCGAGGTCGCAGCTGAGGCCATTTGCCAATCGGAGGAGTTGTAGCTGAAAATTGACTCAGCTTTTTGCCGCAGGTTTCAACATTTTTTTCCCCTAGCTTGGGGTTGGCAACTGCAGACTTAGAGACACTTAGAGACAACAATCTTGGCAGAAGTTGTGTAGTGATGCTGATGGCAACTGATGGAATTCCTCGGGATTTTGGGCCTGAGATGCCCTGAGAGGTCCAATCAGAGATTTGGGGTTTCAGGAGCCGCGCTGGAGGTCCAGCCTTTGTTTGATCCTCAGGGTGGAGGCAGATGTGAAGCATCGAGGTATGTAGATTGAGGCGGGAAACATCATCTATGACTATAACATCCGGGGATCAAAGATATGTCGCATGTCTATCTTTTTGCGGAGCCTTTTATGTATCAATTTGCATGAAATTGGTATATTGAAATGCTAGCTTAGGCAATTTAATGCCACTGATTTTGTACATCACCTCAGGTGGCTGGAAAACAAGACCTCTCAGCCAGAACCAGGCTGGAGATGTTTGTTTCATTTGAAGACGCTGCCGATAGCATCGAAATTAACAGATGTTCTCTCAGTTGTGAGCCATCTTAGTCTCTAGTTCCAGGTGTTGATCTACGATGTTTATTGCTAATGTTTTTCTGAGAGATCAGCCATGACTGTTGAGCGAAAAGGGCGCATGCGGAATGTGAAAATTGCGGCCAGCATGTGCTTTGTCTAGACAGTTTGATGTTGTTTGCAAAATGATACGAGGCGGTTACTGCTCTCCAGTGTAGCTTCAGTGGTTTGCAAGGCCATGTGGAGCCTGACACCGGTACAGGATGACGTACAACATATGGCAAATGTTCGAAAACCTTTCAAATGTGTTGGTGTGTTCCAAAATCAGGGCCTAATTCGCTCATTTCCTTTAACCCATGCTTAAGATTGATAATTGTGTTTGGGAGATGATTCAGATTCATCCCCCATGGGTTAGTAGATGTATGGATAGCTGCCCCTAAGAATCAACGCCAATCATAGCCTGACAATGCCTGACATCCCAATCTTCTCATGGAAACAATCATATGGAATTATGGAAAGCTGAAATTACCAATTAACTCATTTCGGACTGGCTCAACATTCGGTGCTAACGCTTTCAATGATTTATTGTCTATTGTGTATTTAATATATAATATATACTGGAATATATGATATACCAGTAGTACCGCACAAGGCGGTGGCGGAAGTTTCAAAAATAGGAAACCTATAGGAGAGGTTGGTTGTTGTGAATCAGGGATGGCAGAGCGAAGCCACTGATGGACTGAAAGGTGCTTGAGGTCTCCTCTTTTTTCTCTCTCTCTCTCTCTCTTTTTCTCTCTGTTTCTCTATCTTTCTCTGATTATCTACCTACCTACCTACTGATCTATCTGTCTATCTATCTATCTATCATCATCCATCTATCTATCTATCTATCTCTATCTATCTATCTATCTATTATCTATCTAGCTGTCTCTCTATCTATTTGTCATCTGTCTATCTGTATCTATCTATCTATCTATCTATCTATCTATCTATCTATCTGTCTATCTATCTATCTATCTATCTATCTATCTATCTATCTATCTATCTATCTATCTTCTCTATCCTATCTATCTATCTATCTAATCTATCTATCTATCTAATCTATCTAATCTAATATCTAATCTATCTAATCTATCTAATCTATCTAATCTATCTAATCTATCTAATCTATCTAATCTATCTAATCTATCTAATCTATCTATCTAATCTATCTAATCTATCTAATCTATCTAATCTATCTAATCTATCTAATCTATCTAATCTATCTAATCTATCTAATCTATCTAATCTATCTATCTATTTATGAAGCTGTCTCTCTATCTATTTGTCATCTGTCTATCTGTCCATCTATCTATCTATCTGTCTATCTGTCTATCTGTCCATCCTAATCTATCTAATCTATCTAATCTATCTAATCTATCTAATCTATCTAATCTATCTAATCTATCTAATCTATCTAATCTATCTAATCTATCTAATCTATCTAATCTATCTATCTATTTATGAAGCTGTCTCTCTATCTATTTGTCATCTGTCTATCTGTCCATCTATCTATCTATCTGTCTATCTGTCTATCTGTCCATCCTAATCTATCTATCTATCTATCTATCTATCTGCAAGATCAAAAACGAAGAAATTCTACGAGACTTCCTTAATGTTTGAACATAACAACTTTTAAAACGAAACAATTCTGCGAGACGTGTTCATTTTTTGACCTTGACAGCATCCGAAACGAAGCAATTTTGCGAGACTTCCTCATTTTTCGAAGTTGAAGACATCAAAAACGAAAGAATTCTGCGAGACTTCCTTCAAACATAAAGTTGAGTGCAGAGCTGACAGCCTCGTACCAATGCGTTTTGCGATTTTTCCAGTCCACCTGTCTAAAGTACTGCGCCTGCCACGGAAAATTGATGCCAGGTCATACGAAGTGCTGCACCTGTCACGCGAAATCATCTTAGCAAACCTGCGCATCTGATACTCCAAAATGCAACCCCTCTCAGGAAATCAACGCCCTGACCTCCTAACATCTCTCATGAACATGTCTTTTGTATTGCGCCTGCAACGGAAAATGTATCTTTGCAGATCCTCTTCAAATGTCCCGTCCCATGCCTGCCATCGTTTTTGGAAATGCTACAAAACCCTCACGTTTTGCTCACTTTTGAAGAGGTGCACAATCCCTTGCGCCTGCCACACGAAACGGCATCTGAACTTCCAAAAGTGGTCCGAACCCCTAGTGTTTTTAACATTTTGACTTCGAAATGTGCTTCGCGCCACAACGGCGTGCACTTTTTCGACATCTCAAGTGCCAAAAGTGGTCCGCACCCCTCGTGTTTTTAACATTTTGACTTGGAAATGTGCTTCGCGCCACAATGGCGTGCAATTTTTCATCTCTCCTCTGGCCACCTGGCTCCGCACCCGCCGCTTTAGCGAGTCTACTTTTCGATCCTCCGGAGCCACAAATCATGGGAAAAACACAGTGTTTCGCGACTTTCCTACCTTTTCACGCATCTGCATCTTCTTTCTTCTTACTCTTCTTTCTTCTAATCTTTCTCTTCTCTCTGCCTCTTCCCTGCTCTGTTTTTCATCTGTCCATATTGTCGGAAGTTTGACTTCTAAACTTCCTTCGATAATGTATAATATTTGATAAATATATAAGATTTAAAATATAATATATAGAATATAATATATAATATATAATATATAATATATGATATATGGAAATATAATATATAACATATAACATATCATATATCATATATCATATATCCTTTCTCATATATGATATATGATATATGATATATATATATATATATATATATATATTAAATATATTACATATAGTATATAGTGTATAGTGTATAGTATATAGTATATAATATATAGTAAATAGTATATAGTATATAGTAAATAGTATATAGTATATAGTAAATAGTATATAGTATATAGTAAATAGTATAAAGTATATAGTATATAGTATATAATATATCGTATATAGTATATCATATATCGTATATAGTATATAGTGTATAGTGTATAGTGTATAGTGTATATAGTATAAATAATATATATAATATATATAATATATAATGTATAATATTTTATGTTCAATATAATATAGTATAATATAATATAATTTAATTTAATATAATATAATATAATAAGAATATAATATAATATAATATAATATATTATAATATAGTATAATATAATATAATATAGTATAATATTATATATATTTATCTATATATATATATAAATTATTTTGTATAAATACATACATATGTCAATTGATACGACCCATCCCCATGTCCCTGGTACCACTTGGCCAGGTGAACGATGGTTTTCACGGGTTACTGGACTCGGATGGGTGGATAGGTGGCTGGGTATTTGGTGCCTCCAATGGATGGAGCACTCTTTGTGTTGCATATGGGGGTGTCCAAAAAAAAAATCGGAAAAAAACAACAAATTCAATCACTGACTCAAAATTTCCCACATCTCTAAATGGTATTTAAACGGTCATTTGGTGGTGAATGACCCCGTTTCAGATCCTAATATCCCAATCGAATAGCTCTCTGAGTTCGGGATCATCCTCGTCAGCGAAGTCTGTCTCGTTGCTTTGCTTGCTGGGGGAGGCATGGAGCGGAGAATGACAAGAATGGTATCGAATCATGTGTATCTATAGTAGAAATCCAAGTCACAGATGACATAGTTGACTAATGTATGTTTCTCAAGCTTATAGTAGTATGTAATACAATTATATAGTTCATTACTATTCTTCATTACAGAAGCAGTATCAGTAGCAGATAATTACTATTGGTTTCGTCATTCGGCATTCGACATGACCAATATTTGAAGGCGCAAGCCGACGAGGGTCTCTTCATGGCTGCCTTCCGGACGCTTCAACGAGCGCAGGCGCGCGTGTCTCATGGGCCAGACACTGATGGCCGAAACAGAACCACGGAGATTCATTTATAGTCCAACTATACTCTATAGAATGAAAATTAAGTAAGTACAGCTGTATAATTTGATATTACATATTACATATTACATATTTTTAGAATTAGATATGCAACTACAAACCATTATTGGTGATGTCCGTATCCAGTAATACAATATTATGTGTATATATATATATGAATATGTATACATATTATCCAGCAATTTGCACTGACTCTGGGTTTGAAAGCTGCAGGCCATGGCACGTCAAAGCAATCACAGCAGTCACGACCTCAGAGTGAGCGACGATGCAAAGGTCAGAGATGTTGGCATGGCATCTGGGGCCTTTGCAAAAACACAGCGACTTTGAAACCGAGGTTGCAACATCCAAATGGACATGTGGTATTTTTTTAATACATATATATATATCATCTATTGGCTGATTGTTGCAAGTAGATAGCATGTAGGAAGGCAATGGAACACCATGGATTTTCCATGGTGCCATGTGATCCATGTCGACAGGCGACCGTGCGGAAGCTGCGTTGCAGGGCTTGAGGGCGGCGGCCCTTCAGCGTTGGGTCCCTGTGAAAAATCCAGCCCTACTATTGGGTTGTTGTGGTTGTTGTGGTTGTTGTGGTTGCTGTTGTTGTTGTTGTTGCTGTTGTCGTCGCCGTCGTCGTCCTTCTTCCTATGATTATTATTTCTTGCTCTGGCTCCTCCTCCGCTTTCTTCCTAAGGTTGGCATTTTCAGATGATCAACGACGTGCCACGCGCTGAAGCATATGCCACTTAGCTTTGTGATGAATTGAGATGCTTTGTGTTTGCATGAAATTGTTTGACCTCAACATTGTACTGTTGGTGATATATACACCCAGTATATACATATACAATCATATACATTATTGTATATCCCATTAAATTCCTATGGCATTCCCAGATTTGGCAAATAACCAACGGTGCTGCTTTAGTTCACATCATACCGGCGGGTCAGGACCGTGCCATCCAAGCTGCAGTCTCGACGCTCTCTCAAAGGCCAGAGGCCGGGTCATGACAACTCAGGGACGGGAGACAGCAGCGGTTATGTGAATAGTTGTTTGATATAAGGGTATGTTGATTGGGAGTATGTCTTTGTGTACGCCAGGTAAGAGTTGTAAGGATAGACATTGAAGGACTTGGATCAGAGATGGGACTGGAGCACTCCAACAGCAAAATTACCATTTCTCGGACTCGTTATGTGGAGAGATGTGGAGAGCAACATGCCAAGAGGTTCCTTTGTGCCGTATACAACCTAAGTTGTTCAAAATCTAAGATGCTGATCATGGATTCTCAACGATACTCTTTGGGATGGACATCCAGAGGTTTATAGGTACAAACCTAATGCATTTCAAACATCGGTATGTGTTCCATGTTTTCCTCGCAACATGGAGTGATTACCGTGACTTTCAACTTTTTTTCGGAATGTCAAGGGATGATAGGGATGGGGGTGGCTGAACCATCAACCAGAAAAGGCATCCCCATCATTTATGACCAACCTTTTCCATCCTTTTCCGGTGATTCCTATTGAAACTTGGCCTTGGCACCGCCGCACAGAAGAGCTCGTCCATTCGATTTCGCGTCCCCTCGCCGGCGCCGCGCGCCGGGGAAGCCGCCTGTGCCATGCCGCAGTTCAGCTTGGAACAGGTCAGGAGCATCATGGACCAAACTGAGAAGATCCGTTCCTTTGCTCATGGTTTTGCTGTGCAAAGTTGATCTAAGTTGGGAATGATCGGCCTATATATATATATACATACACGCACAACAAATGTTGATGCAACTTCACAAAATTCCCATGGGAGAAACAACAAAGGTACTAGGGAATATTAAAGTCCCACCCCTGTTAAACTTTTAATTCCTCTGGGAAAACAACAAAGGTACTAGGGACTATTAAACTCCCACCCCCGTTAAACTTTGCATTCAATTGGGAAGATCAACAAAGGTATTAGGGAATACATTAAAGTCCCACCACCGTTAAACTTTACATTCATTGAAGATCTTCAATAAGGGTTTAATTCTCCCACCCCGTTGAACTTCTACATTCATTGAACATCTTCAATAAGGGTATAATTCCCCCACCCCCCGTTAAACTTCTACATTCATTGAACATCTTCAATGAGGGTTGAATTCTCCCACCCCACCGTTAAACTTCTACATTCATTGAACATCTTCAATGAGGGTTGAATTCTCCCACCTACCGTTAAACTTATACATGTATTGAAGATCTTCGATAAGGGTTTAATTCTCCCGCCCCCGTTGAACTTCTACATTCATTGAAGATCTTTAACAAGGGTTTGATGATGATGATGGTGATGGTGATGATGATGATCATGATGATGATGATGATCATCATCATCATGATGATGATGATGACGATGCTGATGATGCTGATGATGCTGATGATGCTGATGATGATGATGATGATGATGATCATGATGATGATGTGGATGATGATGATGATGGTGATGATGATGATGATGATGATGATGATGATCATCATGCTGATGATGATGCGTTGCCTGTCGTGGTTGCGGTTCCGGGCCAAAAACCAGGCATTTGCTGCATATAATATATATATATATAATTTATATATATATATAATATATATAATATATATATAATATATATATAATATGTATATATAATATATATATATATATATATTCGATCTATCTATCATAGGGAGCTGATGCGGGTCTGCTGGGTCAGACCCCCCTCCTCTCACTGGTTTTGCCTTACAGAATCCCCAGCCGATGGGTGTCCATCCTGTGGATGGACATATGGTACAGTTCCAAGGCATGAAACACTGTAAAATGCCAACAAAACAGGGTCAGACCCCCCTCCTCTCAACTGCTCTTAACCGCTCTAAAGCCTTTGGGCACGACTGTTAAGAGTGGTTAAGAGCTGTCAAGAGCAGCTTGAATGCTCTTAACAGCTCTTAACCACTCTTAACAGTTGTGCCCAAAGGCTTTAGAGCGGTTAAGAGCAGTTGAGAGGAGGGGGGTCTGACCCTGTTTTGTTGGCATTTTACAGTGTTTCATGCCTTGGAACTGTACCATATGTCCATCCACAGGATGGACACCCATCGGTTGGGGATTCTGTAAGGCAAAACCAGTGAGAGGAGGGGGGTCTGACCCAGCAGACCCGCATCAGCTCCCTATGAATCTATCTATCTATCTATCTATCTATCTATCTATCTATGGGACTGGATGATTTCTTGTGATGAAGTCGTATGCTGTAGATGTAGAATGCTGTAGAGGGAAGTCTGCGGATGGTTGGTTCTTTCTTGAGAAACAGTCTTCCCTTTGGGAGTCACGACTGAATGATGACAGTTTCGCGGTGTAGTCCCAATCCCAAGAATGTTTCATATCCCGTACCCCGTTCCAATGTTCATTGACCCCATCCCCGTCATTCCTGATATTCTTGCTTCCTTTTATCATCGTTGCTTGATCATGTCGGTAGACTCACCAGCCCATTCTTCATGATTCATAGAGGATCGCATAGGTAGATTATAAATATATATATATATACATACATACACGGCTGGTCTCATCTTAATTCCAAGTTTCCCCTCCAATCAAAATGAGCCTGTCGGAACATGTAGGGAAAACCCCTTAAATTTGCTGGTTGAACACATTGTTCCCTATCCAGCCATAAATGGCACACCGATGGCCATAAATTGGGGGTAAATCCGACTAGATTGTTGGGTATACCTCCCATTCATGTCCCATTGATACCCAATTCGTACCCCATTAATGTTCCATCAATATATACATATTATATATATATACACCTACCATTCATATGGCCATATTTTGGGATATCCCCTGAATTCTCAGACATACCCAACTATCAAGTTGGTGATATTCTGGGGTCCATCATATCCCTTTCATTATCCAATAATTATATGTAATTATATATAATTATGTGTTAAATTGCATGACACCTGAGATTTTACTGCAAAATCCAGTATTCATTGATGTTTTTTTTTGATGGTTAAGTATGGTTAAGTCCCCATATCATGGTTGCTTCAACATCCGTGTTGAATGGTAAATCCCCATGGTAAATACTTGAAATTCTGCATTAGCCCATTCATGTTCCATCGATATCCCCTAGAAAAAACCAGCCATTTATGGTATAAAGACATATAAAGCATCAAGTTGGTGATAGATCCCAGCATACCCCTGTCATTATCCCATTATATCCCATGATTATGTGTTAAATCCCATTATACCTCAGGATTTACTGCCAAATCCAATATCTGTGTTAACTCCATGTTCAGACACACGGAGATGGAAGTAATCCGCGGCAGTGGACAATTCCCTATGAATGGAGTTTTCAATCGGAAAACCATCGAACCAAGCGGTGGATTTTCCAGCAAACCATGTCGTTTTTTTGGATACAGTAGTAACTACCATAATATGATATTATATGATATATGATGTAAATAAATGATATAGGTATCCACAAATATCCCTATCATTATCCCATCATATGTGTTAAATCATGTTAAATCCCATGGTTTATCCCTATCATTATCCCTATGATACCAATTCAATCCCATGATTCCTTCAGGCTCTCTGAGCATCATCGCCCACGTGGATCATGGCAAGACCACCCTGGCGGATTCCTTGGTCTCTCGCGCCGGCATCATCTCCACGAAAGCGGCTGGGGACACCAAGTTCACCCACGGGCGCAAGGAGTCCGGTGGGAGCTCGGTGGGATTTTTGGGTAGAGCCATGGAGAAAAGATGAGAAAAGTAAGTACAGATAATTATATATATATAATACATATAAATATATATATATATAATGTATATATATATAATGTGTATATATATATATATATGGGATAAGCTAGTGCTGGAACTTACTAACCAGGATTAAATGATTCAAACGGTATAGTTTCCGAAGTTAACTTTTACACATTTACCAAAGCCTTTGGCCCAACCCTTTCCAGTAGCAAGGCTGATACCGCAGATACTTGGGAGAGTTTCTAACACCATGGACCTCAATCTTTCGTTGCTGCCCATTGGGACTTCAGTTTCGTTGGTGGCTCGTGTGCTGGATCAGACGGTTGACGGCATCACCGAGTGCACTGGCATCTCACCGACTCAAAGTTTTTCTTTGGCACCTTCTCCTGTGCTGACTGAGGGAATCTTTTCCTTTTACCAATTGGTGAAGCTTTCGTCTGATCCTTTGCTCCTTGGCTTCTGTGATCATTCGGCATGTTATCCAAAGACAGTTCATGCACCATTTCGCAAGATGGCAATTTATGATGTGTGTAGTGGTATGGGTGGATTCTCAATGGGCACCAGCCCTTTGGGGGCAGACACGGTTGCATTCTTGGAATGTAACGAACTTGCCTGTGATCATTTGAGAGCCAATTTCACTGCCCCAGTTTTGCAGGGAAGTGTGGAAGATGTTCAATGTATCAAAGAAATGCATTCCTTGAAGCCTGATGCATTCATCCAAGTGACTGGAGGTTTTCCATGTCAACCGTACTCCAGACAAGGAGACATGCAAGGACTTAGGGACAAACGTGGTCAAATCCTCCCAGCGATCCTGAGATGCTCCTGGTTGCGTCAAGCGAGTGCACTTCTTCTTGAATGCGTTGAAACCGTTCAAGAGTTTGATGACATTCAGGACCTCATGCATCAGTACGCCACCATGGCACACATGACTCTCTCCAAGATTGTCTTTGACCTGCGATCTCAATGGCCAGTGAGGAGATGCAGATTCTGGTGTTTGATGCTCGATGCTGATCTTCCTCCACTTCACCTTCAAGCTTGGCCTTCCTGCTTGCATTGCACTACGCTTGGTGATGTCATGCCCTTTGATGCTCTTTGGCCTGATGAGCACGAACTTGACCTTCTCTGGACTGACCAAGAATGTGCACTTTTCTTTGACCCAAGGTATGGTAGTGATTTGAGAGTCCTACAGCACTCTCATCAAGCGCCAACCATGCTCCACTCTTGGGCAAACCTGCTTCAAGCCTGTCCATGCGGATGCAGAACTAGGCCATTCACTCACCATCGACTTCTTCAAGGAGGGGCACGTGGCTTTGGGCTCATCTCTGCAAAAACCATGAAGATTCGACATCTACATCCGGAAGAGGGGGCACTTCTATGCACTGTCCCGCTGAACTACACCTATTTGGGTTCAGCACGTGATGCACTATGCCTTCTTGGACAAATCGCAGCTCCGCTCCAAGTTCTTTGGCTCCAATCTCAGCTGATGGCCCATCTTCAGACCAATTTCTGGTTGTCATCCTCCATCAATGCCCTGGAGATGGTACAGCAGTACAAATACAGCCTACTGCAACAACGGGCGCAAACATGGGTTCTTCAATGCATGAGTATGCCCAGAACCATCCACCTCCAGATGGATCAAGTCATGCACAACATTACTGTCAACTCACCAGTGACAGTGCGAGAGCTGGAGCAAGCTGAGTCAAAGCTGGCGGGCCATGGCTTCTACGTGGTTGTCACACAAGCTCAGCACAGACTACCTCCTTGGTGCCAACTGCATGCGGGTGCAACCTACCAACTGCACTTGCTGACCAAGAAGAATGCCAAGCTCTATGCTGAACACCCCACATCACTCTTGGGCGAAGGTACTCAATTGATGGGATGTGCTACCCATCTCAGATCTTCGTTGGCTGGACTTGGTGACACCCATGTTTGGAAGGGGATGAGAATGCTCTTGGACTTAATGAGCAAAACGGGCCATTTGGACTTGCCCATGATCCAGTACCCCTTCCGGGCGACACATCTTCTTCGACGGCAACTTCCTCCTGCAGTGCTCCATGATTGGCAACAACGCTTCTCTCATTCCAATGGAAGAATCTGCATCATCTATGAGCATGCCGGTCATTGGACTTTCTTGACTGGTGCGCGCCACGATCAGATTCATTGGACTCATTTTGATGGACTTGATTCAAAACCAAATTCGAAATCTCTTCGTTTGGCAGGCGCTATTGCAGAGGAGATCACAACATGTTTGGACCATGAGATGGGCAACTGCAATGCAGGGACTTCCATTCCACAGCTTTGTTCCTTCTCTTGTGGCACTATTGCACTCCTGAACATGGCCCACCAGCTGCGTGTCCAGCAGCACCTGCAGTATGAGGATGAATGCGCACTTCACAACTTCTTCCTCAACAACTGCCATGAACCATCCGGATTTCAGGCAATGGGCAAAGGATCGCAAGTGGACACACTTGCCCAACTGCTTATCGCCAAAGGCGTCCTTGAAGCAAATGCAAGTGAACGAGCACAACAGGTGATTGACAAACTGGGCCAAGCACAAGTACAACAGATCATGAAGAACGTCAATCCCTGGCCTAGCTTGAAAGCAGCAGCCTCCAAACCAGGTCGCATGTTTCGCTTGGTGACAGAAGAAGAACAACAAGCCTACATTGCAAAGCGGGCTCAGACCAAGCACGGTGCCAAGGTCCAGAACCCGAAGCAGAAGAAGCATGCCTCCTTGGGTCGAGACTCACAAATGATGCTGGATCCTGCTCTTTTCCGCCTGGACCCCAATCACTTCCAAGATGATGATGGTCAACCAGTTCCACAACTGCAGTTTGCTGATGTGGAGGCCAATCAGAATGGCATAGCGCTTTGCACCACATACATGGCCAAACGCTTCCTTGAGAATCCTGACTCCATCAGCATGCAGGGCCTTGCTTTGCTTCTGATCGATCAACCTGCGCCTGCCCTGATCCAAAAGACTGGGATGACTCCCATGATTTTCCCAGCCTGGTGTACCACCACCGAGGAGCACACAATCATCATGGGACACATCCTTCAGTTGGGAGACTCCAAGATCAAACGTAAGATGGCTGGTACTGAAAGCAAACCAGATACCATTGAAACTAGAGTTGTCAAGCTCCAAGTCTACAAAGACCAATTTGAGGCGGATTGGGCCTCTTTTGCTGCAGCCCCAGTGCGATGCCTTCTCAACATGATTGAAGCCATGCAGTTATGTAGAGGGCAACAATGTGGTGTTGACTGCGCAAAGTACCACCCTGGATTGGATGAGAACTTGGACGGGGTCATCCTTGAGGTCTGGTCCAGATCCTTCTTGAACGACATGGGCAAGCGAGTGGAGCCATCTCAAGCTGACCTTTTCACGGTCTTCCTACGACTCCCAGAATCGGCAGTTGGAAGAATTTTGGCCTCCACACCTGCAGGGATCTACATGGAGCCCAGAGGCACACACCCACGTGAGCCTGACGACAAATACAGTGTTGTCTGGCTGCCAGGAGCCTCTGCTGCAGAAGCCATCCACCAATGCCGCACATTTGCCAAGTCTGTATGCCTGGTCAGGATGAAGCACAAATATGGCATCCGTGTGCGCAAACAAGATGAATCAATTGCCTGGACCAAACTGAGACCAGGAGTGGAGTTCATTGACATGAGCATCCAGAAGATTTATGAACTATTTCCACTTCCACATGGAACCCAACGACAAGCCATCACTCAGATCCTCAGTGACTGGGAGTGGAAAGCAAGAGTGCTGCAGCCGGGCAAAGGCAACCAACATCATATGGCATGGCGAATTGGGTCTGCTGATCCTCCTCCAGCCTCCATTCTCACTGCTTTTGGGGCCGACGTGATCATTACCGCAGTGAAAGATCTTCAAATCAACACCCCTAAGCCTCAGATCTTTGCCTCGGCCAAGACGCAGAAGCACTTGCGTGAACCTGGAAGTCGCTCAACCATGGCCAAGGCAAGCACATCAGTGGATCCTTGGCTTGCTGAAGATCCCTGGGGTGGATATGCCAAGACCACAACAGGACCCAATTCCAGCAAAACACATCGTGAAGTCCTTCAAGAACACTTGCGAGAGGACATTCTCACGGTGATCAAGGAAGAGAGGGCCAAGAAACAGGAGGACATGAATGTTGACCAAGGTGACCAGTACACAACGGAGAATGAATTGCGTTTTGCGCATCTTGAGTCCGGTCTCAGTGAACTCAAGCAGCAGAATGGTCATTTTATGCAGTGGTTCCAACAAACTGGGGACAGACTCAAACAGACCGAGAGCATGATGCAAGAGGTGCAAGACAATGTCAATCAGCATGCGGGCGCCATCCAGCAGCTTACTGGATCAGTCCAAAACACCGAGAAGGCCATTGGTGAAGTCCACAATACCCTGAATGTTCACCAACAGGAGCTCCACTCCATTGGGACCAACTTTAAGGCTGCCATCAAATCAATGAAGGATGAGATTTCTGATGACATGATGAACTCATTCAATCAGCAGTATGGGAAACTTGAAGCTCTCCTAGAAAAGCGCCACAAGTCAAATTGACTAGGGCACACATGCTCCAGGCCTGGGTCAACCTGGAGGCTGTTTCCCTTGCGTGGACCCAAATGGTTTTTGATGGTGTTGATCTTTTTGAACTTGACATGTTCGACATCAGCTCTACAGTCAAGCAATTCCTTTGCCCAGTTCTACATCACCAGCTTGGCCACGCACGTGGACCGAGATGCCGGGTCGGGGAATCTGCTTGGCAACGTTCCGGAGCTTTGTCATGCCCTACAACGGGCAAACGTTTTGGGGAAGCTGAGCACCCGGGTCCTGTCCCAGAACAAGACTCATTGCTGACTGTGGGTGTTGGCAATCCAGGTGGCCTCAGAGCAAAAGAAGATCTTGTCCTTTCACTTGGTCCAGGAATATGGACGATGTCAGAGACACAGCTCTCTGCGGTGACCACTTCATCTGCTGCCAAAGCATTTCGCATTGGTGGGCGAAAGCTACATAGAAGTGTTCGACCTCACTTCAGCCACCCTGCTCCTCTGCGGCATGGCTCTCAATGGGCAGGCAAATGGACAGGAGTTTGCACAACTTCAGATTGGCCCTCCTCACAGTTGACAATGCCTTGGCCATCTGAACATTGGTCTACAGGACGCCTCCTCTTAACTCGTCATTGGGTCCAACAATGCCCAATCACAGTGGGTGGCTTTTATGGATTTGCACAAGAGCCCACATGGCCTAAGGCCAAGCAACACAGTGATCAATTGCTTGAAACCTTCACACGTGAAATTGTGATGGGAATGGATGGCATACGTATGCTTGTTGGTGACTGCAACTTTGAGCCCGAAGAGCTGACACAGCAAAAGATCTGGAAAAGATATGGTTGGACAAATGCACAGACCTTGGCGGCTGAAATTTTCCACCATGAATGGACTCCAACTTGCAAAATTGCCAATGAAAGAGACCAAATATGGCTATCTCCTGAAGCAGCCCAGCTCTTTCGTGGAGTTCAGTTCCAAGAGATATTTTCCGATCATTTGGTGATGGCCATCAAGCTCTACATGCCATGTCATCCACAACACATCTTCAAATGGCCTCGACCAAAGGAGATACCTTGGTCTGAACTTGAACATGATACCTGGTCTCCTACCTGTGCGATCCAACCTCAAGACTTTGAGGATGCCACCGACTTCATGCAAAGTTGGGCCAATGATTATGAAGAGGCTATCTCAAGGCAGCACCAACAACAACATGGCAAACCACTTCACATGAAGTATCGAGGCAGGGCCCAACGACTTGAACCTGCCAGACAGACACCTACCCCAGTGACTTGCAAACCTAGCCGTGGAGGAGAAGTTTGCCTACAACACTCACTGGTGGGCAAGGCAGTGAGGAATTGGTATAAACAGCTCCGCAGACTGCAGAGCTTGTGCCATGCGGTGCTAGCCAACAAGCAGACCCCTGCTGCTGTCCAGTATAGAGCTTCACTCTGGACAGCAATTGTCCAAGCAAAGGGATTCCACCCATCCTTTGCTGAGTGGTGGGCGAAACGAGAAACACCCTGTGATGGAGCACCAGCGAAATGGCCTGATGTCCTTCCAGCTGATGCACTTTTGATCCAGACCTTGTACAAGGACTTCCTTTTCCACTTCCGAGCGTTTGAAAGCTGGCACTTGGCTGAGAGAAATGCAAGTCTGAAGACAAAGTATGAGGGTTCACTGTCTTCGATGTTCAATGATTTGCGGGACGAACCCAAGGCCAGCATCGATCATGTTTGGAAGGAGATTCAATACCAGGTCCTTGCAGTGGACTATGCAACAAAGCAAGTCATGTTGGATAGGGAAATTACCACAAAACATGACTCCATTTGGTTTCTCGATGGGAGCCAAATCAAAGTTTCCCAGATTGATGGAGTTGTTTGCACAGTTTCCTCCATCGAAAATTTTGAGGTTGAGGGTGTCTTTGTTCAGCGACTGTTCCTCACCGAAATTCATGAGGTTTTGGACTCATTTACACAACACTGGCTGCCAAGATGGAATCTACTCTCACAGTTGAATGCTGAAGTTTGGGACAGAGTTGTCAAATTTACACAGGCACACATGCCACGCTTCAGCTTTTCTTTGCCTCCTTTAGACGTTGAGACCTGGCAGAAGACGGTGCGGCAATTCAAACCTCGCGCTGCACGAGGCCCAGATGGTTTTGCGAAGAATGACTTGCTTTTCATGCCCCACAGTTTTTCATGGCCTTTGCTGCACATGCTCCAGCAAATTGAGCAGACGGATAAGCCTTGGCCAGCCCAACTTCTTTTTGGCACTGTCATTGGCACAGCGAAAAGGAAAGATGCACATGAAGAGAGCCACTTTCGGCCCATCACATTGTTCTCAATTCTTTTCAGATGCTGGTCAAGACTGCGAACCAAACAGATGATTTCCCAGATGGCCAATTTCATGCCGGCTGAAGCTTTGGGATTTTTACCTCATCGCGAAGCTACAGAAATATGGCTGCAACTGCAGGGGCAAATTGAACTCATGCTGACACTGGATGAGCCATTTTGCGGCTTGAGCTCAGATGTGAAGCGAGCCTTCAACCACATTGGAAGAAAACAGGTCTTCCACATGAGCAGACATTTAGGATTTCCTGAGGAACTCCTCAATCCTTGGGACAAGTTTCTTTCTGCCTTTGTCCGTCGTTTTGACATACGTGGATGTGTTGGACCCATCATGACATCTGACTCGGGGTATCCTGAAGGTGACCCCTTGTCAATCCTGGCAATGCTCACAGTCAACTGGGGATACCACATCTACATGAAAATCTTCGTTCCGAAGGTTCAAGCATACAGTTTTGTCGACAACTTGACATTAGCTGCTAGAGAAGCCCAGCAAGTTATTCAAGGGTACTTTGCCATGCTTGCTTACAATGAACTTTTTGGGCTTTCACTTGATGATGAGAAGACATACGTGTGGGGCCTTACAACTGTTCTGCGCAAGACCCTTGCCCAACTTGGTCTTCCTTGCGTGTATGATGCTAGTGAACTTGGTGCTTCCCTGAGCTATGGAGCGAAGATACGCAATCGACATCTTAAGGCCAGGGGAACAGGTATGGATGAGAAATGGCAAAAGCTCAGAAGGTCAGCAGCTCCAACACTCCAAAAGTTTGCTATGCTGCCCAAAGTCTTTTGGCCCAAAGCCCTACATGGTTCCCCAGCGTGTGTCATTGCAGATGCATACCTGTTGACACTCAGACGTGCTGCAACTAAAGCCCTGCGTGTCAATGGAGCAGGTGCCAACCCACTGCTCCGCCTTAGCTTTTCAGATGAGATGCAGAATGACCCTGGTTTTTATCAGATCATGTACACCTTTGCCACCTTGAGGCGTATTGCAAGGAAGTCTACGGACCTTGTACCTATGTGGCAGGTATGGCACAAATGTTATGAAGGTCGACAGTTACCTGGACCCTTCACCAAAATTCAACAATGTCTCAGTCAACTGGGATGGAGAATTCTGGATCCACCACTTGTTTGTGACCATGAACAGAGAGCCTGGAATCTGATCACAGTTGACATGAAGACGTTTCGCACACTTATGACTGATGCCTGGAGTCAATTTGTTGCATCTCAGACTCGCCACAAGACCATGAAGGACCTGAACGGGATTGAGTACTCACTTGTCAGACTGGCTTCAAAAGGCATAACGCCAACTGAACGAGCCCTGGTTTCTGCGCTTCAATCAGGATCTTTTGTCAGTGCAAGTGAACATGCCCGATACGACGTGGAGAAACTACACATTTGTCCACTATGTCAACAAGAGGATGATCGGGCCCACTGGTTGATATGTCCGAGATTTCAATCTTTGCGACAGTCTATTCCCAACTGGTACCCGGACAACGTGATGCTGCCAATGAGCCTCACACATCACCTACTGGCTCCCAAGCTGCAGGAGATGACGGAGTGGCGCAACACACTGCATGCTCTCCAGGACTGCACCACACAGTTTTTGTTTTACCCCCCTAATAAGGAGTTTCAACACTTATTTACTGATGGTGCGTGCACGCAACTGGATCATAGCTGTCTCTCCTTGGCTTCGTGGGGGGTGCTCTCTGCGACCTCTGGTGAACCAGTTTGTTTAGGGCATTTGCGCGGCATCACTCAATCCATCGACAGAGCTGAGTTGACGGCCATTGTGGCTGCAGTGCAATGGACAATTGAAAATGACATTTGCATTTGGAGCGACTCCAAGTCCAACGTGGACACTGCCGAACAAATCAGTCTTCATGGATGGATACCACCACACGTGGAAAACTATGACCTTTGGCTCCAACTTCAGGAAGCTCTTGAGCTCCGACAGGGGAGACAGACTGAGTTTCGCTGGGTTCCTTCACATATTCACATCACTCTGGCGGAAGATCCCTTTGAGGAATGGCTCTTTCGATGGAACAACAGTGTAGATGTGTTGGTGACCAATTGGAACCACCGACGGGATGCAAAGCTTCTTCAACAGCAAGCTGCTCTCCTGGGTAAGCTGCAATGGTGGGAGGAAAGAATTCTTCAACTTCGCACCTTCTACTTCAAGGTTGCTGAACGGCAAGCGAAGCCAGATGACACGTCATTGCCACAAGAAACCGTTTCAGAGCAGATCGAAATTGAGTCGGATGATGAGAACATGCAGCCTGCTGACTTGATAGCAGATCTTCTCCCACTGACGTGGCAGGTGAAATGTAGACAATCAAATGGCAAAGTTCCAGGATGTTTCACTGAGTCAATTCTGCAGTGGTTTTGCGCTGCAGAACAGCTGGAGAACCAACCTATTGTTGTCAGTGACCTTGATCTTGTTTTCATTTTTAGTTGTGACAGTGCTTTTTTGTTCCCTTTCCAATTAGATGGATCAACCAGCTGGCAAATGAGAAGATTGGCCGATTTATTTCAAAGGCCAACAGTTGGAATGTTGCTCAGGCCCATTCAGAGTGCCATGCAACACCTTGCGCAGCTTTTTCCTGAGGCAATTGTTCAAACCCCGAGCAAGCCTGATAAGGAGTATGGCGTGTACAAGCAATTCAGGGGGATCCGTGCTTGTTTGCCAGGCACTATCGTTGAACGAGCCCGGGAGCGTTTAGCGAGGTTCACAGCGGCCCGACAAGTCAGGAAGACAGCTGACTTGGCTAGGCCAATGACCTAGGCTTCGAACAGTCTGCGGCCGCACTGCACCAGCCGTGCGCTTCAGACACAGTCCGTCCGAGCTACACATTTACCAACTTGCTGATGTTTGTGTGGTGCCCTGGTGCCCTTAGTCTTTCCATGTCATTGCATTGGAAGTTTAACAGCATTGGCGCCATGCACCTCAAGCTTACCTTCAGGCATCGGCCTGGGCAGGCACTTGTCTTTATGCTCCTTGACAAAGCCTTTGAGTTTCTCTATGTGCTCTTCCAAAACAGTCGTGGGTAGCTCTTGGGCCGCTCTTCTCTGGAACCATCTTCGTGCCCTTGACACGGACATGGCCACGCTTGAGAGCCTATGTGTGTGTGTGTGAGAGTGTTTGTGGGTAGAAAAGTTTCAAAGTTATTTTACGTGATTTCGGTACTTGAGGGGTATCAAATAGCTGTTTGCTTAGTAAGTTGGAATGGGTAAAATGGATGAAATAAGTAGCCTGTTGGTTGAAGTATGTTCAGGAGTATTCGAACCAAACGACTGCGGGTCAACAGAAGTCATTTGAAGTGCTATCCTACATTTGGTTCGCGAGAGGACAGTAGCAAATTGCTACTGTCCTCTCACACAGCCAGACCGGCCCGGAGTCGCGAGAGAACAGTAGCGATTCACGAGACGATGCTATCTTTGAAGATTTATACTATCTTCTCACGATTTGCTACTGCGCTCTCACACATCCAGACCGGCCCGGCCGCGCGAGAAGACAGTAGCGATTTGCTACTGTCCTCTCGCACATCCAGACCGGCCCGGGAGCGCGAGAGAGTTAGTTCAGATTCTTTCGCACACCCAGACCGGTTCGGATTTGCGGGCGCCATACATAATCTTGATTAAGTTTAATGATGATTTTCCACAACTTTAGTGACATTAAGAGCTACACAGATGATGCCAAACAGACCGACATAGGAATTGTCAAGGATCAATAGCCTTGGAGTCATGCAGGCACGTCCGTTTTTGAGGTGCATGGCGCCAATGCTGTTAAACTTCCAATGCAATGATAGGGAAAGACTAAGGGCACCAGGGCACCACACAAACATCAGCAAGCCAAATCTAGGGTCCACGATTTACCTTAAATCCATTTAAATCCGCCATTCATCCAGGATGAGCAGGAACGTGGCGTCACCATCAAGAGTACCGGTGTGACCCTGTGCCTGGAGCACGACCAGGGAGATGGCCATGGACAGCAGCCCTACCTGGTGAATCTCATCGATTCCCCTGGCCACGTGGATTTCTCCTCCGAGGCGCTGAATTTGGATTTCCGGAGGTCTTGTTATGTGTACATATGTGTAACCCCCCCAAAAAATATGTATATATATATATTATATTATATATTATATGTATATATCATATATATTATATATATTATATATATTATATATATTATATATATTATATATATTATATATATTATATATATTATATATATTATATATATTATATATATTATATATATATATATATCATATACATTATATATATATATATACAAAACAATGTAAAACATATTGCATTTTACGATATGTACAGATTGTACATGGGTTATATGATGTTTTACATATAAACTGAGATGTGTAAATGTGTAAGTATATGTTGATATCCATGTTCAACAAGAACACATTTTTTTGGAACAGTTTAAACTGTCAAAGGAATGCCATTTCCTTCTAGTGGCCTTCCACGCTTTCCAGTGTAATTTCAATCTAGTCAATGTATGCCGATATTTAAACATGCAAGAAATCAGGCCAATTCAATCCAATTCGAACAGATAAACAGGTACCAAAACATCTAAATATGCAGCAATTCCACAAAACAAAACATCCCAATTTACCCTGGTTAGACATCACCATTTTGGCCCCCCGTTTGGCACCCGGTTTTCAGACCCCAGGTGACGGCCGCCTTGCGCATCACCGACGGCGCCATCGTGGTGGTGGACTGCATCGAGGGCTGCGCCGTGCAGACGGAGACGGTGCTGCGGCAAGCCTTGCAGGAACGGGTGAAGCCATGCCTCTTCGCAGCTGGGATATAGATGGGGAACATGGTGGTATGGTTTGTTAGTTCTCCCATATATCATCAGTATCTAACATAAGTCTTATGTGTGTGGTATCTATACAGAATAAGTATTATGATATATGTATATATATAGTATTCTAAAGATAGGATCTGCAGAAATGGTCGTGGTATGTTATAATCTATCCATATATATATATGCCAGATATAATCATGCAACATAGCCATTGAATCAAGAACTTGTTGCTGGTAGTTTTGTATATTATTTAAATGTACAGTATCTAATGTTTTTGTTTCGGCATTGAAATGGATCCTGGCTTGAAAACCTTCCATTTAGAGGGGATTTCCCATTGCCGCGTGTTGATTACCTGAGGTTACAAAACCAAGCATCATTGTGATGGGATATTGAATACATACATTACATACATATCTTTGTCCACTTAAATGGGGGATTGAACATTGAACCAGCGGTAGTTTATGGGTTCCATGAAGATTGGTGATTCACCAGTGGTGGTGCTAGATGTTGGTGGTCGGTTATATAGGCGGTTTTGGATAGCTCAAAATCCATCCAACACATGAGATGATCCCAACTGGATGTTTCTGGGTTCAATGTCTTGACAGTTGCAGTGGGTCTTCGGGACGAGGTCAACAAAGTGGACCGCTGTATCCTTGAGATGCAAATGGAGGCTGTCGCCTGGCATCAGCTGTGGTAGTCATTTGGCCAGTTGTTGAGACATCATGAGACATCTATGTTTGAGGACAAATGGCACTCGGTGCATTCCAGTGAGCCATGGCGCATTTCGAATATGTTCAATGGTTAGCTACGAATGCTCCAATGACGGGCCCAACATGTTTCCAGTGGATCAGCCAACCAAGGAAGACATGTACCTGCGCTTCCGAAATGCCATTGAGAACGTGAATGTAATTATAGTCACTTGGCCTGGTGATGATGGACCCAACATGACACAACTGTCCATTTCAACTTGCTCCCGCTGTGTTGGCTGGTTTTCGAAGCCAAAGCCATTTTTTCGAAGCCAAAGCCATTTTTTCGAAGCCAAAAGCCTGGTCCCCAGTTGTCCCCAACAGTTCCCCAACGACTCCAGGCTACCTACAACGACTCCTCCATGGGTGACCTCCAGGTACGCCCAGAGCTGGGCAATGTGGCCTTCGGCAGCGGTCTTCATGGCTGGGGCTTCAGCATCGAGACCTTTGCCAAGATCTTGTCTGCAAAGAGTGGCATGGCCCCTTGGCCGGCTCCATTTGTGGCTCCAAGGTGACATTGGATGTGGCAAAAGTATGCAAAAGTGCCAAGATAGAGATGATGATTGATGGATACATATTGTTACATATTGTTACTATCTGTTACTATCTGTTGCTATCTGTTGCTATTAATGTTGCTATTAATGTTGCTATCAATGAAATATTATATGCTAGGCCCTGCTAGGCAATACTAATTTGCCATTGAGGACAATGATTTTGTGCCGAGAATCTCGGAAAAAATAACGTCAGGACCTTGGATTTTGTTTGAGCAGTTGGTACATGTTGGTACCCCAAGTCATCTAAGTCCATAAAGCATAAATGATATACTATAACATATAATCAAATACAATACACATATATTATATATATAATATCATATAATTAAGTATATAGTATATATATAATTAATTATATACATATATTTACTATACATGATATATGTAAAAATGGATGGATATTGCCAAGAACCCTGGTGAAACGGAAACAAACCAACTTCCGAAGGCATTTCACTTTCACCATGGCATCACTCACTTATCCCAGGAAAAGTCCAAAATGATGGAAAAGCTGTGGGGCGATTGGTTCTACAATCCGAAGAAGAAGGTCTGGACGAATGTGCAGCAACCCGAGGATTGCGAAGAACCTTTGCAGAGAGGCTTCTGTCAGTGGCTGGCTGCAGTTGAGAGCATTGGATGACGACATGATTTGTTGTTGTGGAGAAAATTATTGAGCAACCCTTGGCTGAAAGTGTTGAACTTCCATTCGTTGGTTTGTTGTTCCCAGTCCCCTTGTTGTTCACCAAGAAAGCAATGTTTAGGGTGTTTAGGGTCGCCCTCCGAAACCAAGGTACGTCATGAACCCGATCAATCAGCTGATCCGTGCCATCATGGACAAGGACTCTGAGAAGTATGAGAAGATGATGGCACGCGTGGGCATCGTCCTGAAAGGTGGGGGATGTTGAGAGCCAACCAGAATAGAAACGTTGATTTTCTCTGTGGGCGATTGAATTTCTACGCATAGCTGCATATGATATGCATCATGAAGGTTGATACAGTACATACACCAAAGGCGTTGGTGATCTAGAGTCACTTCTAGAGTCCTTCAGTGCTTCTTATAAAACCTTATAAATAGGATGCGTGTCGCTTGTAGACTACAATAATTATACGAGTTAGTATACTTCTTCCATGTTGACATATCTCTTAAATTAAGGAAAAACTCGGCATCAGTCAAAGATTCTAGACATACTGAACCCGAATTGCACTTTCTCTTTGCCAAGATCAAGCCCATCCCAATCTCCGTTTTCCAGAGGAGTTGAAGTCCATCCTCACTTCGGCCCGGTTGTCCGCCGAGGTGAAGACAAGAACCTCACAGGCAAAGCCCTCATGAAACATGTCATGCAGAACTGGATCAACGCCGGAGAATCCTTGGTCGCCATGGTGGTGACCTGGATCAAAACTTGCGATGGTCAATGGCCAATAGAAAGTCAAAAATACTCAATAGCACAATTACCAAACACACACACAAATACATATTGAAAGTAACCTTCAAAATATATCAAAATAATATATGGTTCTCGGACTGAATCTTGACCCATGCTCAGGTGATGAAGTTGCCACCGCCAAAGTTGGCACAGCGCTACAGGGTGGAGAACCTCTATGACGGTCCTATGGACGCGAGCCCGCAAAAATGCTGACTGGGGGATGATCCGGTTGGCAGAATTGGATTCTTTCGAACAACGTCTTGGTGTTTTTCAGAAAACCATAGAAAACCCATCAGTTGGAGTGCATGGCTGCATGGGTTAGTTCGCAGCGCTGAGGATGATGAAGCAGCCATGGGCATCAGAAATTGTGACCCAAGTGGCCCATTGATGATGTATGTGTCGAAGATGGTGCCAGCTGCAGACAAGTACCTTGATGGACTGCAACACATGCTCAAGTTGGGTTGAGTGGGAATCCAGTAGTTTTGAGAAGTGGTGATGCGTTTCCTTTTTGTTGGTAACTAATGGTAACATGATTCAACACTGTAAATCATGGTACTACCATGGGGTTATAACGGGATGGGATTCGACTGTTACCAATAGTGATTCCATTATTAAGATCCTGGTTGGAATTTCCACTACAAAAGTAGTGGACTTGGGTCCTATGTAAAATATATTTTTCAATGGTTTTTACAGTCCCCCTAGGACCATGTGTCCTTGCATTTTGTAGTAACCCTAGGTCACATATGTTTCTAGATTCAAACATGGGCTGGTCATAGAATTTATTAGTGGTTAAGTATGTGAGATAATAGTCGACCCAAAATGGATATCTGAGTTCACTCAGATTTGCCCTAAAAGTACTTTCTAGTAAATTTGTAGGGTTCCACGTTCAATACAAATATTTCCCCAGAGTAGTTTTCAATGTAAATCATAGCGGGCCGTTGCAGTTTGTAGAAAAGACATTTTCTCAGTGCTCGGGTGAAATCACTGCTGAGAAAAACATGCACAACACACACAAACCCAGGATTGGACAATCCATTTCGATTGATGCTCCCAATCTGTCACTCTGCTTTTCACTGCAAAGTCAACCAATACCGCACAAACATACCCTTCAATTACACTGGCCGCTGCATGCTCAAAGCCCAAAGAGGTCCACTACAAAATCAAGTTGCAGCGTTCCAACGCTACAAAATCCACTTCAAGAAATCTTTGTCCCTCCCCCATGGCAACCACCTACTGTCATCGATCATCACAAGACCACACACGACAAGGTTTTCTGGCGCCTGCATTTGTCATTTAATTTCTTACTTTCAAAAGACAGTTCTGTTCACTTTTTTTGTAGTGTATACCAAAAAACCACTACAAACTACTTTGTCATTTTTTGGATTGATCTTGAAGACTTGAGTGGGATCTACTTAAAAATCACTACAAACATCTACGGGGTTTTTTAAGGGTATCTTGAAGGGTCTCTTGTTAGATTCTTTGGTTTTTGTAGTAACCCTTTATCCAGGCTGGGGTTGCACTTTTGTAGTGATTTTTTTTTGGCCTGTGCATGGAAAATGTAATGATTGGGGTTGGGCAGAGCTACTTTACAGACAAAATCTTGACCCAACAGTCCTCCCCAAATACCAACTCCGATTTATTAAGTATGAATCTATGAAACCAATAGGTGCAGGATTTCGCAAACCATCCACAGTGCGTGACTCGGCCCAGCTGAATGGTGGCTTCACCCTTTATCGAATTATATGAAATGACAAAGATGAATGAAGATGATAGGTAACCATCCCAAAAATATTTGACCGCTATTAGCCGCTATACCACTTTATAAATTACAGTATGATATTATATCATATAGTCATATAATGTCATGTATATATATAATATTGGTCATTTGTCATTTATAGTGTCAATTACGATCAGTTACGTATCTTATTGTAAAGTAAAACCCCAGTGGGTGATACAGCCCAAGGAGCCGCTTCTATGCCTTCGGCCGAAGCTTGGGCAAAGGGGGATTGGTTGGTTCTCATGAAGGAAAAGGACGTATTCATTACATAGATTTATGATGATTTATGATGATTTATGACGAATCATTACAACTCAATTCATAGATTTGTGATTTTTCTGATGATTTATGACACAAACCGGGGGATAATCAGATTTGGAGACTTATCAACAGGCTTATTAACCACTTACTGCAATGCACATCCAAGTGTCCGGCTAGGACGGAGTTTGTGTGCGGGACTTCCCCTATTTTCAGACATTGCGGATGATCGCCATGAACCCAGGCGTCTTCTCAGGCACGGTGGCCACTGGTCAAAAGGTGCGCATCCAAGGGCCCCACTATCGCCCGGGCAGTCGAGACGACCTGCACGTGCGCGCCATCCAGCGCACCGTGCTGATGATGGGACGCGGCACCGAACTCATCCAGGCACGAGATGGGCGAACTGGTCCATGGGTCATGGGAGATGACCATCGTTCAATGGGGAAGATATGAAGATTCATGGGAACATGATGAACCATGAACATCCATCATGAAATTGGGGGGTAGAAATAATTATGTAGCAATGTTGCCATATTTTCAAATATGTTCAGTAAAACCAAGACATTCCAGGACGTCCCATGCGGCAACACTGTGGCCTTGGTGGGTGTGGACCAATACATCCTGCGGCTCGCCGTATATTGGTTGTGCGTTGAAACACGGAGGGAGTATACAACAGGATACAGAAATAGATGTGATGGATGTTTCAGTAAGTATTGTTGTAATGTGTTGTATATATAATTATAATATGATATATATATACATATATATATATACATATATATATATATAATATGTATTGTTATAATGTACTGTATGATGGGGCCTCATGTATTTGAGGATCTGATTATGTTGCCGCGCGTTGCAGCATAAGTCAGGGACACAGAAATAGCGGGTGAAGACTGAATGAATTGATTCTGCTGGAAAGAGGTGTGACGCCAAAAACACGAGGGAGCATACCGGAGAAGCAGAGAAGAGCAATTGGTTTCTGTCGAGGTAAGTTCCATTGCAACTGTACTGGTATCAATGGACTTGACATTCAAGAGTTTGGATTCATGGATTCATGTGGCAAACAATTTGGGCTACGGTGGCTAGCTTTGGCTACAATGCCAGCTGCAGGTATAGTCTCAAGCTCCATGCATGGAATCATCCAATGGTATGTACTGACTCTTAGAGCTGTCCTCATTGACCGATTTCAGGTTTTCACTGACACCCTCATTACCATCGAAAAGTAAGAAAACGGAGATGACCCATAACTGGTCTTAGTAGAGTTGACTGATCATCACATCCAGTCAGTGGTTGATCACCACTTTTCCAATCAACATTAAAATTTTGGGGTTAGTAACGGTTAGTAGTTCAATGCCCTTAGAGATCACAGCCACTTCCAGATCTCTGAGGAAGTCTGGTACCATCACCACTTTGGAAGATGCCCACAACTTCACTGACATGAAGTACAGTGTGTCGCCTGTGGTGAAGGTGGCAGTGAAGCCCAAGGACCCCAAGGGGACCAAACATCATCAAACACGGCGGCCGAAAATTCCCGATGTTCCTACTTTATCTATGTTTGGGAATATCAACTCTAATAGCCTATAACAACCTATAATTCAACTATCAACATCTATCAATAAGTATACCCGTATCAGCTCACATCCTATCAACCCCCCCGAAAAAAAATAGAAAAACACACAAAAAACCTTCCCAGCTCCAGTTTGGCAAAATGATCCCCAGTTTCTCCAGGATGGTAAGGACCTCCCCAAATTGGTGGAAGGCTTGAAGCGGCTCTCGAAATCCGACCAGTTGGTGGTTTGCAGCACCGAAGAGAGCGGCGAGCACGTCATTGCGGGCTGCGGGGAATTGCACGTGGAGATCTGCTTGAAAGACCTGAGGGAGGACTGGGAGATGATGGAAGCCGACCATCATGGCGGGTTAAGGGTACCCCCATTTCATCAATTTTGATAGGATTGTCCATTAACGTCCATAAACCATCCATTTTGGGGTACCATTTTAGGAAACCTCCCTTTGGATCTCTTTAGATACCATGAAAAGATGGACTTGATATGACTTGACATGATTGAACGACCATGAGATGGGGATAACTATAGGTGGCTGGTGGTTTCAAGCTTTCGAATATGTTCTACTTTTCGATGGTAAGCTGGGATGAGTGCTATGATGTTGTTGCAGTTTAGGTGATTTTGCTTCTGTTTTTGAATCCCTACGTAGCCCATGCAACCCGCATTCTTCTTCATCATCATCATCATCATCAATCTGACGCACCTGTGGAATTTATCCATTTGTCGTGCTTATTTGCAAATCTCCTGATTACTGTATGACTGTATGATAGTCCTTTAAACCTTGATCAGACGGAGCAAAGCTTATTCGGCAATGTAACAGGATCAGTTTCAAGAACCCCAGTTTGTTGATGCTTACACTACTGTACCCTTAATCTATATATTATCTAATAAGCATATAATTATTAGGGATTCGTCATGGGTTGGAATTCCAATTTGATCGCATGAACGCCCCATCCAAATGGGATGTTCCAACCATTTACATCATTTTACATCATTTACCAGCCATGTTATCCTTGGACATCACCATTTTGCCTGGGAATCTCTAGTTTTGTCAGAGGAATTCGCCCAATGCGACTTCACGGTGTCAGATCCTGTGGTCTCCTACCGCGAGACCGTCACCGAGGAATCCAACCAGACTTGTGCCCCAGCGAGTCGGAAACCGGCGACAAAGTGAAAGTCAGAAGGTGTTAATATGTGTTAATATGTGTTAATAGTGGGCTAATAATGGATGACAATGATTGACAATGGACAGAAATTGTTGATGATGGGTTAATCATGGATAATAGTGATTAATAATGATAATGTGTAATATGCATAATAATGGACTGTGATGTTCGTAAAGCAATAAACCACCCATATGTTGATGGTTTATACCACCCATGCTGAAATGGTGGATAGTTTGCTATTGCTGTACTGAAGCTGTTTAAATTTCTGTGTGATGTTCCTGTGATTTCTGTAGGAACTTTAAAGGAACCATCTTTTCGGACAAACCCATTATATCATCCATAAAGCATCCATAGACCATAGACCATAGATATTTAGCTAATGATTATCAGCCAGATCAACCATCATCAGCCATCATATCCATCACAAAGCACAGATTCATGGGATGTCCCCCAGATCTCCTCGGGATATCCCCAGCATCTGATCTCCAGTGCTTCAGGTCTGGCGAAGTCGGCAAACAAGCACAACCGTCTCTACTTGAAGGCTGAACCGCTGGATGGAGAGCTGGTTCAGGCCATTGAGCAAGGACAAGTGGGTCCTAAGGCTGACTGCAAAGAAGCCGCCAAACTTCTGACCAGCAAATTTGGATGGGACAAACAGGTGCCTTGAAGGGCAGATACATGACTGAGTTGACCTCAGTCAATCTCGCTTTGTCCGGGAAATTGGTTTACTATGGTATAGTATATCCATTTTGACGGGCAAAATCTGGGGTTGGGTGTTACAATATGACAAACCACTTCATTGTAGGCTTCCTAGAGGATGCCATAATGGCCATACCTTTAATATCCTTTAATTGAGCGTAGTAAGATCCCTGATTGCCCAGGTGGCTCAAAGCAAGATCTGGTGCTTTGGTCCAGAATGCGACGGTGCCAACATGGTGGTGGATACCACCATTGGTGCACAGTACTTGGCAGACATCAAGGATTCGGTGACCAGCGCCTTCCAATGGGCCACCAAGGAAGGTCCACTCTGCGAGGACCTCACAGGGTACTTTTGAACGAAGAAACGAAAAGGGAGGGTAAAGAAGAGATGATGAAATAGGGTTGAAGATCCATCCTTGATCTGCATGTATTGACGTCAGAAGATGATGGTGGCAGTGAAGGTGATTGTGATGCTTCTGATCTTGTGATGTCGATGCGAGTTTGACTTGTTCCATGTGATCGTGTGATGCACGTTTAAACGTGGTGTCATGTGGCGTCACAAGCAAAGCATCATTCTTGCGGACAATCACACATCGGATGTCCCAGACGACTCGGCCAGGAGAACATGCGCGGTATCCGCTTCAATCTGACTGAAGTGGCTTGGAGTCAGTCAAACCCACGTTGGCATGCTTCTTGTAAAAAATGGTCATAAGTGGGAGAGAGAAAACCCGCTATGAACATCTATGAACTCAGGTTTTAAAGTATTTTAAAGTTGTGTATATGTTCGTGGTCCTGATTTTTGGGCGGCCTGCGGCATAGGCACATTGATCCTCATCTTGGACTAGTCACCAATTGGATTGGTTCACAAAGATCAGGGTCATCACCAGTAGCAAGTCACACAAGTGAGCCATCACATTTTACCCAACTCTTAGCCACTGTGCTCATCCAACCAAGACACACAGGTGATGCTGCATCCAGACAAGGTCCATCGAGGAGGCTCATGGGCCCATGGGGCTTCCTTAGACATTTCGGTATGGGCAATTATTATGTATGGATCAAAAGTTGGTACCTCCAAAAATGGATGATTAAAACATATTAAAACTAAACATAGACCATATAAATTCTGCGCCTCTCTGAGTCTTAAAATTTGACCCATCTCCATAAATGATGAGTTTGATGATGATATTCGGAGGCTCCCCCTGTTTGACCCCTAGCAAAACTGGAAAACTTGAATGCTGCAATACGTTTATGAATCCTGTGGAAAGGCGTCAGTATAGTTGTTCCAGATACTCGTGGAAATAGGATGAAATAGGCCAACAGAAACGCCCATCACTATAATCACTGAGACAATCCACAAGATGAATCCCATCATATCCCATCCCCCTAATATTTTCATCATTTCGCCTGGGAGGTGGTCAGATCATGCCGGCGACCCGTCGCGCCTGCTTCGCATCCGAGCTCACGGCCAAGCCAACGTTGCAAGAGCCGGTCTTCCTGGTCGCATGGCCGGACCATGGCCATCTTTTATCATGGGATTGGGATAGTTTGGGAAGATCCCATGTTTTGAAAATTTGTTGGAGATTCTGGGCGAAATTGAGTATAGCACTATAGTAATTCGATTTAGATCACTTTTATTTTGAATTTTGCTAAATTTCAGTAGGAAATGATTGAAATGATCATGAATCGGGATGAATCGGGTGTGATCACCGGGTCTCAGGTGGAGATCTCCTGTCCGAAGGATTCCCTCAGTGGCATCTACAACTGCTTGAACCTCCGCAGAGGCGTAGCGTAGCAATGCGTAGCTCCCAGGGACATGTTTTGACACAAAGCCTTTGCCCATCCATACGAGGAAATGTAAATCATTTTAATGTATGACTGTATGATGCACAGAAGTAACTCGGAAAATACACAATCATATATATATATATATGTCTGTATATGTATGTATCATGTACATACATGATATACATGATTTAGTTGAGTTTCAACTGCTTGCAGGCTTTGCAAAGCGACCAGACCTAAGTACACAATCCGTTTGAGTAAGTGAGTTAACCCGAACAAACGGCAGTGTCATTGGCATGCAGATGGTGAAGTGTTTGTAACTATGCTAACTGGGGCTTATAGAAGTTATAAGTTATAACTATATATAGTTAGATTGGTTTGTAAACCCCCACCTTGTACATCTACTATCATATGCCGCTATTGACTTGTTGCAAGAAAATACGAAACTGACAACTAGTCCTTTGAGAAGCACCCAGCATTCCTTGGAAACACCTGAAACGCATGGTGAATGTTGATCAAGGGTGATTCCGAGCCTTGCAGGCTGCGTCTTTGAGGAGAACCAACGTGAAGGTACACCACTGGTGCAGGCCCGCAGTAAAAGACTTCTTTTCGATTCCCACATGAGTTTATCATAGTTTAGAGGTTCAAAATGCAATCTCCCAGCTCTTGGTTCAAAACAGGATTCTTGATAACCTCGAGCCTTGTTGAACTACTTGGATCTACTTGGTACTTCCTCCCATTTGTTTGTTGTAAAGCCACCTACCGGACCTACCGGGACTCCAGGTGAAGGCGCACCTGCCGGTCTCCGAGTCCTTCGGCTTCGTAGGCTCGCTGCGACAGGCCACCAGCGGACAGGCCTTCCCGCAGTGCGTCTTCGATCACTGGGAGAGTCTGCCTGGCAACTGCCTCGAGAAGGGAAGCCACTTGGCCCCTTCCGGCGTTTTTTGCGGAAAGGAATGATTAGATAGGTGATGATAGGGGTATATAACATTATATAACTTATCGAAGGAAGTTTAGAAGTCAAACTTCCGACAATATGGACAGATGGAAATGCAGAGGTGGGAACAGTCAGACAAGAGGAGAAGAAGAGAGAGATCAGGGAAGAGAAAGAGTGAGAAGAAAGAAGATGCAGGTGCGCGAAAAGGTAGGACAGTCGCAATTCACTGTGTTTTTCCAATGATTTGTGGCTCCGGAGGGTCAGAAGTAGCCTCGCTAAAGCGGCGGGTGCGGAGGCATCTGGCCAGATGAGAGATGAACAAATGCACGCAGTTGTGGCGGGAAGCACGTTTCCAAGTCAAAATGTACAAAACACACCACGTTCGGACCACTTTTGGCAGTTGAGATGTCGAAAAAGTGCACGCCGTTGTGGCGCGAAGCACATTTCCAAGTCAAACGTGTAAAAAACTGACGGTCTCAGACCGCTTTTGGAAGTTGAGATAAGAACGAAAAAGTGGACGCCGTTGCAGCGCGAAGCACGTTTCCAAGTCAAAATGTACAAAACACACCAACGTCGGACCACTTTTGGAAGTTGACATGCCGAAAAAGTGCAAGCCATTGTGGCGCGAAGTCATGTCGAAGTCAAAAGTGTAAAAAACTGACGGGTTCGGAGCACAGTTGGACGTTCAGATATCGTTTTGCATTGCACGCGCAAGGGATTCTGCATGTTGTCAAAAGTGAGCCAGACGTGGGGGCTTTGGTAGCAGTTTTAATTACAACCACCACTATACTCCACTCCACACTACACTACACTCCACTCCACTCCACTACACCACACTACACTACACCACACTACAGTACACTACACTAGACTAGACTAGACGACACTACAGCACGCAACACTACAGCACACTACACTGCCACTACACTACATCACATTGCACTACACTCATTACACCACACCACAACTACAACTACAACTGCATTACGCTACACTACACGACACTAGTCACTAATTACACTACGCTACAGTCCATTTCACTTCACTACACTACATTCAATTACACTACAACTACAACTACTACACTACACTACACTAATTTCATTACACTACGCTATTTACATTTCACCACACTACACTTTACTACACAATACTACACTATTACTACACTACATTACACTACACTACACTACCTACAGCTACAACGACAACTACAAGTACAACTACACTACATTACACTACACTACACCCCACTACACCACACTACACTAGACTAGGCTAGACTACACTACAGCACTCAACACTACAGCACACTACACTTCACTACACTACATTACATTGCACTACACTCATTACACCACACCACTACAACTACATTACACTACACCACTACACTACAACTACAGCTAACAGCTGCACTACGCCACACTACATCCAGCAGTTGTGGGGGAGGTGACCAATGCAACCATTGCAACCATTTCAAAAAACACAACTCCAACCACCTTTCGGTCCATCAGTGGGTTCGCTCTGCCATCCATGCATCACAACAACTCACCCTATAGTGTCCTATCTTTGAAATTTCCGCCACCGCCTTGTGCAGTACTACTGGTTTAGCGATAAAATGGAAGTGAGTCATGATTTTTTCATGAAAATACATAAGAATAAATGATAGCCGTAGTAATTGCGGGAAATTGATAATGGTTACGATATTTTAACTAAGAACTATATTATAGAACTAACATTACCTCATGAAAACAGCAATACTGGTATTATTTTCATCATAATGTGCATATGCATCTTTTTAGAGTTATAGGTGATGATTCAAATTATTGTAGACGAATAAGATCAATCACGACCCTAAAGTTGTGTGAGTTACTATTCCACTTATTGGATTTCCATGGACTTCTGGGGCACCAGGTTTTTGACCGCACAGCCATGTAGCTAAGATGGTTTACGTCCATGTGATTACGCCAGTTGCTGAAGATGTTTTTGGGAAAATACCATTGGACCAATGTGTGAAAAGACCAGGAAGCAGTGCTCCGCTGCTAAGGCAAGATGGAAGAGTTGGTGCTCAGCATCCGCAAGCGCAAGAACTTGAAGCTTCAGATGCCACTACTCGCTGATTACCTTGACAAGCTCTAAGATTCACCTCTGGGGCGGCAAAAACGCCAGCTGCATGTCAGATGTGCCACATCTGTGACTTCCCAAGTGGTCACAGCTCGCCATGTAGAGTGAAAATCACCCTGGTGGCTCATGGTTTGTTCGATGATCGACCTGCTTCTCATGCAGCCAATTGTTGAAAAATGTAGGAAACCAGCTACCATCAAGGCTGAATTCTCAGCTTAAAAAGCGATGTATCTTGAGAGGCTGGCTGTTCATCATCTGCAGCAGATCTCTGCCACTGGGTTGTTTCGGCGTTGTACAGTGTCCAGTATGCCACCCTCGCCCCAGAGAAATCAAAAGACGGAAGCTGGCAACTTGCTCTTGGGGCACATCACAAATAATGCCATAATCCATTCTGGTAAATAAAGTGGACCATTTTGTCCACAAGCGTTGCTGAAGACAACAAAGAACAATACAAAACTTATTTTAACGAACGGTCTCATCTATGCTTTAGGCATTCTTGTATTGGGGATAGAATGGTAATGGATGATGGTAAAAAGTTGTTTAAAATTAGGCACAGCTAATAATTTTTTGACATCTGGTTTCGGTTTGGCCAATAATAAGACGACTCCACCCAAGCTTTCAGCGTGCTCTTTTAAAATCAAAAGCATCCCTAAACCAGAACTATCAATATAGGTCGTTTTTATAGATCAATGAGATAGTTTTTAATTGGGCCGGTTGAAGAAATATAGCGCAATTCTTTGCGAATATTATATATCATCTAGCTGTCCATTGATCGTGATAATGAGTTGAGTTCTATCTTTATCGTCTGGTTTGCTTGACAATGTCATGTGATTTTCCTTAACCACAAAGCTATCTAAATATGTTTCTAGTTTAATCGGAACTGCCAGGAATCGCACTCATGCTTTGCCCTGTGTTTAGTCGATTCAATGCCCGTTGCTCAAGAAAACTTCAACAATGTTCTCTAGTACTTACTTAATGGTTGAAAATTGCTCCGCCAAACAAATTGCCACAACGCCTTGTTTTTGGCAAACAAACTCGGGGCTTTTTTGCAAGATCACTTATGCTTGCTCAGGTTGGTGTTGTATTTTGTACACATTGCCTAAATTAGAAGAAGGATCTGCTGCATCCGGGTGGGCGGTAATGGCTTGTTTAAAATACGCGGAAGCCTCTGCTAAGCGGTTTTCCTGGCAGGCAATAATGCCCAAATTGTTCAATGCCGCCAGGTTGTTTGCGGCTAGCGCCACTGTTTTTATGTAGGCCAGTTTGGCGGCATCAAGCTGTCTCTGGTACAAAAAGACATCGCCCGGCAATTGCTGCGCGAGGGCTTGCTGGGGATCTTGTTGTAAGATCTTGCTTAAGGCTTGCTCGGAGATTGAGTAGTCGCCCTGCCGGATCTGAGTTGCCGCCAGTTGTGTTTGGGCAGGAAGATCATCGGGTTGCAAGGTCAAGGCATGTTGGATATTGGCCAAGGCAGAACTGGGTTTGCCTTGTTGTAGTAAGGCACAACCGAAAGTATGATAATAGCAGCAGCCATCCAACAAAATGGCTTGCTGGATCAAGTCTGCTGCGACGTTAAATTGCTATTGTTCCAGATTGATCTGGGCCAACAAGGCAAAAGCCGCATGGCACAAAGGATCGCCCTACAGCAAGCGAGTCAGCAATTGGATGGCTTTCCGGTGCTCACCTTCGGTATAGACGGCTTGCGCATTTTGAAATCTGCTTAACACTCTTGTCACAAGTGGTTTGGATCTTACTCATTGCGACTTATGCACAGTCTAGTCTGATGGACCTTGTCTAAGTTGGATTAAAGCACCGGCTGCCTAAGAAAATACCACCCCTGCGCTTTATCCAGTTCCTCGCGATTTTTTAAAATCCTCAATTTTTGCCATTAAGTTTTGAAGAACAAACTTTCAATACTGATGAAGTTTTTAAAACCGAAACGTTATCTTAAGGTCTATCGATGATTTTGCACGATCAAAGCAGCTGTGCATTCAAAAGGCCTAGTGCCTGACAAGCAACTCCAAAGTTGCTACAGTTGTTTGAGAACGACCACAACGGAAGCAAGCATTATCCAATGGATCAATCGTTCATAGGCCATCACGATAGGGAGACTTCGGTTTCCTGCAATGCAGCACACCAAACCCAGGCACAGTTTGGGCGGTGTGTTCCAAAGGTCCGTATGAGTGGTATGCTCTTCGTGGCGCATGACTCGCGGACTTTACAAGTGCCTATGGCAGTGTGCTACCAACCTTCTCGTGCATCTAGTAGGTGCTAGAAGAAGGCTATTTGGCGCACAGCCTATAAATTGGTGGACAGCCTGTTCATGCCTTGTTTTCAAGCGCCCTCAAACACTACCGTAGTGGCTTTGAGCGCTGGTCTTCTGAAATTGAAACGGTACTGATGTCGCAGTAACGCCAAATGACCTTGAGTGGCATCAATGCCGCTTTGGGCACAATGGTTGGCAATCAGAGCACCTTTAGGATTCATTAGGTGCGTACATCTATTAGCTATATGGCTACATGTATCAAATTGGGATAAACTGGGAGTCTTTCATTTCTTGAGCAAAACATCCAGCTGTAAAACGGACATGGTTGTGATGTTTTTTTCCTGCGGCAGATTTACGCGGATTGTCAGCTCCCATGAAATCAAGATGAAATCATCCACAAGTATATGCTCATATAAGATCATCAACCATCACTGGCTGTTATTGTTTGTCATGGATTCTCATGGTTTTTCATCCAAGGCACAGGTAAATGCGAATTTCTAAATCATCAACTGAACTTGATCATAGCTCAGTGACCCTCACCTAAAAAATCCATTATCAGCTTTGACCATCTAGATACATCAGCTGAAAACAGCTCAAGCAGCAAAATTCATTCCATCGCCCACCCTCCCCCGCCAAAAGGCGTGTTTGGATTCCCATTCACGATGATGGGATGACCAGAAGCCACACAAATTGAGATAAATTAAAATGCTTATATTCATTCTATCTGTCTGTCTGTCTGTCTATCTATCTATCTGTCTATCTATACACGTACAATTGCGTTTACCATTGTACATCCCATGATAATTCCCATGATTGTTGGCTAAACCCCTCTCATAGGGTTCTATGATCTGCCATGATGTACCGTCATTTACATAAAATATTAACCACTAAATTCATATATCCCAAGATATACAAATATATAATTTGCCATGATATATATATATATATATGTATATATATATAGACTATATTAGTTTTTTTATATTTATCATTAAATATCCCATGATAATTCCCATGTTTGTTGGTTGAATACCGTTAAATGCCATTCTCACCAGGGCTCCTATATGATTTCATCCCAGAGCCACGGTTTCCGGCCAGGTGCTTGAAGCAGGGGGAGTACGTGCCTTGGACATTGGCGCAGGCACCGGACTGTTTGGAGCCCAGTGGGTATTTGAGCTACAAAGGGGTTCAATCATCAAGAAATACAAGGATATAATCCACAAACTATGCTTGGTTGATGATTGTTATATATGATTATACCATTTTATGGGCATATGATTTCACATAATGTATATATATGTATACACACATACAAATATATATATATATATAATGAACAAATTTGTTTCTGTGTCCATTCTACTGGGGGATGAGCCAGGCAAGTTAGGGGCATGTCACGAGGTTTCAGCACTGAAAAAGGGATATCGATTTGTCCTCGCAAACGGAGCATTTGCTAAGAAAAGATCAGACCATGTGGATATAGGGAAAATGACAATCAAAATATAATGGCGGCAACCTATTTTCAGACAAACCCAAATACTCCCGTTAATTTTTTCAATCATGCACAGACAATCCTACATTGGTCGTACGACCCGAGGCTCTCTCTGATGTGCGCTCGATTGGAGGCACTGGTACGCCGTGAAACAATGTTTCTCGGAAGCGGCGACACGGAACGATTATAAAGCTGCAGAACCGAGAATCTGCCACAACGAATAGGAATGTAAGCAACCAAAAATGTGGATATTGACCAACAAAAAAAACATGGCAAAATTTTAGCAATCAACTTCTGATTCAACATGATTACACCTACAATTTTTGATGTAAAATGTGTTCGTACATGAGTATGGATCAAAATGGTACGGCCTTGCAACCCTCAAATTAGATGATATGGGCGGTTCCCCATGTCTTATGTTTTGACACATATCCAATTGACCAGGGTGGTTTGTGGCCCGTGATGTTGGATGATCTTTTGTTCCAGCTCACTGGGTTGATTCGCATTGATATCCTCAAAAACGCACAGCCGCATAGCTCACATCAATCATCCAAGAAACCATGGCTGTCGCCATCACGTTTTTAGGGATACAGACTTCACAAATCATAATTTGTGTTTTCAAATTCTGGGACATTCATGGTCTTCCCATGTGTTCCCTAAACTAGGTTTCCCTTTAGATCTTCGCATCCTTTCCTCTGAGTTTCCAGGGTGTCAAAGAGATCCACGCCTGTGAGATGAATGACGCCCTGTGCGCCGTGGCAAAAGAGGCCACCATGGTGGATTCATGGGATCATGAAACGAGGATAACTGTGAGGATAAAACGAGAAGGAGAAGGAGGAGGAACATTGAAACATATTGAAACCAACAAACCGGTCATCTGAAAGTCAGAGGTAGTTTTCTTTTGTCGTCCGGTGTCAAAACATGCCTGTCTTACGAATCCTTGAAGGTCATCGCATCCCAACCTCCATCCTGGGCACCAGTCACAGTGCATCCCATGGCTTTGAGACCCAGGACGGGCCGAGAATGGCCTGAACATGTAGACTTCGGAAGTTCTTATGGGCATTTAAACAGGGAACATATGACTCATATGACACTATGATATTTTGAAAGGTGTTAAACCATACTGTAGGATTTTGATATCTTTGGAAGTTTTGTTGTTGCTCTAATTTCTCAGACCCATTTCAGTGGCCACTCCTGGTTTCTCGTGTTGGTACCATGAAATTCAGGCCTCCAACATTGTGCACCACTGCCTTCCTGAATTCCGCTAGCCAAGCTGAAGAAAAACGGCAACCCTTTGCACAGTGTAGATGCTTCTTGTATGGTATAATATGGTATATGATCGGTATATGTTTTGTGCTTCGATTTACGAACATGTACCCACGTTTATCTATATACCGTTATATACCTGCAAAATTGGCTCAAAATGTAGGTGGAGTCAAGAGATGCAAATCTGCCAAGCATAATTCATTTTCCCATATTTTCCCCATTGAAATATCTTCCAACTCATGGCGCTTTGGGATATCCCCTCATTTGTTCGCTGGTAACTCAGGTGAGCACCAAGTTGACACTGCCAAAGTTTGACCTCATCTTCTGCGAAGTCTTTGACGCCGGCCTGCTGGGGGAGTACGCTTTCTCAGAGATCCAGACGTGAGTCATGTTGGGTCCTAAACATGGGGCAGTTGACCCGGGGAAATGATGATGAACCCGAGAATTTCGGTGGACTTCCCCCTAAATTTTCCGGAAGTTGTGTGCCTTTTTCGGCTGGTTATCCGCACGTTTCCAGACTCAAGGAATCGCCTAGGGTTTCACCTGGTTGTGTTGAACTTTCCAACAGGGATCATGATCCAACTAAGGCACTCCAATAAAAAGCCACATTTATGGTGATTTTGGGTGGTTCATGGCATTGGGTTTACCACAGGTGGTTGAAATATGTTGAAATCATGGCGATGGCTGGGAAGACGAGCGACTGTTGTTGAGGCATGCGCTGCCCACGATCTTACATGCGCGTCGGGACCGGAGCGGGGTGACAGTTGGGTTTGTGGGGGGGAGTCCCCCAAGAATCACCATGAGGTACCAATATTAATATTCATATAATATTAATATACCGTAAACAATATGATATATAGCATGAGGTACCACATATGAGCCACAGCCAAAATTTGGGTTAATGGAGAGTAGTATTCGAGCGGTCTCTATTTTTTGGAAATTGAGCTGGGGCTTGGAAAACGATAATACACTCTTCAAAAAACGATAGCATTTACTTGTATGCCAAAACCTGAAAAACGATAATACACTCTTCAAAAAGTGATGACTTGGACCTATATACCAAATATTGACCGTGGCCCATATACCCAAAAATAGTATGTACCAATATTACAGTCTCCAAGATTATCCAGTATTAATATGTATTAATGTACAATGAGAAACCATGATTGGTTCTTCCACCGGTGTAGGAGCTGCTGAAGCCCAATGGCATTTTGATCCCAGCTAGGGCCAAAATCTTTGGACAGATCGTGGAGGTGCCATTGGGAACATCGAGCTATTGCTATGGCGAACCCAAAAAATGCTCTATTTATGGTGATCTGGGGGATGGTTTATTATTGTTTTACCATGTTTTACCCACATGACATTTTTTTAGATAAACATGACTCAACATCCATACTGGAACATGAGTTTTGGTATTCATCTCATGTCGGAGTCTTCAATTTTGACTGATAGCAAACTAAGATAAACATGAGACAATTTGGATGATGCAACAGGTTCATTGCGAAATGTGTCCCTACATGTCCTCAACGGGTGGATCGTTCGGGAGGTGACTGATTGCACACGTGAAATGGTTGGATGATCTAAATGATTTGCTCGAAATGTGTAAACATCGGGACTGGGAAACTTTGCAAGTGCTTTTTGACATTTTTTGACTAACTGTTGGCCAATCGAAAAAATCTGGGGAGCACAACTGGGGAGCACGAGCCCATCGGGTCCAACCGGACCAACCTCTTCAGGCACCGGAGCTGCTGGAACGTTTTGCAGTTCTGGAATCGCCAGCGGGGGTTTGGACCCCAAGGATGGTGGCTTTCTCCGAGAGATGCCGGAGAAAGTTGGTCGCCAGAGGCCAAAACGATGAGTTTATATCGTAAGATGTCAGGAAAAGGGCAGGAAAATGTATGAATATGAATATCTGAGGATGTTTGTGCAAACACGAGGTCCAACTTGAGATTGGTCATGTCACTCTCAAAAAGCCGAAAGTGAGACTGCTCAATCATCCACGTTTTTTTTTTGGATTTTCCATCATAAACCATCCAATCCAGCTATTGATGTACCCCATTTTAGGAAACCCCATATTATAACAGTTATAAAACACATAATAAGCAAATATACTATATCAATACTACTTAATGTGTTTATAACATTACTATATCAGTTATAACAATACTAATGTTGATTCGTAGGATTCTACGATTAAACATGGAATCGTGTCAACATCCCCGTGATGTTGGAAGTGCATGTGTTCAACGAGGTTCCTTTGAGAGGAGCTCGACTGCGGAACAGGCAGATGGTTGGTGCTGCAACACGATTGATATCCATCTATTGATGGGTTATGGGTTATTGGTTGCTTTAAAAAGCTATAGCTGTCTTTATAAGTGGTTGATTTTTTAAGAACCCTTATGAGTAAACAGTAAACCCTAATTTTAAAGCACCAATAGATGATATAGATGGTTATCAAGTTATCATTAGACAGTATACTATAAACATCGTATCATCGTCAACCCTTGGGTGGTCACCTGACTGGGGTGTGTCCAAAAAAATGCAGAAAAACCAGACGAATCATAAGTTTCCCCCACTGCTAAACGCAAATGGGTATGGGTCAAAATTAGGTACCCCAATAATTGGATGGTGAATACTAAACTAGACTAACATCTGTGGTCCCCTAGGTCTTCCATTTTGACCCACATCCAAATATCACACGATCTTTGTTGGTGTTGTACCACACTTTCAGACACACGTGACCCTGGCCCGCCCACAGTGAGCGCTACAGCTGCGAGACCATGTCCACCATAGCCCACGTGGCTCTCACAGAGCCGGTGGAGTTAGTCGGAGCACCGAGCTTCTCAAGCAGTTGCACCGTTGCACGAAAATGCCAATGCTGTGCTTGATGGACGGGATGATTGTATCATACTGGTTGGTGATGGTGCATTATGGTTGAGTATGGTTGGTGGATGGTTGATGATGATTGATATGCTTAGTGATAACGATACCGGGTAGACATATTCTACTGTTTTCTTTTACAAAGAATGATATATGATATGGATTTCTTTGAAAATAAGGTACCCCCAAAAAAAATCTCATGGTTTTTCATGATGTCCTCTCTTGGAGACCCAGATAGATCCCATCCTCAGAGGTTTCGGAGGTTTGCTGTGCCAAATCCTCTCACGTCACAACTACTGTAGCTAGGCTAGACAGTTAGAGTTAGGGCAGACTTCAGGCCACTGATGGCCCTTTCATGGTGATTTGTTCAGTTCTTTGACAAAGGCCGACGCCTCATGGCAGTTGAACATTTTCTCCCTTTTTTTCGTCGCACCAATCAATAGAGCGATCCTTGCAGGTAATGTTCGACTTGCAGGAGATTGAAGATTTGTTTGGCTCCCAGGGGTGCCATTTGAACCATTGGAACCGCGGGAAGCACAGTCCGCTAGGTACAGCAATCTGGGAAATTGGATCGATCCGCCTCTAGAGTTGCGCGTGCAGAAGGCTTGCCATCGCGTGTGTCTGAAAATGGGGCATACCCACATTTTATGGCCATTCATGGGAGGAATATGATGATTTGGATTGATTTGGTATAGCCTGTTTTTGGAGAAGCCCACAGCAAAGTGCATACAGCAGCTTAAGTCATCTCAACATGGAAACGATCCGCAGGGCCGGAGCCGGGCAAGATTGAAGATTGACAAGTCTAAATAAAGAGTAAAAATATTTAGATCCACCATATATATCCATATATCCACCACACACATACATTAGCTGAATTTTGGAAAATTAGATTCTATAGAGATACAGATTGATACAGGATACAGCCAATTGATGCCAATTTTACTACCACCCACTTGGTGCGTTTCGGCCGTTATCCACTGTCAGACCGGAGTGGCGCATGCCTTAATCTATTGGTGGGCCGGGTTGCCTCAGTTGGCTGGGCGGATGGACCACAGATTTGCCAACGTTGGATATGGGGTTGATATCGGGTTTCATAAGGGGGTTAATAAGGGGGGTTATAAGGAGGTTGCGGCCATATATATATATATATATATAGATATATATATATATATATTATATACGTATTATATATATATATTCTATATTATATACATATATATATATATATTATATATACATATTATATATATATATACTTGGAAAAACGAGATCATTGGATGTTGTGGAATTCTTATGGATTTTGGGCAGCAAAGTCATGGCGTTTATGGCGGATGGGGAAAAAGGTACGGTCTTCTTTCCTGAAAATCAATCCGATGAACGGACACCTGCTTTCAGATCATGGGGTTTAAAGTTGCTTATATTATATATATATATTATATATATATATCATTGGAATTTTCCAAGTATGACTCTGACTATCACTAATTGATGTAGAACAGGATGCTGTATGGGCCTGTCTGCAAATGGGTGGTAATTGCCTATAAAAGAATATGGTGATTTCGTGTGATTTCAAGTGGATAAGTGGGGAAATTGAAGATTGACTCAGATTGACCATCAAACTTGTGGGGTAGCCAATTTTCTAACCGTCCCATAGGGAATTCAACAGTTTGTTATGGAGAATCCATTAAAATCATAGGAAAATCATTGAACTTAATGGACCATGTTTCCATAGCAAACTGTGAAATTGCCATATTGTTTTTACTATGTTCATCTATTTGTAGTCACAAGCCATTTTTTGACACCCAACATCATAGCCGCACAGCCATTTTCAACAAGGCAACATGATGATTAACTGGTGGATTTAGTGGTACCCTCTGGTTATTTAAAAGTTTGCTATGGACAATCACAATCCATTATAGGTAAATCATAAATCATCTCTAAGGGAACCATTTTTCTAGAACTATTCTTAGGGGGGGTTCCTAAGATGGTGGTACCCCCTTATTAACGAATATAAATAACCGTAATTAAGGTGCCACCATATAGTACCTGGTGTATGGTTAGGCCATTTTCTGAATTCAGATACCTCTATATTAAATAACCAGAAAGTGGCCTATTTACCCGACACATCCCCATCCCACGCTCCAGGAGTTACAACTCGATGGAGCCGGAAACAGTCGCATCCACACCTCACAGAGAGGTCGATGGAATGATACGGACTCATTGATGGGAAACTTGCGGCGATGAGAGATGGGAAACTTCGCTAATTTTTATGGATGTAGAGTATTTTTGTGGATGTTGTTATTTGCTCATATAGAATCTATGTTTTACGTTTGTTTACATATTAGTGTTCCCTCATTCCCTATATTCCCTTCGGTTTGCTGCTGAGATTGCTGCTGGGTAGGTGGTTGCGAAAGTTGGGAGCAAGCAGTTGGGGGCCCAGAGTAATGGTACTGACTATCATGATTATGAACAATGATCATGACCATGAATCATGATCATAATCATGATTATTATCATTTCATCATCATCATCATCATCATCATCATCACCATCACCATCATCACCATCACCATCAGCAGCAGCAGCAGCATCAGCACCAACACCAGCACCAGAAACAGCACCAGCACCATAATCATTATCCCTTCATCCTCATAGTTCTCCTCATTTGAATCGGTTTCTTCAATATCATTAAATGATGGGACAATTGAAACCGGAAACCTGTATATACATATAAAATTATATATATATATACATTTGGGAATAAACATCATAGTTTTCCAGTTTAAATTTCCCAAACCACCCCTGCATTCTGTACAGTTTTCAGTCTTCCAACATTTGTTCGGACAGTTTTTGACTAAGAGATAGTCAACCAATCCAATTATCATATTCTGCATTAAAACAAAAAACATGGTTTCTGTATATGTTTTTTTTCTACAAGAAATAAATCATCATTCATTGATTTCTGCGACCTCATCTGCCAAGCGCCACTTAATTGATTGGTTCAAGGGAAAATCGGGAAACATATCAATATTTTAGGCTATGTGCGGCTTAAAACATGTTTTCAACCATGGTTTCCTCCAAAATGTCCCAAAAAAACTCACCCAAGTTTCGCCGTTGAGGTGAAACCTCTCACCCTGCCACTGGAAGACGTGCCCTTGCGGGAGCATGAGATCGTCCGGCTGCGCTTGGCGCTGCGGCGCCAGGTGCATCCCCAGTAGGGTGTATGGCATTGGAGGTCCCACATCATTGACTGTTTATTGTATACTATGTCCGCAATAAGCTTGAAGCATTGCCATTAATGTTGGATGATTTTAGCATCCCTTACTTTGAGTCATATGAATGGGTTTTGATGCGGATAAAATCTACGATATCAGAAAGAAATGCTGGCAATTGTTGTGGGAGAAAATAAACTTATTCTTATTCACAAAAAATGAAGCTGCAGGATGATTTCTGTTTTGGCACTTCAAACTGATGATTTTTTGAGGCAGATGGCCTTGAAGTCATCTTGGAGGACTGGGAAGGGTCCGAGCTGCAACGGATGCATTATTGAAAGATATGCAAAGACTATATGGCCTGAACCGAATTTCCGGGAGCCGGAAAATTAACTTGAGACTTTACCATCAAATATGTGCAATGATGAGAAGCTAAGCAACAAGAATTGGGCTGGTGAGAAAGGGATGGATCTGGATGATCTGGGATTTGGGAGGGTGTCAGTTTGCTACCACCTCAAATTATCATAAATTATTTACACCAAATATCTACAGTACACCAAATTATCATAAATTATCTACACTAAATTATCAGTTGCCAATTATCTACAGTAAACTTGGAATTTGCAATGCATCTGCATATGATGACTGCCCCAGGATAAACATGGCCGCACAAGCTTGAATCACGAGGTGCGGGATGCTCGCCACATTGATCGTTTCCCAGAATAGGTTGAAAAACAAAAATCGAAACTGGAGACCTATATAATATGTTGGGGATTGTTGGGGTAGAAACCAGCGTTTCCTCATGTTTCCTCTAGATTTCCTTGAAATCCAACCATTGACTATCGAGTTTGATGAATTAAATCATATTAAATCCCATGAAATCCCTATTGTTGACGGTTGAATCCTATTGATTTTGCTGCGTTCCTCTGGCTCAGAGACGGGCCAGAGAAAACTGCGTCCGCAACGTCGCAGCACGAAATCTGTTTTTGTCGTTCGGTGCTCAGCAAACAGAAAAACAGTGGGGATTTCACGACCAGAAATGGAGGAGTTTTAAAAGCCAATTTCCAATCATATGGTGGTGATTGGTGATGAGTGCATAGGAATACATAGGAATTGAATGGAATTTAGGCAATAAATAATGGATATGGCCATGGTATTTGTATGCGACTGGTGGAAGAAACCTCCACAGAATTCCGTTTCCAACTCTCTGTTCGAAACGTAACAAGTGTTGATAGTTGTGAGTTGTTGTTGATTGTGATTTTTTTCATCGGTATGTTTGAGTGTTTTCCTTTTTCACGTATAGTTTAGGTTGTATAACTAACATTATACCATACAAGATCATAACATATCATAACAAGTAGCTTTTAGTATGATATCCCACCACCTTGCCAGCTGCCATTGCTCTCCTTCGCCGCATTTAGGTCGCAGATGACATGGAGAAGCCTGGGCAGTTCCTTTGACATTTCGTCCATTTTCACGGTGGCCAAAGGCGCGCGCTGTCCACCCGAGGAAGCCAAAGTGCAGGGGAAGGACTTGCCATCCAAAACTGATGCTTGGTTAGGATCCACTCAGTCACCCCAGCTGAGATGGCTGCCATGGGTTTCTCCATGGGGGATACGGGGATACCTCGCTTTCTTTTGATTTGAAGGTGTGAAAGCTATGAAAAAACCATTGGATTGGGTGGGTTCTACTGCCACCGCAGTTTTCCACGGGATCTTGATGTTTTTTTGCATGGCACCAGGGGGTAGCCCATTGTGGGACCCAGCCACTCTAAGGATGTGGGTGTGGCCCATATCTTGGATCCCAACACGGGACTTGGAATCAACTGGGCCATCATGGCATGGCAGCTTGTCTTGAACGACTTCGCGGGATGCCTAACCTCGAGATTTTGGGGAAGCTTGATATATCACGAATATAACATAATATGGCTATGAATCAATACCTATTAATACCATTTTTAGTGGGATGAACATCCATTTACCAGCTATTTTCATGTTCACCAGGGGTACAAGGTTTTGACACACTGCCATATAACATCATATAACATCATATAACCCCATCTTAATGAGCTTAACTCCCTCGTTCTTACTCTAAATTTCTCCAGCGTTTGGTCGTACTGGTCATGTTTGGTCACATCTCCCGAGGCACTGGACCATGGTCTTAGTCTTTTTGATGTTTTACTTCGCTGTAGCCTACTGGACCACTCCAATGGGCTCCAATGTCCCCTGGTAACTTGGATCAGCCATGGATCTCATGGATTGCAACAGCCATGGTTTGAGAAGACGAAGTTGTGTTCGATGGGATTGCGATGATCGAAAACTGATACTGCTGTTGAATCTCTTTGGAAAGATTTCAAAACCTTTTTCAAACCGCAAATTGTGTAGAATACGTTTGAGTTCCATAGCCACACCCTGTTCAGCTCGTGCTTTTTTTTTTGGCCTTTTTGTCATAAACGGTTCCCCTGACCGCGCAGGTTGACGCTGTTTCAGAAGCTCCTGGTTTTCTGGAATTTCTGGGAAGCCTTGGGGCTGGGCGTCATCCATGGGCCCATGCAAGGCAAAGTGAATCCACCGTTCCAGGACTGATCTGCATCAATGGCCATCAATGGCCCTGGATATGGGAGACGGTTTCTGACACCTGGGTCACCTGAGCCAGAAATTAGCTAGTCATTTAAGGATCATTTAAGGCTGTTGTATTTTTCGGTGCCCCATGAAGTTAAGCTGCTTTTGGTAGAGGGTTTGTGCAGCATAGTTGTCTCTTTGTTGTGGTTGTTCTGGTTGCACTACTTAACACCACATAAACCACACGTGAAGGAGGGCCACATTGCCGATATATCATATCCCTTGCGAGCTTTGCTAGTGGGAAGTGTAAATGTTGCTTGAGTTTGGCAAATTGGCAAATTGCAAGTCAAGTCTGATGTTTTCAGTTCCCGAGCCAACAGGCAACCCAACTACCACTTCCTTTTGAAGGACTGGTGGTATCGGTTTACAGTTGGGTCTATGAAGTACACTGCTCCCTTCATGCCCTGTTTGTCGATGAAACGGTGCCTTGGTGGTGTTTCAGCTGGGATCCGCAGTGAGTTCAGGTTCCTTGCCTTTGCTTTGGATCGCATAGGATCCCCAACAATCATTTGCGACAACCCAAACTGTGCATGGAATGGTCCACTAGTTGTATAGAAGTTGAATCTTTCACAGTACCCCTCCGGTAGCTGGAATATGCTGGAATTGTCTCCATATCAATCATCATATCAATCATCATTGATCATCATTGATCATCATGAACTTGCACAGCATCCATCATCAAAACTCTCCTGAGGAACTGCCTGGACGTCTTGGTCGAGGGATTTCTGATGTATGCTCTGACGATCCGCGTCCTTCTGGCGCCAGAAGTGACCCCAGAGCTGATGCAACCCTTGGTGGCCTGTTTGTTTCTCGAGCTGAAGGTTGTTTCATGACTGGTTGGTGGTTTGGAACATGTTTATACATTTTTTATTTTCCATAATATATGGGATAATCCTTCCCATTGACTAAGACTAATATTTTTCAAGATGGTTAAAACATGTTAAAACCACCAACCAGATGATGTTTCATGGTGTTTCGAAGTCAAATGGCGGGTTCCTAATGGCTGCGGGTAGCCCCAAATCATCCCAAATCATCCATGTTTTTGTGGCTTGTTCCATGGAATACACGTGATAAACCGCCCAACGGGGTTAATGATGTTAATAGGAACAACGATGATAAACCAGCATCGCATTTCAGGGGTAGCCTATTTTCAGACAAAGCCAAATCAGGGTTATATTTGGTTGTGTTTTCAAAACCAGAGATCAATGATGGTGTTGGGTTGTGAAAGAACGGCCAATAGTGTACAGAGTACATTGAGATTGCGAGGATCTTGTGGAAACTCTGTGGGTGGATGATTGTCATCCTATTCCTATTGCTGCTCTTGTCTTGTGCCTTTGCGACTGGCTGGATAAACATGAAAAAAAAACATTAAAAAAAACTGTTCTCCTTTCATCTCCAAGGATCTACGAATTTCTATTCGATCATGGCCAGCACATGCACACCTACGGCACGCAAACAATGTACTGCTTCATCTTCATGTGCTTTCCAGTGGACCAGGGGCAGGTTGTTGCCCTGCAACTCTTCATGACCTGGTGGGGGGCCTCAGCAGATATCAGCAGATCATGCCATGTTGATCCATCGCGAGCATCTATGACATCATTGATGTTTAAACGTGTTTAAATATGAGTCCTTCCTACGGTAAGGTTCTACATTTGCTCTGGATGGTGAGACACTCAGAGTCAGAGTTTTTTCAGCAGATTGGGAAAAGGATGAAAAGGAAGCCAGCGTTTGAATCATATTGACTCCATTTGTTCGGAAAGCAGGAGGTTTTCACATCGCAGGACGTACGTTAGTAATGTCTGTTGGGATGACTCAAACTTGACCGCCCTTGGCATTTCAGACGGAGCAGCTAGCAGACTCTTGCCTGAGGTGCAAGATTGGACCTTGGTTCAAGTATTTGAATGTGAGTAACTTGTGGTCTGCAAAGTACATGGTGAGTGTACCATGGTCAGACTGCTTTCGAAGAACTATGTACAAAGGACGGGACAGTGCTTGCAGCTCTTCTCTTATCCAGTACCTGCAGTTGCAGGATGTTGCAGGTATGTTGTTGTCCAAACCAAGGGGACCTGTGAGAGATCAGGCGGCAGAAAGCACCAAATTGATCCAAATTTCCAATCAATGGTTTCCATTCAATGCTTGGAGCAGTTCAGAGTGCTTGCAGGTTTAGCAGTGCCTTTGGAGCAGTTCAATAATCTTTGGATGTTGGTAATGTAGGTGTCAGTGTTTTAAGCTGCACATGTTCTTGCCAATTGCAAGCAGGATACAAAGATGCTGATTACCGCCTTACAAGAGCCGCCAAAGTCTTCTCAGTGGTGTGTGCATTGTGTGAAACGCTTGGACCTTTGCTGGTGCTTTCCAACGACCCAATCCTTGTTCAATGCGGCATCGTCGTAATTTGCTGTATGCACCTCTACATCATCTCGACCCTGGTTGTTGACGTACCAGCCTCAATTCACTAAAGGGCGCGTTTTGCTGTTGCCCCCCCGACAAAACTATGGTAGGTTGGTGTTGACCCATTGGTTGTTTCTGTTGTCCTTGCAGAATCAAATGAGGTTTTCACGTGGAACTTTGTGGATGCTTTGATGTATTGCTTCATCTTCGGACTCTATGGGCCCTCAGTAGGCGCCTAGGCCATCTTAGGCACAAAGATGGCCACCATATGCCACGCTGTTTGCGGTACCCTGATGGAAATTTACCCCCCTCCCTTTCAACAGGCAAATATTTTGCCATTTGGGACAGTTGCCAGCCATGTTTGTTTTCCGAGTACTGGGTCAAAGTGGTAACTTATGCCGCGGTCATCTTCTTGTGCCGCAAACGGTGTGCCGTTGGGAAGTCCATGATATACATGTCATTCTTGCTGGATGAATCAATTGTTTGTGGCATTGATTTTTCTAACATTTTACAGGGGCACACATGTTTTTGAGACATATTCTTCTTGCGATAGAAACTCATGGGGATGGCTTCTCAATAGCTTGACTCGCACAGAAGAGAGCACAGTAGAAGAGAAGAGTAGAGTAGAAGAGACTATATACAGAAGAGTAGAGAAGAGAATCGAATTGAAGAGTAGAAGTGATTAGAGAGGCCTAGAGCAGAGAAGGGAAGAGTAGAAAAGATCCCTGCTGCCTTGCCCTGCTGCCTTGCCTTGCAAAATCCAGATCTCGTACAGATCTCGTAAAGACCTCGGAAGGATCTCGTAAAAATAACGCAATGATAATGTCATGTAGAACTCCTGGTCTTCTAGAGGTCAAGCTGATGGTGTGCCATGCGGTTTACAACGCTTTGTGTCAGGTTTAAGACAGATAAACGGTACAAAGCGTTGCAGTCCGCATAGGAAAACAATGTGCACATACATGGATCGGCAAAGTGATCGGCTGCAGAAAGAAAACTGTTACCTGAGTACTTGGATGTACTCGGTGTGCCAATGGGAAAAACAATCATGGATGACATTCTTAGAGATTAAATATGTTGTTCCGACAATGGGAATTACATCTGAGAACTTGGGTTGATAGAAAACAATTTGTAGGTGTGCCATGCGTTCCTTGACATTTGGGGTGAGGTCAAAGAATTCACAACTGATGTAAAATGTACCAAATCCCTTAGGAAAATAACAAACCAATCCAAAAACCTGTCCGTGAGGGCCGGTGTGCCATGGTGATTTGCACATGGCGTAAGTTCTTGGGGTCGTGGGGTAAGCGGTGTGCCATGCGGTGGGGTAAGTTCATAGATTTTGGGGCAAGTTACCCCCCGGACTCGTAATAATATACAGCATATATATATATATATAAAGTAAACACTATAAAAGTAAGCAATATAATATACAGTATATATAAAGCACGCATCAAAGGGAAACTAGAAACTGGGTTACCGGTCTCCATTTTTCCCGAATGCGTAGCGAAGGGTTCCCGTTTATAGTTGGGGGTCTGGGGGTTGGACCTTTGTTCGCCGCCAGTTGGTCGGCGCGTCGTTTTCGCGTCGTTTTTCGCGTCGTTAATTCGGTGTCTATAGGGGAAGCTGCAAAACCTCGTGTTTTGTGCTACGTAGATGTCGCAGTGTCTATAGGGGAAGCTGCAAAACCTCGTGTTTTCTGCGACGTAGATGTCGCAGTGTCTATAGGGGAAGCTGCAAAACCTCGTGTTTTTTGCTACGTAGATGTCGCAGTCTCTATAGGGGAAGCTGCAAAACATCGTACCTTTTGCGACGTAGATGTCGCAGTGTCTATAGGGGAAGCTGCAAAACCTCGCGTTTTTTGCGACGTAGATGTCGCAGTGTCTATAGGGGAAGCTGCAACACCTCGTGTTTTTTGCGACGTAGATGTCGCAGTGTCTATAGGGGAAGCTGCAAAACCTCGTGTCTATTGCGACGTAGATGTCGCAGTGTCTATAGGGGAAGCTGCAAAACCTCGTGTCTTTTGCGACGTAGATGTCGCAGTGTCTATAGGGGAAGCTGCAAAACCTCGTGTTTTTTGCTGCTTAGATGTCGCAGTGTCTATAGGGGAAGCTGCAAAACCTCGTGTTTTTTGCGACGTCGATGTCGCAGTGTCTATAGGGGAAGCTGCAAAACCTCGTGTTTTTTGCGACGTAGATGATGTCGCAGTGTCTATAGGGGAAGCTGCAAAACCTCGTGTTTTTGCGACGTAGATGTCGCAGTGTCTATAGGGGAAGCTGCAAAACCTCGTGTTTTCTGCTGCGTAGATGTCGCAGTGTCTATAAGGGAAGCTGCAAAACCTCGTGTTTTCTGCTGCGTAGATGCCGCAGTGTCTATAGGGGAAGCTGCAAAACCTCGTGTTTTTTGCGACGTAGCTGTCGCAGTGTCTATAGGGGAAGCTGCAAAACCTCGTGTTTTTTGCGACGTAGCTGTCGCAGTGTCTATAGGGGAAGCTGCAAAACCTCGTGTTTTTTGCGACGTAGATGTCGCAGTGTCTATAGGGGAAGCTGCAAAACTTCGTGTTTTTTTGCGACGTAGATGTCGCAGTGTTTATAGGGGAAGCTGAAAAACTTCGTTCCTTTTGCGACGTAGATGTCGCAGTGTCTATAGGGGAAGCTGCAAAACCTCGTGTTTTCTGCGACGTAGATGTCGCAGTGTCTATAGGGGAAGCTGCAAAACCTCGTGTTTTTTGCTGCTTAGATGTCGCAGTGTCTATAGGGGAAGCTGCAAAACCTCGTGTCTTTTGCGACGTAGATGTCGCAGTGTCTATAGGGGAAGCTGCAAAACCTCGCGTTTTTGCGACGTAGATGATGTTGCAGTGTCTATAGGGGAAGCTGCAAAACCTCGTGTTTTTGCGACGTAGATGATGTTGCAGTGTCTATAGGGGAAGCTGCAAAACCTCGTGTCTTTTGCGACGTAGATGTCGCAGTGTCTATAGGGGAAGCTGCAAAACCTCGTGTCTTTTGCGACGTAAATGTCGCAGTGTCTATAGGGGAAGCCGCAACACCTCGTGTTTTTTGCGACGTAGATGTCGCAGTGTCTATAGGGGAAGTAGTTTGTGCGAGCTTTGTAGTACACAGTAGTACTGGAACGTGTTTGTGCATGTGTAGTACACAGTAGTACTGGGAAGTTTCTTTGTGCAAGCTTTGTACCCTATAGAAGAGGTTAGACAATTAAGAAGAAAATAGTTAACTCCCAAAAAAGTTAACTACTTAGTTAACTTGGTTGTAAAAAGGTAAAAAAATAGATAGCAAATAGTTAAAATAAAGTTAACTAAATAGTTTAAAAAAAAGTTAAAAAAATAGTTTAAAAAAGTTAACTATTTTTTAACTATTTTTTAAAACTATTTTTGGTCATTTTTTGAATATTTGTGAATTACTTTTTTGATATTTTGATTGATTCCTAAGTTTATTTTTATTATTTTTGGGATATGGAATGTTGCGAACACTATGAGAGTGAGAGTCACTTAGAGATAATGTTTAATCACTTTTTGGTGGTGCAAGCTTGCAAACACTGTGAGGGTGAGAGCCCAGTTTAGAGACAGTAGTTGAAGTTTGATTTTGACATGGTGGAATGTTAGAGACACTATGAGAGTGAGAGTCACTTTGAGATAATGTTTAATCACTGTTGGGTGGTACAAACTTGCAAACACTGTGAGGGTGAGAGCCAGGTTTAGAGACAATAGTTGAAGTTTGATTTTGACATGGTGGAATGTGAGAGACACTATGAGAGTGAGAGTCACTTTGAGATAATGTTTAATCACTGTTGGGTGGTGCAAACTTGCAAACACTGTGAGGAGAGACCCACATTTTGAGGGACCAAGCACTTTGAGAGACCCAACACTTGGAAAGGGTAAGCACCTGGAGAGACCCAACACTTGGAGAGGCCCAGCACTTGGAGAAACCTACACTTTGAGAGACAAGTGCATTTTGATAGGAACACCCGTGATTTTGAGAGACCGAATCCGTGCACTTTGATTGACACACTGCATACAATATTGATGAATCCACTGCATTATAAAGGGTATCAATTTTTCTTTTTGCAAGCCATATTCCTTACAGGGTTGTGGCTCCTAGGGTAGACACCAAAAAATGTTGAGAAACACTGCTGTGTTTCAGTGCCATGGGTAGACTGGTGCCAGATCCATCAGTCTGTGTGCTGGACTTGCAGCAGGTTATCAACCAATTTTGCAAAGAGAAGGGCAGTCATGACCTTTGGAGTTTGTTGGCACCAGAGCCATCAAAAAAGGTTACCTGGAAAACAGCACCTGATCCAGAGTGGTTGCACAAAATATCACCTTTTCTCATCAAATTGGTCTCAGTTGTGAAGAACCTTGTGGTTGCATCAAAGAAGTTGAAGACAGCCATGGTGAAGATTCAGCCCCAAGAAGTATCATTTAACAGAACATTTTTCTTGTTCCAACCCAAGTTTCTATTTTTTTCACTGGATTTCCTTGTTGTGTTTGCTTCCCCCTTGCCCACCAGTTCAAAGGACCACTCAGCAAAGACTGAACTATTCAAAGATGAAGGATGAACAATTTTTTGACCAGTTGGACCAATACATTCGTATAGGAGCTGCACAGATCAGAACACTGAAGATCAACCAGGCAGACTTCATTAGAGTTGCCAAGAAATGTAGCCAAGAAGAAAAGAAAGCCATTGAAGAAATTTTGGAGCTGGTTTCTGTGGATCCTTGTTCATTGCTGAAGTTCATAAACTTTTTCTTTATGATAGCAATGTCTTTGCATTTTTTGGTATAAATACATGTCATGATGTGATTGTACCCAATGATGTATTTCACTGCCATCTAAGGATGGAAAGCTTGAAAGTGATGAGACCCGACCTGATTCCCAAACACCACACCCTCCCATGGCAAAGGCAGGTCAAGAGCCAAGCAGCAGCTCCACTGGAGCTTGTGGAAGCCCTGGTAAGGATCTCTTTGGTGTTTCAAGCAACTTTTTCCAACAGTTTCACAGCCCAGAAAAAGCAAAAGAGACTACAAGTTGCACAGACCTGGTACTACATGAAGGCAGCAAACCTTCCTATAAAAGAAGCTTCGCTAAAAGCAACCTCACTTTGGATGAAAAAAACGACACCAGTAGGCCTACCTTGAGGAGACAGCTGGCAAAGAGCAATTTTGACTTGGACAGTCAGGATTTGCAAACACTAGCACTGGCATTAGAATGCAAGAGCCACAAAGCAACCTCTGATGTCAATGAGCCTAAGGAGATGAAGGCACCTGATGAAACACAAGTAACACCCAAGAAAAAGCGACCTGCCAAGTCAAAGTCCAAAAAGGCAGCAAAGGCCCCAGCACAGCCAGCCCCCAAATGCAAATCCAAAGCAAAAGCAAAGAAAAAGAAATCTTCCAGAGGAAGCCCTTCTGGTGGATATAAAACTACATTTCGCCACAGAAAGACCAGCAATGCATACCACCTAGCCAAGAATATGGCTTTGAGGGCTGGCATTAGCCCAGAGAGTGCAAGGATCAAAGGCAAAGCTGCAAGTGCCAAGGTTGTGCAACAGATTGAACTTGGAACTCTCAAAGAGGGTTAGAAACTAGAAGGTGAACTTGCTTCTTGACCTAGGCTGCCAGCAAAAAAAGGTGGCATCTCTTTTGAGTGCACTTCATCACCAACATTTGTTGGGAGACAGTCTGAATATCTAAGCAGCATCATACTTGAGAAGCACTTTGAGGGTGTAACACTTTGAGAGACTAGCACTTGGAGAGTGGCACTTTGGATTTACACTAGCTAGGGTCATTAGCTTACTTGACTTGGGATGGCTTGCAACCATTGCAGGTTCAAGGTGCTACAGGTGCAGCATGCAAAGGTTTCTAGACAGGTTAGGTGGCAATGGCCCAAGCTTTGTTGGTACTAAGTGGACTTGGAGAGATGGTGCCTTGTGGCATTTGACCACCTATGCCTCTGGTTGGCAAGAGTGGAAAACTTTTGATGAAGTTGCACAGAGCTGGCACTGGGTGACTCAAGCTGACAAGGAAGCCTTGAAGGACTGTGCTTTTGCAAGGCAACTTTTTTTGGAGCAATTCTTTTGACACCACTGTTTATCTTTCTATTTGTTGCTTCACCTTGTGCCAGGAAAAGATCACCCAAATGCACATGCCAGGGCCACTGGGCAAATTACGCTTTTACACACCAAGAATGTATGAAGCTATTGGTCCCTAAATATCATTTTATGCCTGTCATCCTTCACCTGGCACTCAGGGGATGGGATAATCCATCTAGCCCATCCACCAGCTCCAGCTGATGACTTATGACCTTGGGATCTTGTAACTTGACAGAACCTGGAAATTACAAGTGACAGTGTCACACCTCATACAAGTTGTTGGCCTTGTCAGCCAAGGTAGCAAACTTCTGGCGATGGAACATCTTTCAACTAGCCTGCTGAAAATCACCTACTGAGTGGTTTCAACTTTGGGTCACCTTCTATATTTTGAAAGTAACACATTGAGAGACCACATTGAGAGGCAACACTTTGAGTGCACTTGGTGGGTAGTTGGTGGGCAATTCATGGGCACTTTCATACTGGCAAAGCACACTTTGAGAGAAAGAGATGCACTCACTTTGAGAGAAAAGTTTCATGTGTTTGTTCATATGTGAACAAAATCGCAAAGAAAATCATAGAAAAATCAAAATTTCAAAACTTCAGGTGTAGAAGTTTGATAGTAGTTTGGTAGAAGTTTCTATCAAACTTCTATACGCACACTAGAAGTTTCATTGAAACTTCTACCAAACTTCTACTAGTGTAGAAGTTTGATAGAAGTTTCTATGTTGGGGTAGAAGTTTACTAGAAACTTCTACCAAACTACTACCAAACTTCTACCCAGCCACTTGTTTTTGGTTGATATTTTCACATATTTTCTTGTACAAATGATGATTTTCCTATTCAGAATTCATGTTTTTTTCACAAATAAAATGCAAAGTGTTTGCATTTCCTTCTTCACAGAGGGACAATTGGTTTGAAAATGCTCCAACACAATGGTTTGACACAAATCATTTGTTGCATTGCCCAAGAACAGTGTTACTTTTTCATTCAAGTGTGATGCCCACATGGTTTGCCCAAAACATAATATTTATCAAAGTGTAATCTATTGTGTGTTGGGTTTTGTTTTGGGGACATCACACCAGAATCTTCTGTGTGAAGATTTAGTTTCACACCTTGTTGATGAAAAGACCCGCCATGGCAGAACCTCCAAATGGAGAAACAACAGTGGCTGAACAAGCTGCTGCATTGGGTGAGCAAAATGCACCAAAGACACCTGAGAAGAAAGAAAATGAGTCAAGGAAGGAAGCCACAAAGAAAGCTACACCAAAGAAAGCCACTACACCAAAGGCAGCCACACCCAAGTCACATGCTAAAAGTCCCAGCGCAGCAGAAAAGGCCACAGGACTCAAGAGGCCAGCAGCCAGTGGTAAGGCCAAGGCAGCTGCCAAGGTAAAGCCTACTACCAAGGTTAAAAAGGTACCAAAGTCACAAGCAAAGGCAAAGTCAACACCAAAGGCAGCACCCAAAGCAGCTGGCAGCAACAAGCCAAAGCATACAGATGAGCAGTCAGAGCAGGAGCAGAAGAAGGAACCCCCAAAAAAGAAAGGAAAGGAAACTTTGAAGGACCAAGCAATGAAATGGGTTGACAATTTAGACAAGCCAGAAGATGAAGAGAAGGACAATACCACAGAGGCAAAGGCTGAAGAGAGAGACAGGCAGAAGGCACAAAAGTTTAGAAAGCTTGAGAAAGCAGGTGCTTTGCCTGCAGAAGTGAAGGAGGCCTTTGATGCAGCTGAAAAAAGCCAAAACCCAAGAGCCAACAAAACTCAGCTCATCAACAGCCTTTTCAGAAAAGAGGGCAACAACTTTGTGATGGTTCCCAAAGACCCTGCCTTCAAAAGGGTTCAAAAGCTGTTGGATGTGAAGTATGGAAAGGAAGAGGCACAAAGTTACTTGGATGCAAGTTTACAACTTACAAGGTACACACAGTACACACATACAAATGTATATGTATGGAAAAATCAAAGGCACATACACATGTGGTACCTTTTTGGGGAAGCAAATAGTGATGGTGAAGGGACATGTGCCACTTGCAGGCAATCATGTTGGAGCCCACTTTGAGCATCACTTTGGAAACAGTATATTCTCCCAAAAAAACACATCATACACCTGGGCCTGCCTGGTTTTGTATTTCTAGATTTCATGAAAAATGTCCATCTTCATTTTTTTAAAGTAGGGGTTCATGGTTAAGATTTAGTTCTGGTTCATGTGTCATTTTGTCAAACACCATAGCCATCCAAATCAATGCTGAAAGCCTTCACCTTGTTGTGACTGATGGCTTGGTTCAGGTTTCCCCTGGTCCATCATGCTCTATGACAAGTTTGGTGGCAACGAAAGTGCACTAGAGAAAGCTTTACAGTGTGGGGATGTTGTTGTGACCAGCTACCAGGGAAAGGACTATTATAGCTACAACACTTTGAAGTCAGGCAGGATGAAAAGTTTGGGTGATGAAAGTGAATTGAATGATGGCCAGCACAGCTTGGATGAAAGCTCTCACCAAGTCATTTCTGACTGGTTCAAGAGCTTGAATGTTGGCTCACTGCAGCAGCAAGTGGAGGACTCAGCAGAAGCAGCAGGAGACACAGTTCTAGTTTTAACAAAGCCAAAGACTCAAGAAGTTGACTGGAACCATGTTGAGAAGGTGTTGCAGTCAGCAAAGGCTGCTCAGGAAAAGTTGATCAGGGATGGCATGAAGTTGAAGGAACAGGTGTTGGCAGCAAAGGATCAGGACTTACTTGACACCTTCAAGGGCAGCCTCAAGGATTTGCAGGACAATGACAAGGATTTGGACCACTGTTTGCTGTGGAAGGTCTGCTGGTTTGGTGTGGGGGTCACTGTGAGAGGTATATACTTTGAGAACACTTGGAGATTTGCACTTTCAGGGTTGCACTTTGTAGGGGGCACTTTGAAGGTCACACTTTGAGAGTCTCAGTTTGAGGGGTGCAGATTGAGGGCGCACAAATTTTTGAGCACTTTGAGGGAAAACTTTGAGGTATCATTTTGAGAAACATTGTTGGAAACATTGTTCTTTCATAGCCAGCCACTTTTCCCAGTTTGCAAGAAAGCATCCTTTGAAAGACATCTTGCTGTCTAGACCACATTTTGAATACAACTAGCATATGCACCCTTACATGGTCCAACCCAAACCTTATGTATTTCATCCAGCTTCAGACTGTGCTAGGAATTACCTGGAGGCAAGAAATGGGATGTCGCGAGTGGAAAGGATTGGATGACAAACCTGGCCAAGCAAACCCAAAAGGCCAATGAGAAGATTGAAGGAGTGAAAACAACTCTCAAGGTGAGGGGGTTGCTGTAGGGTAAGACCAGAAATTTGTGAGAACTTGAAATGCAGGTAAAGCAACCTATATTTTATATAAACTGAAGTTGTCATAGTTCAACTGTCTTTTTTGGATGGGTTGCAATTTTGACAATGTGTGCAACCCTGGGCATATCACAGATTCTGGCAGCTTTATCAAGAGCATTTTGCTCTGCTAGCAATGGTGTCGCAGCAAGAGATTGCAAGACTGGAAAACATTTTTTGGCATGGGTTGGGGCACTTGGTGGCTCTTGTGCATGTGCCTGAAAAACATTAGTCCAAACAATTTTGTTGTTATGATGCATTTGGCTGAGGTTGATGTTTGGAAGTTTGTGGCATTGTCTTTTTTTTGGTGTGCACTGCAAGGTAGAGGCTGGAAAACACCTTCCAAATTGTGAGGTGGCATATTGAACATTCATTTTGATAGCAAGATACACTTTGAGAGAAAAATAGGAAGCACACAGTGTAGGGTGCATGTTGGTTCAAAACATGGGGTGAAAGTTAAGGTAGAAGTTATTTTGGGAATTGTGGAAGCTTGGGGGTGCCACTTCAAGTCATTAATGTCACTTTGAGAGACCCACTTATGAGAGCCACTTTGAGAGACACACTTATTGGAACCACTTTGAGAGATACACTTGTGAGAACCACTTGGAGAGACACACTTCTGAGAACCACTGAGAGAGACACACCTATGAGAACCACTTTGAGGGACACACTTGTGATAGCCACTTTGAGAGCTACCTTGAAATTCAGAAGCCACATGTTCAACCACCCAGGTGCTCAAAATCAAAAAAAACAATTTGCACAAAACCATGGTTTCTTTCACACAATGCAAGGTATAGTAATCAGTTTGTTTAAAACAAATAGCTTCGAAACATGAAATATATGTTCAAAACAAGCTGGCCTTGAATTAGCTCAGAAATAGGGGAAAGTGTTTTTCTTTAACATTATTTTTAAAGCTATTTTTTAACTATTTTTTAAACTATTTTTAGAACTACTTTTTGAACTATTTTTTAACTAAGACAAAAACAACTTAACTAATTAGTTAACTTTTTTTTTGCCTAAAAACATCGACTTAACTATTTTTCAGAATTAACTATTTCCTTCTTAATTGTCTAACCTCTTCTATAGCGTAGTACACAGTAGTACTGGGAACGGCTTTGTGCAAGCTTTGTAGTACACAGTAGTACTGGGAAGTAGTTTGTGCGAGCTTTGTAGTACACAGTAGTACTGCGAACGACTTTGTGCAAGCTTTGTAGTACACAGTAGTACTGGGAACGTTTTTGTACGAGCCTTGTAGTACACAGTAGTACTTGGAAGTAGATTGTGCGAGCTTTGTAGTACACAGTAGTACTGGGAACGACTTTGTGCAAGCTTTGTAGTACAAAGTAGTACTGGGAACGTGTGTGTGCGAGTTTTGTAGTACAAAGTCGTACTGGGAACGACTTTGTGCAAGCTTTGTAGTACACAGTAGTACTGGGAACGACTTTGTGCAAGCTTTGTAGTACAAAGTAGTACTGGGAAGTAGTTGTTGCAAGCTTTGTAGTACACAGTAGTACTGGGAACGGCTTTGTGCAAGCTTTGTGCAAGCTTTGTAGTACACAGTAGTACTGGGAACGTGTTTGTGCGAGCTTTGTAGTACACAGTAGTACTTGGAAGTAGATTGTGCGAGCTTTGTAGTGCACAGTAGTACTGGGAACGACTTTGTGCAAGCTTTGTAGTACACAGTAGTACTGGGAACGTGTTTGTGCAAGCTTTGTAGTACACAGTAGTACTGGAACGTGTTTGTGCATGTGTAGTACACAGTAGTACTGGGAAGTTTCTTTGTGCAAGCTTTGTACCCTATAGAAGAGGTTAGACAATTAAGAAGAAAATAGTTAACTCCCAAAAAAGTTAACTACTTAGTTAACTTGGTTATAAAAAGGCAAAAAAATAGATAGCAAATAGTTAAAATAAAGTTAACTAAATAGTTTTAAAAAAAGTTAAAAAAATAGTTAAAAAAAGTTAACTATTTTTTAACTATTTTTTAAAACTATTTTTGGTCATTTTTTGAATATTTGTGAATTACTTTTTTGATATTTTGATTGATTCCTAAGTTTATTTTTATTATTTTTGGGATATGGAATGTTGCGAACACTATGAGAGTGAGAGTCACTTAGAGATAATGTTTAATCACTTTTTGGTGGTGCAAGCTTGCAAACACTGTGAGGGTGAGAGCCCAGTTTAGAGACAGTAGTTGAAGTTTGATTTTGACATGGTGGAATGTTAGAGACACTATGAGAGTGAGAGTCACTTTGAGATAATGTTTAATCACTGTTGGGTGGTACAAACTTGCAAACACTGTGAGGGTGAGAGCCAGGTTTAGAGACAATAGTTGAAGTTTGATTTTGACATGGTGGAATGTGAGAGACACTATGAGAGTGAGAGTCACTTTGAGATAATGTTTAATCACTGTTGGGTGGTGCAAACTTGCAAACACTGTGAGGAGAGACCCGCATTTTGAGGGACCAAGCACTTTGAGAGACCCAACACTTGGAAAGGGTAAGCACTTGGAGAGACCCAACACTTGGAGAGGCCCAGCACTTGGAGAAACCTACACTTTGAGAGACAAGTGCATTTTGATAGGAACACCCGTGATTTTGAGAGACCGAATCCGTGCACTTTGATTGACACACTGCATACAATATTGATGAATCCACTGCATTATAAAGGGTATCAATTTTTCTTTTTGCAAGCCATATTCCTTACAGGGTTGTGGCTCCTAGGGTAGACACCAAAAAATGTTGAGAAACACTGCTGTGTTTCAGTGCCATGGGTAGACTGGTGCCAGATCCATCAGTCTGTGTGCTGGACTTGCAGCAGGTTATCAACCAATTTTGCAAAGAGAAGGGCAGTCATGACCTTTGGAGTTTGTTGGCACCAGAGCCATCAAAAAAGGTTACCTGGAAAACAGCACCTGATCCAGAGTGGTTGCACAAAATATCACCTTTTCTCATCAAATTGGTCTCAGTTGTGAAGAACCTTGTGGTTGCATCAAAGAAGTTGAAGACAGCCATGGTGAAGATTCAGCCCCAAGAAGTATCATTTAACAGAACATTTTTTTTGTTCCAACCCAAGTTTCTATTTTTTTCACTGGATTTCCTTGTTGTGTTTGCTTCCCCCTTGCCCACCAGTTCAAAGGACCACTCAGCAAAGACTGAACTATTCAAAGATGAAGGATGAACAATTTTTTGACCAGTTGGACCAATACATTCGTATAGGAGCTGCACAGATCAGAACACTGAAGATCAACCAGGCAGACTTCATTAGAGTTGCCAAGAAATGTAGCCAAGAAGAAAAGAAAGCCATTGAAGAAATTTTGGAGCTGGTTTCTGTGGATCCTTGTTCATTGCTGAAGTTCATAAACTTTTCCTTTATGATAGCAATGTCTTTGCATTTTTTGGTATAAATACATGTCATGATGTGATTGTACCCAATGATGTATTTCACTGCCATCTAAGGATGGAAAGCTTGAAAGTGATGAGACCCGACCTGATTCCCAAACACCACACCCTCCCATGGCAAAGGCAGGTCAAGAGCCAAGCAGCAGCTCCACTGGAGCTTGTGGAAGCCCTGGTAAGGATCTCTTTGGTGTTTCAAGCAACTTTTTCCAACAGTTTCACAGCCCAGAAAAAGCAAAAGAGACTACAAGTTGCACAGACCTGGTACTACATGAAGGCAGCAAACCTTCCTATAAAAGAAGCTTTGCTAAAAGCAACCTCACTTTGGATGAAAAAAACGACACCAGTAGGCCTACCTTGAGGAGACAGCTGGCAAAGAGCAATTTTGACTTGGACAGTCAGGATTTGCAAACACTAGCACTGGCATTCGAATGCAAGAGCCACAAAGCAACCTCTGATGTCAATGAGCCTAAGGAGATGAAGGCACCTGATGAAACACAAGTAGCACCCAAGAAAAAGCGACCTGCCAAGTCAAAGTCCAAAAAGGCAGCAAAGGCCCCAGCACAGCCAGCCCCCAAATGCAAATCCAAAGCCAAAGCAAAGAAAAAGAAATCTTCCAGAGGAAGCCCTTCTGGTGGATATAAAACTACATTTCGCCACAGAAAGACCAGCAATGCATACCACCTAGCCAAGAATATGGCTTTGAGGGCTGGCATTAGCCCAGAGAGTGCAAGGATCAAAGGCAAAGCTGCAAGTGCCAAGGTTGTGCAACAGATTGAACTTGGAACTCTCAAAGAGGGTTAGAAACTAGAAGGTGAACTTGCTTCTTGACCTAGGCTGCCAGCAAAAAAAGGTGGCATCTCTTTTGAGTGCACTTCATCACCAACATTTGTTGGGAGACAGTCTGAATATCTAAGCAGCATCATACTTGAGAAGCACTTTGAGGGTGTAACACTTTGAGAGACTAGCACTTGGAGAGTGGCACTTTGGATTTACACTAGCTAGGGTCATTAGCTTACTTGACTTGGGATGGCTTGCAACCATTGCAGGTTCAAGGTGCTACAGGTGCAGCATGCAAAGGTTTCTAGACAGGTTAGGTGGCAATGGCCCAAGCTTTGTTGGTACTAAGTGGACTTGGAGAGATGGTGCCTTGTGGCATTTGACCACCTATGCCTCTGGTTGGCAAGAGTGGAAAACGTTTGATGAAGTTGCACAGAGCTGGCACTGGGTGACTCAAGCTGACAAGGAAGCCTTGAAGGACTGTGCTTTTGCAAGGCAACTTTTTTTGGAGCAATTCTTTTGTTTATCTTTCTATTTGTTGCTTCACCTTGTGCCAGGAAAAGATCACCCAAATGCACATGCCAGGGCCACTGGGCAAATTACGCTTTTACACACCAAGAATGTATGAAGCTATTGGTCCCTAAATATCATTTTATGCCTGTCATCCTTCACCTGGCACTCAGGGGATGGGATAATCCATCTAGCCCATCCACCAGCTCCAGCTGATGACTTATGACCTTGGGATCTTGTAACTTGACAGAACCTGGAAATTACAAGTGACAGTGTCACACCTCATACAAGCTGTTGGCCTTGTCAGCCAAGGTAGCAAACTTCTGGCGATGGAACATCTTTCAACTAGCCTGCTGAAAATCACCTACTGAGTGGTTTCAACTTTGGGTCACCTTCTATATTTTGAAAGTAACACATTGAGAGACCACATTGAGAGGCAACACTTTGAGTGCACTTGGTGGGTAGTTGGTGGGCAATTCATGGGCACTTTCATACTGGCAAAGCACACTTTGAGAGAAAGAGATGCACTCACTTTGAGAGAAAAGTTTCATGTGTTTGTTCATATGTGAACAAAATCGCAAAGAAAATCATAGAAAAATCAAAATTTCAAAACTTCAGGTGTAGAAGTTTGATAGTAGTTTGGTAGAAGTTTCTATCAAACTTCTATACGCACACTAGAAGTTTCATTGAAACTTCTACCAAACTTCTACTAGTGTAGAAGTTTGATAGAAGTTTCTATGTTGGGGTAGAAGTTTACTAGAAACTTCTACCAGACTACTACCAAACTTCTACCCAGCCACTTGTTTTTGGTTGATATTTTCACATATTATCTTGTACAAATGATGATTTTCCTATTCAGAATTCATGTTTTTTTCACAAATAAAATGCAAAGTGTTTGCATTTCCTTCTTCACAGAGGGACCATTGGTTTGAAAATGCTCCAACACAATGGTTTGACACAAATCATTTGTTGCATTGCCCAAGAACAGTGTTACTTTTTCATTCAAGTGTGATGCCCACATGGTTTGCCCAAAACATAATATTTATCAAAGTGTAATCTATTGTGTGTTGGGTTTTGTTTTGGGGACATCACACCAGAATCTTCTGTGTGAAGATTTAGTTTCACACCTTGTTGATGAAAAGACCCGCCATGGCAGAACCTCCAAATGGAGAAACAACAGTGGCTGAACAAGCTGCTGCATTGGGTGAGCAAAATGCACCAAAGACACCTGAGAAGAAAGAAAATGAGTCAAGGAAGGAAGCCACAAAGAAAGCTACACCAAAGAAAGCCACTACACCAAAGGCAGCCACACCCAAGTCACATGCTAAAGTCGCAGCGCAGCAGAAAAGGCCACAGGACTCAAGAGGCCAGCAGCCAGTGGTAAGGCCAAGGCAGCTGCCAAGGTAAAGCCTACTACCAAGGTTAAAAAGGTACCAAAGTCACAAGCAAAGGCAAAGTCAACACCAAAGGCAGCACCCAAAGCAGCTGGCAGCAACAAGCCAAAGCATACAGATGAGCAGTCAGAGCAGGAGCAGAAGAAGGAACCCCCAAAAAAGAAAGGAAAGGAAACTTTGAAGGACCAAGCAATGAAATGGGTTGACAATTTAGACAAGCCAGAAGATGAAGAGAAGGACAATACCACAGAGGCAAAGGCTGAAGAGAGAGACAGGCAGAAGGCACAAAAGTTTAGAAAGCTTGAGAAAGCAGGTGCTTTGCCTGCAGAAGTGAAGGAGGCCTTTGATGCAGCTGAAAAAAGCCAAAACCCAAGAGCCAACAAAACTCAGCTCATCAACAGCCTTTTCAGAAAAAAGAGGGCAACAACTTTGTGATGGTTCCCAAAGACCCTGCCTTCAAAAGGGTTCAAAAGCTGTTGGATGTGAAGTATGGAAAGGAAGAGGCACAAAGTTACTTGGATGCAAGTTTACAACTTACAAGGTACACACAGTACACACATACAAATGTATATGTATGGAAAAATCAAAGGCACATACACATGTGGTACCTTTTTGGGGAAGCAAATAGTGATGGTGAAGGGACATGTGCCACTTGCAGGCAATCATGTTGGAGCCCACTTTGAGCATCACTTTGGAAACAGTATATTCTCCCAAAAAAACACATCATACACCTGGGCCTGCCTGGTTTTGTATTTCTAGATTTCATGAAAAATGTCCATCTTCATTTTTTTAAGTAGGGGTTCATGGTTAAGATTTAGTTCTGGTTCATGCGTCATTTTGTCAAACACCATAGCCATCCAAATCAATGCTGAAAGCCTTCACCTTGTTGTGACTGATGGCTTGGTTCAGGTTTCCCCTGGTCCATCATGCTCTATGACAAGTTTGGTGGCAACGAAAGTGCACTAGAGAAAGCTTTACAGTGTGGGGATGTTGTTGTGACCAGCTACCAGGGAAAGGACTATTATAGCTACAACACTTTGAAGTCAGGCAGGATGAAAAGTTTGGGTGATGAAAGTGAATTGAATGATGGCCAGCACAGCTTGGATGAAAGCTCTCACCAAGTCATTTCTGACTGGTTCAAGAGCTTGAATGTTGGCTCACTGCAGCAGCAAGTGGAGGACTCAGCAGAAGCAGCAGGAGACACAGTTCTAGTTTTAACAAAGCCAAAGACTCAAGAAGTTGACTGGAACCATGTTGAGAAGGTGTTGCAGTCAGCAAAGGCTGCTCAGGAAAAGTTGATCAGGGATGGCATGAAGTTGAAGGAACAGGTGTTGGCAGCAAAGGATCAGGACTTACTTGACACCTTCAAGGGCAGCCTCAAGGATTTGCAGGACAATGACAAGGATTTGGACCACTGTTTGCTGTGGAAGGTCTGCTGGTTTGGTGTGAGGGTCACTGTGAGAGGTATATACTTTGAGAACACTTGGAGATTTGCACTTTCAGGGTTGCACTTTGTAGGGGGCACTTTGAAGGTCACACTTTGAGAGTCTCAGTTTGAGGGGTGCAGATTGAGGGCGCACAAATTTTTGAGCACTTTGAGGGAAAACTTTGAGGTATCATTTTGAGAAACATTGTTGGAAACATTGTTCTTTCATAGCCAGCCACTTTTCCCAGTTTGCAAGAAAGCACCCTTTGAAAGACATCTTGCTGTCTAGACCACATTTTGAATACAACTAGCATATGCACCCTTACATGGTCCAACCCAAACCTTATGTATTTCATCCAGCTTCAGACTGTGCTAGGAATTACCTGGAGGCAAGAAATGGGATGTCGCGAGTGGAAAGGATTGGATGACAAACCTGGCCAAGCAAACCCAAAAGGCCAATGAGAAGATTGAAGGAGTGAAAACAACTCTCAAGGTGAGGGGGTTGCTGTAGGGTAAGACCAGAAATTTGTGAGAACTTGGAATGCAGGTAAAGCAACCTATATTTTATATAAACTGAAGTTGTCATAGTTCAACTGTCTTTTTTGGATGGGTTGCAATTTTGACAATGTGTGCAACCCTGGGCATATCACAGATTCTGGCAGCTTTATCAAGAGCATTTTGCTCTGCTAGCAATGGTGTCGCAGCAAGAGATTGCAAGACTGGAAAACATTTTTTGGCATGGGTTGGGGCACTTGGTGGCTCTTGTGCATGTGCCTGAAAAACATTAGTCCAAACAGTTTTGTTGTTATGATGCATTTGGCTGAGGTTGATGTTTGGAAGTTTGTGGCATTGTCTTTTTTTTGGTGTGCACTGCAAGGTAGAGGCTGGAAAACACCTTCCAAATTGTGAGGTGGCATATTGAACATTCATTTTGATAGCAAGATACACTTTGAGAGAAAAATAGGAAGCACACAGTGTAGGGTGCATGTTGGTTCAAAACATGGGGTGAAAGTTAAGGTAGAAGTTATTTTGGGAATTGTGGAAGCTTGGGGGTGCCACTTCAAGTCATTAATGTCACTTTGAGAGACCCACTTATGAGAGCCACTTTGAGAGACACACTTATTGGAACCACTTTGAGAGATACACTTGTGAGAACCACTTGGAGAGACACACTTCTGAGAACCACTGAGAGAGACACACCTATGAGAACCACTTTGAGGGACACACTTGTGATAGCCACTTTGAGAGCTACCTTGAAATTCAGAAGCCACATGTTCAACCACCCAGGTGCTCAAAATCAAAAAAACAATTTGCACAAAACCATGGTTTCTTTCACACAATGCAAGGTATAGTAATCAGTTTGTTTAAAACAAATAGCTTCGAAACATGAAATATATGTTCAAAACAAGCTGGCCTTGAATTAGCTCAGAAATAGGGGAAAGCGTTTTTCTTTAACATTATTTTTAAAGCTATTTTTTTAACTATTTTTTAAACTATTTTTAGAACTACTTTTTGAACTATTTTTTTAACTAAGACAAAAACAACTTAACTAATTAATTAACTTTTTTTTGCCTAAAAACATCGACTTAACTATTTTTCAGAATTAACTATTTCCTTCTTAATTGTCTAACCCTAAAAACATCGACTTAACTATTTTTCAGAATTAACTATTTCCTTCTTAATTGTCTAACCTCTTCTATAGGGGAGTTTGTGCCACGCCTCTGCACGGAAAACGACAGGAGATGTTGAGTTTGTGCCACGCCTGCCACGGCAAAGTTGCCGCGGCGGCACAGGCGCCCAAGGCCCGTCCAAGCGCGCCAACCAATGCATCAGATGTGCGTTTGTGCCACGCCTGCCACGTGAAACGACAGTGGATGTGAGTTTGTGCCACGCCTGCCACGCAAAGTGCCGCGGCGTCACAGGCGCCGAAGCCCGTCCAAGCGCGCCACCCAATGCCATCTGTCCCACGCCTGCCACGCAAAACGCGAGTAGATGTGAGTTTGTGCCACGCCTGCCACATTGGAAACGACAGGAGATGTGAGTTTGTGCCACGCTGCCACGCAAAGTTGCCGGGGCGTTCCACAGGCGCCCAAAGCCAGTCCAAGCGCGCCACCCAATGCCATCTGTCCCACGCCTGCCACGCAAAACGACAGTAGATGTGCGTTTGTCCCACGCCTGCCACACAAAACGAGAGTAGATGTGACAGTAGATGTGAGTTTGTGCCACGCCTGCCACGCAACGTGCCGCGGCGTCACAGGCGCCCAAGCCCGTCCAAGCGCGCCACCCAATGCCATCTGTCCCACGCCTGCCACGCAAAACGAGAGTAGATGTGAGTTTGTGCCACGCCTGCCACACAACGTGCCGCGGCGTCACAGGCGCCCAAGCCCGTCCAAGCGCGCCACCCAATGCCATCTGTCCCACGCCTGCCACGCAAAACGACAGTAGATGTGCGTTGGTGCCACGCCTGCCACGTGAAACGACACTTGGTGGTCGGTTTTGGTTTACAGCACTTGCAAGTAACTTGTAACCTAGTTGTAAGGTAGTTACAACCCTAGTGTATCTAAGCTAAGTAAACTAAGTTTGTATCTTATTTTACGGTAGTTGTAAGTAGTTACCAAAGATAAACTAGATGGTAAGTTTTTTTAAGTTATTTTGTTTTGAGTTAACAAAAAACAACTTAAATAACTTATAAGTAACTTAGGAAACTTAACTTTTTTGGATTTTTAAAGCTATTATTTTTTGTGTTGGAATAAAAACATATAAAAAACAAGGTTTGGGTTGGAAACGAATTAAAACCACTTTTTTTTATTTTTTGATATTTTTGTCGGAAGGCGGCTCTATGAGAAGCCTATCGGGAAAAGTTTTGTGATTCTGAGTTTTTTTGTTGATATCTTGTCCTCTTCTCGTTTGGACAACAGGATGGATACGAAGTAAAAAGCGTTCGGGCCCTTGGAAAGATCATGAGGCCACAGCCCCTGTTTTGATCTTGACTGAGGCCTGAGAGAAAATGCGTATATGACAGCAAAGGCATATCATATTTTGCAAAAAACAGAAAATGCAAAACACATTTTTACACATTTTTTACACATTTTTTCGCATTTTTACACATTTTTACACATGTGTAAGTGGATTTTTTTTGGGTTTACACATGTGTAAGTGGATTTTTTTTGGGTTTACACATGTGTAAGTGGATTTTTTTTGGTTTACACATGTGTAAGTGGATTTTTTTTGACTTACACATTCTTACACATCCTTACACATCCATACACATCCATACACATTCAGGTATATTGTGGTCTTTTTGGTTCATGCTTTCGTACAATGACATCATATGATATGAAACCAAACCGAATTAGAATGACACGTCGCACGCCTTTGGTCATCCGTGGATGTTCTATCCTGCGGCCCTTTGGGCAGCAACTCTCTCATTTTTATTTTTTTCCAAATTAAGATTGTCCAACCCAACGTTTAAAAACATCATCAAATTTTCAAGTGCAGCAAAGAAATTCGAAGAAAACTTACGAAACAAAGGTTTCTACAACACAAAAAATAAAAATGCAAAACGCAATGATAAAGAAACAAACTGCTAAAATACCTCTCCTTTCATGTTCAAAATAACTTAAAATAACTTAAAAAACTTGCAAGTTACTTATATTTAACTTATGTTACTTAGAGCTACAATTAAAAAGTTAAGTTTCCTAAGTTAACTTGTAAGTTTGTGTAAGTAGGTCAAGTGCTATAAGTATTTACATGTATTCTATCTAAAAACCGACCACCAAGCAGTAGATGTGAGTTTGTGCCACGCCTGCCACGCAAAGTGCCGCGGCGTCACAGGCGCCCAAGCCCGTCCAAGCGCGCCACCCAATGCCATCAGATGTGCGTTTGTGCCACGCCTGCCACGTGAAACGACAGTAGATGTGAGTTTGTGCCTCGCCTGCCACGCAAAGTGCCGCGGCGTCACAGGCGCCCAAGCCCGTCCAAGCGCGCCACCCAATGCCATCTGTCCCACGCCTGCCACGCAAAACGAGAGTAGATGTGAGTTTGTGCCACGCCTGCCACATGAAACGACAGTAGATGTGAGTTTGTGCCACGCCTGCCACGCAAAGTGCCGCAAAACGAGAGTAGATGTGAGTTTGTGCCACGCCTGCCACGTGAAACGACAGTAGATGTGAGTTTGTGCCACGCCTGCCACGCAAAGTGCCGCGGCGTCACAGGCGCCCAAGCCCGTCCAAGCGCGCCACCCAATCATCTGTCCCACGCTGAGCAAAACGACAGTAGATGTGTGGTGACAAAGTGTGTGTGGACAAAGTGTGTGTGGACAAAGTGTGTGGTGACAAAGTATGTGTTGACAAAGTGTTTGTTGAGAAAGTGTGTGGTGACAAAGTGTGTGTGGACAAAGTGTGTGTGGACAAAGTGTGTGGTGACAAAGTGGTGACAAAGTGTGTGTGGACAAAGTGTGTGGTGACAAAGTATGTGTTGACAAAATGTTTGTTGAGAAAGTGTGTGGTGACAAAGTGTGTGTGGACAAAGTGTGTGTGGACAAAGTGTGTGGTGACAAAGTGGTGACAAAGTGTGTGTGGACAAAGTGTGTGTGGACAAAGTGTGTGGTGACAAAGTATGTGTTGACAAAATGTTTGTGTGACAAAGTGGTGACAAAGTGTGTGTGGACAAAGTGTGTGTGGACAAAGTGTGTGGTGACAAAGTATGTGTTGACAAAGTGTTTGTTGAGAAAGTGTGTGTGGACAAAGTGTGTGTGGACAAAGTGTGTGTGGACAAAGTGTGTGGTGACAAAGTATGTGTTGACAAAGTGTTTGTTGATAAAGTGTTTGTTGATAAAGTGTGTGTTGGACAAAGTGTGTGGTGATAAAGTGTGTGTTGAGAAAGTGTTTGTTGAGAAAGTGTGTGGTGACAAAGTGTGTGTGGACAAAGTGTGTGTGGACAAAGTGTGTGGTGACAAAGTATGTGTTGACAAAGTGTTTGTTGATAAAGTGTTTGTTGATAAAGTGTGTGTTGGACAAAGTGTGTGGTGATAAAGTGTGTGTTGAGAAAGTGTTTGTTGACAAAGTGTATGGTGACAAAGTGTGGAGGAGGGCGGAGGAGGAGAAGGCGGCGGAGGAG